GGAACCATCATGGTATGGGCGGGTATTTGGATCGGCGGAAGAACTGAGTTGATTTGGATCAGAGGCAACCTCAACGCTCAAATTTATGCTGAGACGATTGTATCAGACGTCATCGTTCCTCTACAAGTGCAAATCGGTCCCTTATTTCAGTTAATGCATGATAATGCACGACCGCACACCGCAAGAGTTGTAAGACAGACTCTCGCCGCAGCTAACATCAATGTCCTGCCCTGGCCTGCTCAGTCGCCAGACTTGAACCCGATTGAGCATGCATGGGATATGCTACAGAGAAGAGCTCTGCCGAATATGGAGGGTATCCAGTCGCAAGAAGACCTTTTTTGTTGTTGCAACGAACATGGGCGGCCATTCCACAGCGTGATTTGGATGAACTCATTTTGAGTATGCCAAACCGATGTTCTTGTGTTGTTAGTGTTCGCGGTAGAAATACGGATTATTAATTGTTTAAGTTACCCAATAAAATTTTAGAGAAAACTGTTATTTCAGTCTTTTTTTCGAACTTTTGTGTTAGTGGTTCAAATGTCAAAAATCCCTTTATTAGGAAAATGGCAAATTTCTTTATTAATGCAAAGGTGACTTGGTTTATCGTTACTGTGACAAACGAAAACACTTTATTTGATGAATCCTTAAAGAAAATTTTAATTAATATCAATCAGGAGAAAAGTTATTGCAAAAATATATGTTGATCCCTAGACACTTTTGATGTGTGTATAATGCAAAAAAAGGAAATAATATACAAATAGAGAGCTTCCTTTGCATGTACTGCGTAAACAGTAAAAGTTACACAAAACTCCCGTTAGACAGAAAAGTTTCGTTTTAAATTTTCTATAAAAAAGTCTGCGACAGCATGTGTATCTTTTAGGCGTTTAGCAGACGACGGGGCGGGGCGGGCTTTTTGTCCGCGAAGCAATAAAGACCGCGTCTGCCCGTCGATGTCTGCGGCTGCCCGCGCCGCGTACACAAAGCACACGACGGGCAGAGGCGGTCAGTTCAGGACGTTCGTTCTAGTGAATAGTCCATCACTAAAAAGCGCGCGGCGCGGACTGAGCTGACCGCCCCGCGCCGCCGTCTGCGTTACTGCAAATAAACTGGTTTGTATGATCCACGGCGGGCAGCCGCGGACATGCCGCGCCGCCACTGCCCGCCGGGCACCTGCGGCGCGGTCTTTTTGCCCTCTGTGTGCGTTTGTAGTAAAGGATTCACTTTGTGCTATTATTCGCGGCGAAATTGACCGGCCCGCCCCGCCCCGTCGTCTGCTAAGCGCCTTAAGGGTGACCCACTATAACCTATTTCCTCAAATTAATGCGAATTAAACCACAGAGCACCTCTAGCAATTCACAACTCAGTGTCCATTTATTAAACCTGATCGTATTCTGATAATAGTGCACAGGAAAATCAAAATGATATTTGGGTCACTGGCAGTGAAGTAGAGTAAAACAGTACATTTAAATATATTAACATATTATTCTCTTTTTTATTTAATAATAATAAAGGTAATACTGATAATTTTATGAAGCACAGGAGTTATACCTAAATCCATACACAAACAAGCGTCTTAAACTTATTAACATACATTCACTTTCATACCTACAACTACAAAAAGCAAGGTTATACTTCATACTTGTTGATTTGTCCGAAAATTTATGTCCAGCAATGGAGAATAAATTTACACACATAGTATGCTTGGTCTTAGATCCGCATACTATAGCATCTACATCATAAGTGAGAGAAAATGTACATAAACATAATGATAATAATAATAATTTATTGTCTTTTTTTACATGCTATGATAAGGATACTTCAGGTTTTCCGTAACAAATTATTTATGAAGTAAAGCTACTTTGTATTTGCACATTTTACCTCTTAATTAGCCTAGCGGAAGTGAGAATGGAGATTAAAATGGAGCACAAAGCATATGAAGTTATTAGATAATGAAGCTGGTTTTTTTTCATATATTTTTATGATTTCATATATAACTTAATCTCCCGATTATCTAATATTTTACTAACCAGAGTTCTCACATTTCTCATGTCAGATAGAGGGCATTACATTAATCCAGAAAAAATGTTTTTTTTTTTTTATATTCACACCCTGACTCTCAATGAAAGCCTATCTTTGTGGGCTTTATTAGAGTTTGATTTCTAAACATTACTCAATTACTTTTAGAATAAAGATAAGTAATTCATTATTGACATATAAAATTAGAAACGGATATTTCTTTTACTTTATGTTTTCTTTTACAACATAATGTTAGGTTCCTGTAGTTACTGTTTCTAAAATATTATATTTTGTTCAGTTTCATCACCGATGTAAATACAGTGCTCCAAGTTATCCTCTCTCCACATAGGAATTTAAGTGTAAGGGTCATCCAAAAAACCATGGCTGAGTCTTATTTCAATGTGACTCAATATTTGCAAATTGCATGTTAACCCATTGTTACCGAAACTTGCTACCACCTTCAACACTAAGGTTGTAGGTGTAGGGCTACTTCTCCAGTAAGTGGCTCAAACCGAGTGGAAACTCCACAATTTTGTACGTCTTTGCTGTACTTACTGACATAAATTGTGATTTTTGTGGATGTAATACAATAAAATATAAATACAATCTTAAGGCTAATTACAGAAGTTGGTAAAACTGTACTTCCAGGGCCCAAGAGGTGATACTTGATTTTTTTTGTAGAAAAGGTCTCTATTAGCTATTTTTTTTTACTGGCTCTTCACCGGCCGCTGCTGCGGCACGCTCGCTTTGCTCGCTCGGCTCACACGTTATGGTCATAACACTAACCTAACCTAGTGTGAAGTATCATCACTTGGGCCCTGGGAGTACAGTTTAGCCCAGAAATTTATTATGTACACATTAGATACTAAATGTGTTACTATATACCAATATAACATTTAATTTTAAAAATAAATTGTGAATAATTTAAATGTTATTGTAGTTGGGATTTTACACCAAATTTATGTTATCAAATTATTTATCTGTACCTAGCCAGTTATGCAGTTGTATAGAAGTTACCTTAACCTACTATTTAAAATTTGTAATCAATACATGTCAAGTGGAATATGAAACCTGTGTGAATGAAAATATACTAATGAACTAACTCGATAGTGAATTGTTGGTGTCAAACTGCGAGTCAGTTAGATAATTAGTGACCCAGATGTTAGTTATAATAAAATAAGATTAAAATTACGATTTTTAAAATGACTATACATACCTTTATTTAATATCGGGAAAATTGCAAACTGGAATTTACTTTTTATTATTAATACACTTGTGAAATTTACATAGCTTTTTTATTATGTTTTAAATCAAAAAGGAGAAAAAATAAATGCGATTTGTTTGACATTGACACTATTTGTCAGTCAGACCATAGAATAAGTCAGACAAGTATGCCCTTATAAATAATCTGTGGTCAGAAGACTCGACTCGTGTCGTGTACGAATTACCCACAAAGACTACCCAGACTATGATCCAGGCGGATGCACTGAAGATTATGCTACCGCGGCCCTAATGGCCTTGTCAAATTCTTTCTAGTATTTCTTAGGTTGCAAGACAGGCTTACATTGTTACATATAATTAAATAAACGTAATGTGAGGAAAGCCGCTGACTTAAAAGTGACTGATGGCACAATTACACTAGGTCGTTAGCATGAATACGTGTGAACGACTAAGTGGTAATGAATGGAGTCGAGTACGCCCGTATTCTGATAGTTTTCGTTTTGGATACCAGACACCGTCTATCAACTCGTATTCCAGCGTAAATTTTGCTTCCGGTACCCAAATTTCAGTAATGTCTTGCATGCACTCGAATACGGGTTAACATCCAAATATAAATTGAGCCACAAGTTTAATAAAATAACTGTTTTTTTTCCTATCTTTGAATGATGTGTAATAAATTTTACGACGAAAATATTTAATGGCCCATATTTCGGTTCTCTTTCCTTAAAATATTTTAAGTTATAATAATGCAATACACTTAGAATTTAATTGAGTATTCACTCAATCATAACGTTTAGTTAGTTTACTTAGTTTTCTCGAGAGAAAAATAATCCAAAGAAAACAAAAAAAAAAGCGGCCATATGCGAGTCGGACTAGAAGCCGATGAAGGGTTTTGTGTGTAGCAAGTAACCATGAATGTTTTTTTTTATTTTTATATTTGAGTTGATTGGATGAAAGGTAAATTGCGGTTTACGATGAATGGCATATTTAATAAAACTACTTACTAGATCTCGTTCAAACCAATTTTCGATGGAAGTTTGCATGGTAATGTACTTACATCACATATTTTTTTAGTTTTATCATACTCTTATTTTAGAAATTCCAGAAGGGGGGGGGGGGCAAATTTTACCACTTTGGAAGTGTCTCTCGCGAAACAATAGATTTTTTAAGAAGTGTATATTTGCTCTTATATTGTTATTGTAAGTTCTTGTGAGTTCCGCCTATTCTAAAGTAACTATTTATTGTAAAAATACGTGTTTTTCTGTGTGTTAAACTTGGGAAACTGCTACTCAGACCTACGTAGGTCTACTTAGCGGTAGGCATTTATAACGCTGCGTTGCGCGAGTGATTCCTGGTAGGGCTAAGTTCCTCTGAGCGCTACTTTTACCCTGATATTTCAAATTTTATGGCAATGTTGTCGATTCTGCCATGCTTTTCTAAATCTAAAGTTAAAATTGACAACATTGGTGTCGATTCTGGCGTGATTCTCTAAACTTAAAACTAAATTTAACATCAATCTCTCCTTTTCATTCCCTTAGACAATGACAAGGATACGCTGTTGTCAAATTTAAGTTTAGGTTTAGAGAATCGTGTCAGAATTGACACCAATGGTATCAATTCTAGCAGTTTTAAGTTTAGAGAAGTTTTAGAGAATCATGCTAGAATCGACACTAGTGTATCCTTTTCATTCGCTATACGCGCCAGAATTGACATCAGTGACATTAACATTGACAACCACTTGACAACGTCAACTCAACTCAACAGTAAATAGTGAACCAGTGCTGTGTTTTCCTTAATTTTTCCAGTTTTATTAGATAATCTCATACACAACTACAAAACAACTTGTACAACTATACTATGTCACCTTTAAGTAATATAATGGAATATATTTGGGATAGAAAAGAAAACTTCTGTTGTTTATGCCTTAGCGCTGCAGTCGAAGAACTTATTCACGTAGAAGACGAAGTTTTTATTACATTTAATAACAAAGAGAGCTTTGTGCAGATTTCCGAGCTTCTATGCAGTGTTTTGAATCGTGAGGTAATTTCTAAAATATCTTTTGAGATTCATTAAGCAAATGACCAAGTATCATAACCCTCTTGGGTTGTCATTACAGTCAATATGGATTTTGGTGGTGTGAAAGTAATAATGCCTTCTAAGGAAACTTTGAATGAAGAAAATAAGGTTTAGATTTGTTTATCATTAATGTCTAAGTACCTGCATTGTTTTCATTTCAGGTTCTTGATTATCTTCTAACATTCAAACAAGTGTGCCAGTTATGTTTACAATCTGCACTAAGAAGCTATATCTTCCTGAAAACAAGCCTATTTAATTCTGATCTTCTCACTAATACTATAAATGGTCTTTTAAACAGCATAAAAAACACAGAAGAGGAAACCCAAAGTTTTAAAACTTTATTTGTATCATTGAACACAGAAGATTTTTCTAGCAAACAATTTTATGATGTAAGAAAACGTGTAACTAGTCTGTCTATGGCTCATCACAGATATAAACTGTTAGACTCCCTAAAAATAAAATCTGAATGTGAAAAAACTGAGGAAACAATTAAGTCACAAGGTAATTGTGTAGTACCAATCAGTACTAAAGACATGATGTATGATAGTAACAGTTCAATAATCAGATGTAAAGAATGTTTAAAAGCGTTTTTCTCAATGCTAAATCTAAGAAATCATTATATAAGGGTACATGCTCCTAAACTATACAAATGCACAGAATGCAAAAAGGCTTTCGGGTCACCATCTTATTTAGAAACGCACAAAGCTCAGAAACACAGCACAATTATTTGTAGTGAATGTGGGAAGACCTTTAAAAATCAACGCTCATTTAAATGTCATGAGATGAGCCATTTAATGAGGTTTGTGTGTCAAGATTGTGGAAGAGTATACAAAAATAAATCAACATTCAAAAAACACATTGAATTGAATGTGTGCAGTCAGAAAACGAGAGCTTCACCAGCTAATGCAAAGTACACATGTGACTACTGTAATAAGAAATACACGCAAAAGGTTTCTTTGCGTGTCCACATACAATATGAACATGGCAATTACAAATACCATGTTTGTAATGTGTGTAACAAGAAATTTTGGGCCCAGAGTAGATTAAAAGCTCATATGGTAAAACATACTAAAGAAAAAAACTTTGCTTGCTCATTATGTGATGGCAAATTTGTAACTAAAGAGGCTTTACTATACCATACTCGAATACATACAGGTGAAAAACCATACGAGTGTACAGGATGTGATGCCAGATTCCTTTCAGCATCACGGAGAACTGACCATTTTAAGAGACATCACACAAATGCTACATTAGAGTGTGATATTTGTGGTAGTAAGTTTAATTCTCGAAATTATCTTCATAAACATAAAAGGGGACATTTTAGCTCCAATCCTCGAGCTAACAATGATTCTGATAATATCATAAATCTCACACCGCAAAAGGTGAATGAAGTGGAGTTCAAAAAGTTGACGCAGGAGCTTAAAAGATTTTCTAATGAGGATTACAATATCAACGATCAAAATGAAATCTATCTGGAATTTAGTAATAATGATGGTTATACTATTAGTGGAATATGAAACCAACAAAGCATATTATGAAAAAATCAACTTCTCTCAAGGGACAGCAAATGCACTTTGCACACTATACATTATTATCTCAGCAACAACTGTTTAAACAGCAAACAGAGAAGGGAAATCAGCAATATATTGAGACTTCAAATTATCCAATCATTTTCTATTACTTAGTTATAATTTGATAATTTTTCAAAATTAATGATCACCAATGATAACATTGTGGAATAATATCATTTATACTTTAAAACTTTACAGATTTTACATTGTCATAATATAATATTATAGATTAAATTATTCATATTTATTACTTATGTTTTCGTACACCAAACATATTATAGTAAAACACTTTTTATTTAAATAAATTTTAATTTTTATGCTTTGAATAAACGGCAATGCTCATGTCATGCTCAGAGGCGTATTTGCCGTATGGCCGAGAGGGACGGGACAGCAGGCTGTAAGGGTCAGCTAGGGCTGCAGAAGCCATGTAACGACATTCATTACTGACGTATATTTTGATTTGATTTACCGACTAATAGTATGGGGAATGTGCCTATATGTAGCACATTCATTTCTATTTTCCCACTATTTTGGCATTGTGTCGACGCGCAATGACATGTGAGATAATAAGCAGTTTCACAATTTATCTTTAAAGAAGATTTGCAATACATCATGAAATCTTAGGAATAGTTTGTAATCATAAGCATCGTACAAAAAAATCTAAGTGGTGTTAATTCCGGTATGATTCTCTAAACTTAAAACTAAGTCTCTCCTTTTCATTCTGTATAGAGAATGACATGGATACACTGTTGTCAAATTTGAGTTTAGGTTCATAGAACCCTGCCAGAATCACCACCACCACACTATACTTGCATATTACACTTTAATTAAAACTCAGTCAACAATTTCAAAAATAGACCCTTAACAGTTTACCTACACTATGAACCAAGTAATACTTAAAAATGAATTGCTGTTTGAAAAGCTCATGATTGATTGGGTTAATTTTGATGAAATTTTCGTCTGCATTTGGAGTGGACTTAACTGAAATCCTAGTAAAGGCTGGACTGATTAAAAAATAAATAAATGCTTATTCGACTATAGGCCCTTGGATGGCTCAGATTTAAAAATATTCACTGTAGGTGGCCACCTGTGTGCTGTTTTGTAGTGCAGTGGTCACTTTAAGCCGTGCCCAGGGCCCCGCGATCGATAGAGTGCCCCCTCTCAGATCAAATACAAAGTCCCTAATTCCTGTTAAATCACCAAACGGGGGTTATAGGGGCCCCATTATCCTAACATGCCCAGGGCCTCCAATAGGTCAAAGACAGCAATGGCTATAGTTGGCAAAATATATTTCTTTCTTTCTTTCCGCCCGGATAGCGGAAGGTGCTGATTCGAATCCTCTTTGATACCTGGGGACTGATTGCCTAACAGGATTGCTATAGCTAACGTCATCGCTTACGATTTCATGTTGTTATTTCTGGCCCCCTATGTTTTCAAGTACCTCACGCTATTTTTTGTAGTTTACTCCATAAGAATCGATTTGCATATATAAGGGGCCCGGTATGAGAAAAATGTGAAGAGTAAAATCTATCGATGAATGACATTAATGACCTCGTTACGTTTTTGTGCGCAACCTCATCTGCGAACCTTTCACTTTTAGCCATGGCAACGGATAAAAAACATTAAGTTATCACAAATGTCAATAAAATAAATAAACTAAAAATAGATAAAATCGGAGCAAAATTAATGAAAACAAATAAATAACAGAATATATAGAAATGCCGGTAAGTGTCCTGCAATCTGGAAAAGTGATTTTCAGTACAGATGGAATTATAATACATATTTACAAAATGATGACTAGTGTGTGATATTTTTGAAATTGTGTGTTTCCAGAAATACATAATAAAATATATGATGAATATCGCTGATGTTAGATGATAAAATGTGTGACATGGAACCTATGCTAGTCGAAACCATAGGACGATTCCTGAGTTATCTCTACTTGTAACCGACTTCTTCGGACTTGATTTTGTTATGTGTCTGTTCAAAGACAATCGTTTTTACAGTGTAAACTTCGGTCGTGCGTCGGAGCTGACACACACAGCTTTTTTCTTTTTTATACTGATATTACCAAAGCAAAGGGGAAAAAATGGTGGTATGCATTTGAAAACCTACTGCGGTCCGAAATAACGAAATGATATCGTAAGCGATAGCGATACTCATAGCAATCTCGATAAGCGATTAGCCCCCTGGAAGAAGTGAAGTCTTTGCCTTCTCAATCTTAAGTAAATAAAAAATAAAATAAAAAAATTGACAGCTTGATTGACATTGACAGTTAATTATAACCTCTCCTCAGTTAAGTCAATAATATTTTCGTTTACGACGTTTACGACGTTTTTTTTTTGTCTATTTACTACTATTTATAAGACAAATAATTGAAAATTATACTTAAGATGTCTTTTTGGGAAGATACATTAATCATTCTTATAACTCAGGTAGGTATATTGAAATAATAATCAACATTATCGTAGAAGTATTTTCATAAATTTACCGATTAGTTTCATAGTAGTCATTAATTTGTAGCAAAACACTAAAAAAATAAAGCACTTGAAACTATCCAAGACCTTACCTAATTTTCTGTGTCTTATTTTCATTTATCAATCCTTCGTGATATGAACTGCTAGCAATAGTACAATCTTTTTGATTTGATTCATTTCATATCCTATTTATAATTCTATTATTAAAATATATATACAGCAATACTTGTGATGACCTCCGTGGCCGAGTGGTTTGTACACCGGGTTTCATGGTGTCACTGACTCGAGAGATCCCTGGTTCGAATTCCGGTGGGAGCAGATGTTTATGTGATGAATACTTTGTACTCCAGTATTGGATGTTTAAGATGTATTTCTATATAAATATACTTATAAATCTACACTATCAGATACCCCAGTATCCCATAACACAAGCCTTACAGTGCTTGCTTTGTTGCTAGGCTAATTGACCTGAGTGTTGGAATTATTAATTTATTATTACTTATGTAATATTTTACTAATATTTTTTTTATTAACCGTTTAAAAAATTTCTGCTATGCCTAAAGTGTAAGTAAAACTTAACATTTCAGATATTTTTCTTCGTTGCCGGATGGATATTCTTTGTAAAACAGCTATTTCGTGATTATGAAGTGCACCACACTTTAGTTCAGTTGATATTCTCCGTCACTTTTGCTTTGAGTTGCACAATGTTCGAACTAATCATATTTGAAATTATAGGCTATTTGGATTCGAGGTAATTTTTTTTTTATAGTAATAAGTGTGACTTAAGATTTACAATTCCCTTGATAAAAAGAATTTTCTTTTATTTTCCAGTTCAAGATATTTCCATTGGAATATGGGATTGTATTCATTACTTTTCATGGTGATAGCCCTTATACCATTCTATATTGCTTACTTCTGCATCAGCAATATTAGGTTTGGTAAGTTTTTGTTTTCATTATTATTGCCTGGTCTGTCTAAATAGCAGATTTCTGCCAATGTCAAAAAACCTGTGTGTGTGGAGATGGTAGTTTTCTGCCACAAGTTGAGAAAATTATTTTCTGTTTTCATATTTTGCGTTTTATTATATTTAGTAATGGTTGTTAAATAACACATATAAACCTCTGAAGAAACCTTTTACTTCCTTTAAAAAATATATTTTCAGTATCAAACATCACTTTTTTAAAATGAGTGAACTGATGCTTATATATACGTAATTTGTCGGTTCTTTATATCTAAAGTTTTTTTGCTCTAGCAGTTTAGCCAAGTGTGTAGTATTTGTTAGGATTAGGAAAGGGATTTTGGGGTACCGTCGCTAGCACCAGGGTCATATCATACACTCCATAGTGTTCCATACAAGACTGACGACCGAACGTAGACTCAGTTTGACGCCGGGTTTAGCTATGGCGAAAAACTGTCTTGCAGGCATGAGCTGTAATGCTTGAAAACAACGCTACAGTTTTAATTATATTATTCACTATGCAACAATTATAATTATAAAAAATGAATAAATTTTTTACAGTGTCACAAAACATGATCAGAACATTGACTGTGCTGGTGTGGTTCATATACTTATATTTCTTCTGGAAAATCGGTGACCCATTTCCAATAATGAGCCCGAAGCAGGTAGGATGGCAATTAATTAAGTAGGTATAAGAAAATCATTCCTTGGGAGGAGATAATAGTAGTTCATGTTGGCTTTGTTCCCATGAACACTACAAAGGACCAGGTCCCCATGATCTCGTGGCTGAAAAGTGTACCAAAATAATATAATTTCCTAAACTCGCTCCAATTAGCCTAGCCCCAAAGTAAACACTCTTAGGCTTGTGTTATGGAAGGCTAGGGTAGCAGATAGAATAGATATAGTTGATACATTTAGAAGTCTATTCATATAAACATATACATAAACTGAAATATGAGCATTTGTACCTTAATCCATGACTAAAGTAAACATTTGTCCCCACTGGGATTCGAACCCTGATGACTAGGCGACACCTTTAAACCTGGCATGTATACCACTCAGCCACAGAGGTTGTACATAGTTCTGAAAGTGGAATCCATTTAATGAAATGACTCCACCTTATTAACCTAGCTTAGTATAAAATAATAATTTGTACTAGTGTAAAGATAGGTTTTCTAATAAAATTATAAGAAAATATATTATGTTCTTATCTGACTTAGTATTGTTTTACATGCGCCACCTACCAGGTCTAGGTCTAACTGAATCCACAATTTCATCAAAATTGGTACAGCAGTTTAGGATATACTTTTGTGTGCTTTTTTATTCAATAGGGAAACCATATATTTATTCTACTTCTGTAAGTTCCAGAACTGATGGCATTGAAAAATTTATTTTTTATGGTATCTTCCACATCTATCATTAAATCAAACCACTTTTAAATATTTGTATAGCACGTTTTATATTATAATCATTGACAATTTGGGCCCTTTACAAGTAAACTTATTTTCCAGGGCATATTCTCTATAGAGCAAGGGGTGTCCCGTATCGGTGTCATAGGTGTGACAGTGATGGCGCTACTCTCTGGTTTTGGTGCTGTCAATTACCCATACACATCTATGGCGATATTTATTAGGCAAGTAATTTTTTCTCTTGATGTTGGTAATTTTAGAGATCTTGGCTGCCATTATATCAAGTGTGGGACAATAATTTGCGGGTTTTCTACGCCATATCGAATGTTAGTTGACCAATGACAATAAACCGAAAACCCAATACATATGTTTATCCAGATACAAAATTTGTTTTCAAAGTAAATCATTCTTTGTAATGCTTATCTTAGCAAAACAACACCCACGATAAGCATTGAAAATTCGATTTAATGTTACAATGATCGATCAAAATGAATTTATTGAAATTACGATATAAAGTCACAGCGATCTATTGAAAATCGATTTATTAAAATTGAGATCAAATGGCAAATCTATATATTGGCTTTTCGGTCAATTGTCACCGATGAACTGGCATTCGATATGGCGCAGGAGACTCATCATTTGCTGTTGTATTTTTTAAGATTCTACCTTTTCAAAGAAGGCAAAGGGAACAATGCCCATACAGCCTAGTCTAAAGTTTCATTAATCTTCTTTTTTTACATTAGAATGTCGGTGTAACGCAGTTTATTGTTTCTTGGAGTGTTTAGCATCGAGTTGGCTCTTCCGATAAGCTTCCGTGAGGTAGTCAACACTACAATAAAGTTCTCACATCCACTTGACCGGAATAGCGTATATTTTAAAGATTCCACTTATTCTTCAGTTGCGCAGATGGTTGTAACACACTTTTTTTTCACAATATCTGTTGATATTCATAGTGATGAACGAATTTAAGAATAATTAAAATAAGACACCAAACGTACTAGATGAAATCCCGCCAAAAACTCGATTGAATTTTTACAACTTTCATTAATACATTAAGTTTAAAACCATCTCTAACATACAGCAATAAAGACAACAAAGTTTTGCTAGCCTAGTATAAGTGTATACATGTTGCGGTTGCCCTTTTACTTAAAAATAACACCAAATACTGTTTAATGTTGTTGTGGTTGCCATTAAATCGCCCACATACCCAAAAAAAAATCGCCATGAAACTCTTTCCAATACAGATAAGGAATTGGTAGGTTTAATCAGAGACTTTTTAAATATAGGACTTTGAACTTTATAATAAAGACATGGTAGTTATTCAAATGTCTAATACTTACTCCATAAATCCTTATAGACCAGTGACACAATCTGATGTGCTCTCAGTAGAGAAGAAATTGTTACAAACAATGGACATGATATTGGTGAAGAAGAAGAGGATAGCGCTAGCCGAGGCCAACAGTGTGGGAGGGAGACAGAACTACAGTGTGATGGACCAGTCTAACGCGAAGAATAGAGGGTTTTGGACGAATATATTGTCGAGTGTGGGCAGTATAGCTAATCCCCTCAGCCATGGCACTGAAAGTGAGTCAGTAAATTGTTTTTACTAAAAAAAATCTGAATAATAACTCTAATATAAAACATAATATCATTAAACTTATTTTACTAAAGATAAAAAAAGGTTTATTTTTTTTACTTTTCGGTGGTTTAATTTTTTTTGTTAAAATGTTTTTATTTAAAAAAATGTAGTTATGAGTCTTCTAATATAGTAGTAGTAGTAGGTAGTTTTTTTCCAAATTTATGTGAGACCAATTTTTTTGTATCTCCATCCAAAAAAAAAATCGTTATTAAAAATCTATATCAAATTTTATCTCAATCGGTTCAGTTGCGTAGGCGTGAAGAGGTAATAGACAGACAGATATACAGACAGATACACTTTCGTATTTATAATATTAGTAAAGATGTATGTATCTTCTTGCCATTAGATATAGCGCAACTCCGTCAAGAGATCTCAGCATTGGAAGAGTTGAGTCGCCAGCTATTCCTAGAAGCACACGACGCGAGAAGCATGAGAGAAAAGATAGAATGGTCGAAGACATTTCAGGGGAAATACTTTAACTTCTTGGGGTATTTCTTCTCACTGTACTGCGTTTGGAAGATTTTTATTGTAAGTATAATTATTGTATGTCTATATAAAGTGAAATTTAATATAGTTTTTTTTTTCATCTATTAGTACGTGTCTTTACTTTTTGGATGAAAAAAAAATATTCCTTTTGATGAATATTGCACTTTTTCACTTTTTTAAATTTCCTTTTTTTTCATTTTATAGATAGACCAATAAAATGGTAAAAACCCTCTCTTATCTTTAGATACACTAAAAAGAGGGTTAAAACTCCTAATTTGGTATCTTTAGATAGACTAAAAAGAGGGTAAAAGCCCCTAATTTAGTAACATTTCGTCTAGTGCACCATCAATACACAGACTAAAAAGAGGGTAAAAGTCAATGATATTGAATACCCTAGATACACCACGTGTGCTGAAAATGTGTCCCTATCAAGAAGTGTTTGAACGCGATTCAAGCACTACTTGGTTCACAGTCACGCGCCGACAGTTGAAAAGTCAACATGCCGCTGAGCTCCGTATAAAAATGTGAAAAAAATACTTATAGTATGTTAAATGTCGTTTTTTCGACAGGTATCTAATCAATATTTGTTAATTTAACGCATTTGAAGCAAATTTTGTTTTAGTACTTACTATAAAGTGATTTAATAGAAAATATTTGTAATATTTAAATGTGTTAGTGTAAAATGGAACGCAACCAAAGTAGTTCTTTTTTTATGCGCGTGTGGCGCCTTTGTCACTTGTCACTCGCTGCCAAAGTACTTTCGTTCTCTCTCCGATTTTATTACAATATAGTCTATTTTATCTTAAATACGCTTAATTATTTACCACAACCACGTAGAATATTCCTTTAAAATGCATGGTCGGTAATATAGCTGTCTCCTTTCCTCGCGGCCCGCACCTGCTATATTGCTAACAGCGTATTCAGAATTGCGCGTAGAGTCAAAGAAATAAGGTCAATATTCTTCCGCATATAGCAATAAGTCGTAAAATTTTACGAGCTTATATATCGGACTGTCATAACTCTTCCATGCATGCGTTATAATTAAGACCTTATACAGTGTGCTTTTAAGGTGATTTTCAATATTTAAATAATGCCTTATATTGATTTTGACTACGCGATCATCTTACGGAGCTCCGTGGATCGTTCAATGTGCCTTTTGGACAGGTTTCGGGCACGATTTTGTTCGTGTTGGTGTATCTAGGGTATTTAATATCGTTGGTTAAAACTTCTAATTTGGTATCTTTAGATACATTAAAAAGAGGGTAAAAGCCCCTAATTTAGTAACATTTCGTCTAGTGCACCATCAATACACAGACTAAAAAGAGGGTGAAAGCCCCTAATTTGGTAACATTTCGTTTAGTGCACCATCAATACGCAGACTAAAAAGAGGGTAAAAACCCCTAATTTGGTAACATTTCGTCTAGTGCACCATCAATAGACAGACTAAAAAGAGGGTAAAAGCCCCTAATTTGGTAACATTTCGTCTAGTGCACCATCAATAGACAGACTAAAAAGAGGGTAAAAGCCCCTAATTTGGTAACATTTCGTCTAGTGCACCATCAACATAGTATTCGACCGCGTGGGGCGCATAGACCCGGTGACGCGGGGCCTGGGGCTGGTGGTGCCGCGGTTGGGGCTGGCCATAGACGTGGCATTCTGGTCGCAGCACGTATCCTTCGCGCTCGTAGGGTGTATAGCGCTCACCAGTATAAGGGGACTGCTGTTGACCTTGACTAAGGTGAGTGAGAGGTCGTTGATACATACAATCGTAGAGGTATAACAATAGAGTAGGGGAGATATAGAGAAGTGTCCCTCTCATAGAAAGAGAAAGAAGTTGAGAGACCGCTAGCTTTCTCTCTCTAATCGCGCATGCACATTGGCAACCGTAAAGGGGCGATTGACCTGTACGATCCGTCGTTTCAGACCGATCGAAACGATGGATCGACAGTGTATGTCAAGATCGTTAACGATTTATTTAATCGAAGACGATATCGTAAATCGCAACCAAATCCCATGCAATCATGAATATCGTAAACGAATCAAGCAACGACGAATCGTTTACGATCAATCGTTTCGTTTATGTAGTGGCATTTCTGAACGATCGATCGTTGACGATTTCCTTCAGATCGATCGCAACGACGAATCGTTCCGTATATGGGGCCCTTAAGCATCTTACTATTTCGATTAGATGCCATTGGATGCCATGCGTCACAAGAGAGAGAGATAGCTAGTGGTCTCTCATCTTCTTTCTCTTTCTACTAGACGGACACTTTTAGAGCCGCCTTCCCCGCTCTATTCTTATACCTCTATGCATACAATGCGATTCAACTAAGAATAGGATCGACTGAGTGCCATATTGTGACGACATAGCTGTCAATTCAAACCAGTTAGGGAGAGTGAGCAAAAAAGTTTTTCTTTAATTAAACTTATTTACGAAGATTAAGTGAGAAAAGATATCAGATTTTTAATATTATTTATTTATTAAGACTGAGCGAGAAAAACATTAATCAGAAACTAGCTTTTTAATTCCGCTCATCTCTGCGCTACCGTCGGAGTAGCCATCATTATCACTGCTGCTTTCGGCTATAAAATAAAATATCGATTATTATAGGTTTTAAAACGATTACTTTATTTAAAATAAAAACCTGTTTTTTTTAACCTGTATTTATAATAAAACTAAAGTTCTTATATTTCCCTTTTCCAGTACTTTCCAGTATTTTCTAAACATTTCATATGATTTATTTCCTGCTTTTGTTTAAAAATTTTTGGTATTTATTGTAAGATTGGCTCAGTGCTAAAAAAATTGTTTCAAATTTTTTTTGCTAACCGTACTTTTCAAGCGACATTTGACAGGTCATTGGCTTTCCTATTCTTATTTGAATCGCATAGTCTACCGCCTTGTTCCAAAACGCGGACTTAAGTTGGGCTTGGTTTAAACCAGATTTTGTCTCTGTCTCCTTTTAAGCAAACAAAAGTGACAGCATTAGTTTTAATCCAGGTGGAACTTTTGTCTACGTATTGTAAAAGGCGGATACAGTTTTTGGTGAGATTATTAATTGGCTTTGTGAATACAAATCAAATAAAGTGTAATGTTGTGTTAAATGCAGTTATCTTTACCTTCGCAAAGGTATAGAAATTCTTTCGTATATATTTTATGCTGCAATACTGCGTCAATTCTTCCCATTGAAGATCAACTACAATGTCTGAAATATTAAAATTACAAATATCGAACATTCGAGAAGAGAAAAAAGTAAAATTAAATACTACTGATGAGGTTTAGGGGGTGTTAAGTCAACCCCTAGTCAAGTCCTATCTCTTTTAGAGATTGAATATATAGTGGTGTTGATTCTGGCAAGATTCTTTGAACTAAATTTAATATCAGTCTCCCCTTTTCATTCTATAAAGTGATGAACGAGGATGCACTGTTGTCAAATTCATATTGAAAATCAAATTTTTAGTTTAGATTTAGAGAGAATCATGCGAGAATCGTCACCATAGTGAGATATTTTTAAAAGATTTTATAAGGACTTCAATAGGCTAGTTGACTCATGTCAATTTGCACTATGCAAATGTTTATTTCTTATAATTTTTGGTATGAGAAACCTTAATACATCGATTTCACTTCATAAAATTAGAAGATGGCTGTAGTAATTTAATTTGAAAAATAGTTTTTTAGTCTATGCTTTTTAAACACTAAAAACGCTGTCCACCATGATTGTGATGTCAACAAATTAGTAAACAACTAAACGTCATTGTCGTGTTACTGTGTTTCTTTCGTCGGACTAAATTATATTGATATAGACTTATATGTTGAAGAAAAGTTTCCGTTTGTTGGTTTTGTTGACTAAATTAATGCTGGACGCCGGATTTGTAAAAGCAGAAACGACAAAACTCTTTGACTTAGTACGTACATTCATAACCTTAAAAATTTGATTTTTTTATTTAAATATTATTCAATGAGTACTTACATCGAAGTGATCTTTGCTAAAAGAAATGACTTTCAGACGATAAAGTTACAGGTTTTTGCAAGTTTTAAACGTGTGTTCTCTTTAGGCATGTGTATTTCTCTAGGCAATTTAATCAACAACATTTCTGGAGTCTTTAACGATGTGTTTCTATATTCTCATATAATACAATCATTATAATTACTATATTTATCATGAAATCTATTAGAAATCATTTATAAATATATCAGATATGTTATTTCCTACGTGCTTGCGAATGTTTGTTTACTATTTTGTTGAGGTCATACCATAGATAATCTATAGATTAAAATGGCCGACAACGTTTTTGTATGTCCATGAAAAATCTATTTTAAAATTAAAGTTTTGTAGCTTTCTTGCTCAAAAAAAATACAATACATTTTTCTTCGGTCTAATTGAACAATTATTTACCATTTATAACATATTTCCAAAAAGTGTCAACTAGTCTATTACCTATCTTTTAATTGAGCGGTTGCTCAAATTCCACTATCGCAAACTGTAGACTATTTAGCACCTCAATTAATAAAGAAAATATAACTAGAAAAAATTCCACGCGGACCGGCAGCAGACGGGACTCGAACCCGCACCCTTCGCAATCCGGGCGAATGCACATCAAGCAGTTACATGCTTTAAAAATAATAAAAATTATAACCTCAATTAATACTTTATTGTATGTTTCATTTAGTTAGCTCAAGTTTCTGATGATCTCCCAATAAATACAAAATTAAACCAAGCGTTTATTCTCTTGCAGTTTTTCTATAAGATCTCCTCATCGAAATCTTCAAACATCATAGTGCTCGTTCTCGCACAAATAATGGGTATGTACTTCTGTTCTTCCGTCCTACTCATGCGCATGAATATGCCAGCGGAATACAGAATCATTATCACCCAAGTTTTGGGAGATTTGCAATTCAATTTCTACCATAGATGGTTTGATGTCATATTCTTAGTTAGCGCACTGACTAGTATATTTACTCTTTATCTAGCTCATAAGCAGCCTTCTGTAAGTTAAAATGTTTAATTGTCTTGAAATGTTGAAGCCGTAGGGCTAATCGACTAACGGAATTGCTTTGGCTATGGCTATCGCCTACGATATCATTTTGTTATTTCTGACCACCGAAGGTTCTCAAATGCCTCACGCTTATTTTATTTAAAATTGTTATTACCAATGCAAAAGAAAAAAATTGCTCGAAGCATTTGAAAACCTCAGGCGGCCAGAAATAACAAAATAAAATTGTAAGTGATAGCGATAGCCATAGCAATCTCGTTAGGCGTATGGCCCCCGTGTCACTGAATCTGTGGACACAGAAGTCCATTCGTTGATTTATAGTAAAGTTGTGTCCACTGACATGATGTCGATTGTACAATGTGATTTAGTAAATATGTACCTGTTGTAAGTACCAATTTTAATGTCTGCACTTAACTTCGTTATTCGTGTTTGCTATTTGTCAACTTGACATCAGTCTGTCCTTTTCGTTCCTTATAAAGCATGATAAGGACAGACTGTTGTTAGGTTAACAAATAGCAAATACGAATAGCCTAGTTAAGTGCTGGCATAACATATCACCCCGATTCAAACACTTGTATTCACACCAATAGCTTCATATGCATTACACAATGTGCAAAACGCCAAATGTACAAGTTGTGCAACGTTCATGAATAAACACAAAAAAATTAAAGCTCAGTAAGTCTCTTTTTCTATTGAAATACAAAACTAGGGATTGTTTAAATCTAAAGAAAATCTTACTAGAAAAAAATCCACCCGAACCAGGCAGCAGACGGGACTTGAACCCGCACCCTCCGCTATCCGGGCGAATACACTGACCATTATGCTACCGCGGCCCTGATGGCAATATAGAATTTTCTCTATAGATAACGGGTTGCATACAAAATCAAAGCTAAGAACTGTCCGCGTATGTTTAAACTTATGCAGCTACATTCGATTCCCAATGAATCAATGACAAAGACAAATGTTTTAAAACAGCTTAAGTTGAACTTAATAACAACTATCTCACAAAGGAATAAGGTTATAAATAACAAAATGTTATTTTACACATACAACCTTTTTTCTTATAAAACGAACTCTTGTTCTTTTTATAAATTATATCTGATACTTGGAAAAAACGATAAAGGTGAAAAAAAGGGAAATCAACCTAATGGACCCACAAAATAAAATATTTTTATAATTTTTATTATTTTTAAAGCATGTAACTGCTTGATGTTTAAATCTAAAGAAATAAAAATATTTCTAAAATATTTTTACCAGTCATTGGGCAGCAACTTACTTCGTCTTGTAAAAACCGAACTAATTTGAAATAAGATCTCACGCCTCATATTTACCGAGACGGATTTTATGCGCTGACCCGTTATTTGTAGAATTGTTGATTGAAGGCTGCAAGGCAGCGCCATCTTTTCGCATTGTAAGTAACCCACAATGTCAAATTAATACCTTTACAAGTATTAAACATTCGAGAGAAGAACTAGCAACTACATATAGTTATATTTTTGTTTTTTAAGCATTAACTAGATGTTTAAATTTAAATAAAAGTCCCGCCCGTCTGCTGCCTGGTCCGCGTGGACTTTTCTTTGGACTTAAACATGTAGCAGTTATTTAACTGCTTAAAAAATTTAATAAAAATTACCAACAGAGATAATTTCTATTCTCTTTTATTATATTTTGACGTTTTGTACTTTCTGTTCCGAGCTTATTTGTGCACTTATTGTAAGTCCATTATGCTCCGAGGGCGTGTCTTTGTACAATTTAATTAAGTTATGTTTATAACTAAATAAGAAAGACTAATTAAAGAGCATTTTAACATCAAACATGTACAGTACCCTTAGCACGAACCATTATCGAATTCGAATAGTTTGCGGGTCCGAAATGTCATTGTCAAATTTTATTTGGAAACTTGGAACTTTGGAACAGCAGTGCCATAACGGACGTAACGAGAAGTAAAAATCAGTACACATTGAACAATGTTATTTCGTACTCGCAAACGTTACGAATTCGATATTGGTTCGTGCTAAGGGTACGGCAAACTTCTTGAGCAAACCACAGACAAATGAACTTGCGCGTAGACGATTTTGCAGTTAAGTGAAGTTTGCCGGAATGTATACCTGTATCATTCAATCCCATATAAAATTGTTCCTTTCTTTTTCCATTAGTTTAGGTAATAATTAATTGTAAGCATTGTTAACTACTTATAAGACTGATACAAGCTATGAGCTTACATTTGATATAAGAAGTATTTCATCAGTTCATGTCGCGAAATGTTTTCCCATTATTGATTTTGAAGCGAGAATTTTATTCTACGACTTTTGGACTTTTATCGCTTGTGTACGATCTCAAGTATCTATACAGTTTTTCTAACTATTGTAACTTAGTGCAAGCGAAAATGATCTTTAAGTAATAGACTTACAAGTTTTATATTATAAGACAGTCAATTTCATAAATGTATTTGTTAAAATCAGATTTTTAATTTATTACAAATACAATATATGTATCAAATGTGTTTTCATTTAAAACCCCTCGTAAATATGGCAAGAAAATACTTTTTTTAGGTTGGAATGAAAGAATATTCGATTTTAATTAGATTTAATTAACATTTTATTATTTAATTACATAAACTATATAGAAATAGATAAAATAGAAAAGTTTACTTGGAAAGGCCACCTGACATTCATTTTTACACTATAAATATTTACTAGAAAGATAAATATATTAATATTGTATTATAACTATTATTTATTTCATTTATTTGAGACATAATAAATTATGAGAGCTTAAGAGGTAATATTTAATTTATTATACCAAGAAAGAGGTTATTTTAATGGCGACATAAGACTAAATACAGAATTAATAATGTTTTATTTTATGAATGTTATCTGCATTAAAAGTATTGACAATAAAAACCAGACTTAAAGATTGCCTGACATAATATTATAATAACACTTTATTTACATAGACAGTATTCAAAGAAACAACAATCAAATAATTATATTTTATGTGATAACCCTTTTTCTAAGTCAGTCAGTAAGTATTAAGTATATAAAAGCATGATTTAAAAAAAATCAAGGTTACAGCTTTGGATCTGTTATTTTTTTTAATATTATTTTACTATCAATAATTTATCTTTGAAACGCTACAGTTTTCATGATTGGACACTGTATTACTAGGCTTCGTGGATATATATAAATTACAATTGACGTCGACTTTATGAATTTGCAATAAAGGCGATATTCACAGTATATCCAAGTAGGTAAACTTGCGCGTGCGGCTACCACAAAATGTTAAAATATGCAATTGATTTGGAACTTAACTCAGTTGCAAACCATTTTGAACTTTGAATCTAATCTCTAAAGTTGAATATTGATTGGACTTTCAAAAATATTGTATTCTATAATCTCTATGAGCTGTTGTATGTACACAGAAATCTAACGACATACATAATACTTCGTAGATATTTAATACACTTTAAAAATCAACATTTGACAATATTAAAAACATTACTTCTAATTCCAGGATCTTTACAATCTTTTGGTAAATTTAAACCAAATCTGTGGAAATTACTTGATAAAAAATACAGCTGTTTAATCTGAGCGAAAGAGATAGAAAAACGGTAAAAGTAATGAGTGATTTTAATATATTTGTCTCTTTCTTGCGTGTGAACAAAGAGAGCTTTACCTTCATCTTAAAGACATAATATCTTGATAAGTAATTAAGCTATAAATACATGGTAATACATTTTTTATATTTTATTTTTTACAACGCTCCATTTGAAAATGGCAGAAGCGAAATTTTCATTCTTACATACACACCACACATCAAGTTTGTACATAAATTTGAACTTTTTTACAATCATTTAATTATCAAGTCATATTCTTTGGTGTTAAATATTTGAGCAGCGAATTCCGTATAATAAAGCAAGATCATTTTTTTCTCATAAATAGGTATTATTAAATTCTAGTGAACACTATGACGACCATATTGAGATTTAACGGAATAAAGTATAACATGACAAAAAATGAGATATTAAAAACAAATAGGATATGGCTTTCTTTGTATCCAATAGAATTTCTGTCAGTTTTCCTAAAGAAATCCTGAAAAATGTTTATGGGTACCTAACTAAATATTCCATTAGAGTTTCCTAGTGATGTGACTGAGTATTGATATATCGATATTTGAAAGTAACAAAATAGCTATTGTACTTTAAACTTAAATAAAAAAAAAGTGGAAATGATTTTGGGTTAATACCCAAATATAATAATAATTAAGTTATTAATATAACCATTTTTATTATTTTACTTTTTATATGTCTATGGTATTTTTAATGATAATCACGGTATGTTGTGAAAAAAAATGCAATATTTAAAAGAGTTTAAGAATATAATGAATTTAAATCTCCGTTGAATCTCAATGAAAGCGGTAGATGGTACATTGATTCCACTACTCTCCCATGACATCTTCATATTGTTTCCGGAAGCAGTCTCCCACCGGGAAGAAGTCCCAGCACCGCTGCGTATACATGTTCCACACGTATGTTTCTTGACCTGGATTTAGTAAAAAAATGGGTGCGTGTACTTATGTAGGCGCGTGAGAAGTTATCCTTCTTTGGCATCGTTTAAAATTAGTTTTTAATTGCATGCAAATAATTAATTACAATAAATTAATAAAAAGTCTGGAAAAGGACACAGTCAATAAAGTTCAGTTTTAATTTGAAAAAATAAATAAATAATCAAAATATTCAATTAAAATCGCTACTGAATATAATTTATTAGAACATATGTGATTTGCACTTGTATGAAACTGAAACACGTATTGCGAATATACAAACTAGAAACATGTGGATAAATATTATAAATATGAATACCTATAACTGTTACTTTATTACAATAATAACATAAAAGTAACATTGAAAAATAAAGATGAAGTTTTTGGTTCTACTACACCAATGGTCAAGAGATGGCGCTGTAGTCTCCTGAATCGCGCTTTGGTTCCGTTGTTCCAGATTAATAAATAATTTTGATAGGCCTTCATGATGCAGTCGTTAGCACCCACTAAATAGAGATTCTATTTCTATTTAGTTGGTAGATTTTCTTAATGTGCGGTAAACACAAAAGTAACAGCATGAAGTTGGTCGCTAAAGCGACCAACTTCATGCTGTTAAAATTTTGTGTTACAGTGATGCGCGCGCATCTTAAAATTTCACTCTCATCATTTTTTCATAACGCGCCTAAAGAAGTATAACTTCAAAAAATATTTTTATGAACCAGTTTTAATAACCAACCTCCAGTTTCAATAACAGTAAACATGCGTCATGACACGTGGGCTGATCGCATCACAGGCCACGTGTCCTGATCGTAAGACGAAAACAATAAAATTCGAAAGGTTGTTGACTTGAAATAATTGGACGAAACATAGTTATATTTTATTTTATCGTATTATAATAATAAGACTATCTAGGACGTCCAGGTGGCAGCTTTATTGCGAAGAAAATGCATTTTTTCTACAATAGATGTCGCTAGGTGCCCTTAGATGAGAAATTCTGAGAGATAAACTTTTTAGTGTCATGTCAATTGTCATGTTTGTGTACGATATATAAATAAATATTGTATTCTGCCATATAAATGATAGTCCTTTTATACTGATAATTAAAGAAATTCGTGCAAAATTATTCCATAACCATTCCAAAATATCAAAAATGCACAACGTTAATATTCAAGTTTTCACTTCTGCCGGCACTCCCGGAGTGCAACCCGTCGTTTTTTTTTGTTTAGGACCTATTGTGCAATCACATGGCAGTTTCGTCGAAACAAAAATAATTTTTGGTTATTTCACGCGAGCTTCGCTGGATTCGTTCTCTGTATGTAAAGTTATATGTGTTTCGGGTATAAGATTAACATAGTGAAAGATTGCAAAACTATGCTGGCGAAGCTCAATGGCGCAGGTGGTTAGCGTGTTCGGCTGCGATCGTCGAAGTAAAGCAACTTTCGCAGTGGTCGGTCATTGGATGGGTGACAAAAAATCTTCTATCTCGAGTTCCTTCGTGCTTCGGAAGGCACGTTAAGCGGTTGGTCCCGGCTGCATCTGCAGTCGTTAGCACCCGCCAATCCGCACTGGGCCCGCGTGGTTTGTCAAGGCCCTATCTCCCTATTTCATCTATAGGGAAGGCCTGTGCCCCAGCAGTAGGGACATTAATAGGCTGACGATGATGATGATTTCATATAGTGTCTAGAACGTTGGTTTACCTGTATATTCCGTGTCGGGTTTGTTGATGAGATGCATAAGGAAGAACATGTAGTTAGCTAAATTGTGTTCTCGAGCCACGTGCGTGTCAAAACCGTGCGGAACCTGCACATAAAAATATTAAATTAAATATCATTTATTTAGTTGATGTCACAAACATTGTTATGATAATATAACTAGAAAAAAATCCACGCGGACAGGCAGCAGACGGGACTCGAACCAGCACCCTTCGCAATCCGGGCGAATGCACTGACCAATTATGCTACCGCGGCCCCCACGGACCGCGTCGAAATTCTTCTAGCCATTCTTAAGCTGCAAGGCAGCGCCATCTCTTCGCATTATAGGTAACCCACAATGTCAAATGAATACTTTTACAAGTATTAAACATTTAAAAGAAGAAATAGCAATTATAGTTATAATTTTTATTATTTTAAAGCATGTAACTGCTTGATTTTTAAATCAAAAGAAAATATAACTAGATAAAATTCCACGCGGACCAGGCAGCAGACGGGACTTGAACCCGCAAATCAAGCAGTTACATGCTTTAAAATAATAAAAATTATTGTTATGATAGTTGTAGTAAAGGTAGATAAGGGGTTCAAGTATTACGTAACGCAATTCTTGAAAGTTTTTTGACCCCCTACCTCCTAATAGCGTTACGTAATATTTGAACGCCCCCTAAAGGATTTTTAAAAAACACCCCAACGGTTCGTAAGCATAGAATTCTTATGATATACTAAAACAGTGGAAAGACACATGGCCCTGGAGACACACGAAGTGGTCCGCGAAGCCTTACAAAAAAAAACTTATTGCAAACTAAAGGAGAACACGAAAACGTTCAGAACCACTGTTCTAAAACCGTAGAGCAAGCAACACGGGAGGGAGTAGTTATAGCGAACTATTCCTATTTAAATCATACTGTCGTTTCTTGCGGAGGGGAGGGAGGGGGGGTTATGGACATAATTGCAGTTTGACCTGCAATGCGAAGAGATGGCGCTGCCTCGCAGCCGTAGAAATACTAGAAGAAATTTGACATGGCCATTAGGAGGGTACGGGTCAGAGTCTTGTCTGCTGCCTGGACCGCGTGGAATTTATTCTAGTAAAATTTTCTTTAGATGTTCGACTTTTTATCGACGCAAATGTCAAATAAACTCAATTGTAATTTGACGGTCAATGTCGATAAATCGATAAACCAAGCCGGAGCAGATCGCTAGTCGGTAATAAATTCGCAAAATGTGCCGCATTTGAAGTAGTTGGAATCCATATCTTCCTTTACAGACTCTTGTCGCGGGTAATACTAATAGGTAACTAATAACTAAATATGCAGTATTCTGACCTTATCGAAATCTCACCGGATGCGTCGACGATCCAACCTACGGCTAACCGTATACATTTATATCCCTAAGGATATAAATGTATATATTATATCCCTAAGGATATAAATGTATACAGAGTGTGAAAATACCTTTAACGAAGTTCTTTAAGAAGTCGAACTACTACTAGCTACATATTTTTCACATCATGACGATAATTTTTCTCTTCTGGACCATACCTGGTTAAGGGTCAGAATCACAATTTATTTACAAGATTTTACCTTGATATTTTCAAAATGTTATTTAGAAACTGTTTGATCGCCCCTGTACATAAAATGTCCCGACCTTATCAATGTAGTCCCTGTTGATGCCGAATATGAAGCAGTTGGACTCCATATCTTCCTTTACAGACTCCAGTTGCAGGTAATAATAATAGGTAACAAATATGCAGTATTCTGACCTTACCGAAATCTCACCGAATGCGTCGAAGATCCTACCTACGGTTAGGGAAATAAATGAATATTTAAAAAAAATCTGACCTTATCAAAGTAGTCCTTGTTGATGCCGCATATGAAGCAGTTGGACTCCATGTCTTCTTTCACCGATTCCAGCTGGTCACGGAGCTCACCGAATGCGTCGATGATCAAACCTATGAATAGAACAGAAAACTTTATTTAAATGCTAAATACAATGGTGTTACAAGTAATAATAAAACAGGGAGAAAGAACAGCTATTGCTGAGTTTTTTGCTGGTTCTTCTCAGCACAAAATCGCTTGCCGTAGATTAACGAACCGAAGGAAGTGCTTGTAACGGCCTAAACTGAATAAATGATTTTGGTTAAGATTATGATTATAATGTAATGTGTATGGTCTGACAACACGTTTGTAATACAATTCAGCAGGACCAAGTTTGCTGCAAATAGTTTCATTTCTAGAGCATGTCACAGCTATAATAAATACTTCAGGGGATTGGATATATTTTGCCTTTCTTACAATCAATTTAGAAATGAATGCTATAAGGTCGTTTTACCCTAACACTTAGTAATTATTTTCTTTTATTCGCATAAATCTAAATATTGTACGTAATCTTAAGTAAATTATGTAAGTGTATGAATGTTTCAGTCTGTGGAAACTTAACTGGTTTATGAAAAAGTAATAAGTGTTACTTAATTGAATTGTGTAAAACTGTATGTTTCCCAAATGAAAGTAAATAAATAAATAAATAATGTCTTAGTTCTAAACAGCTGCTCGTTTCAGACGTACAATATTCAATATCGACGATAAATGATATTAAACATTTCTGGAAATACTCTTTTAAATTGTAAACGCAATTATCTACTAACCATTATTTTAATTAAATTTTAAATTCCAATAAATTAAAACCTTTAATGTCGTTGGGTATCATAGTATAGTTAATCTGTCGAAAAAAAAATCGTTTCAGTGAAAAAAAAACCTAAAGGTAAGTCTTGTTTTTTTGTTGCCAAATGAAGTCAGTAAGCCACCTTGGCGATGGGCATGTTCAACTTGTAGGCGTTTTTTGAAAAATTCAAAAAAACCCTCAAAAATTTTTGTAACGCATTTTTCTTGTTTTGTATGCATTTTAGAAACTTTTTTTTCGACCATAATTGTAGAGGGCGTTGAGTACTACAATTTATGTCATTGTTGCAATCTCGTATAACAAAAAATGCGCATTGTAGGTGGCGCTAGTCTCAAAAAAAGTGTTTTTTCACTTTTGCACCCTGAAAATATCATTTTAATGGAAAACTTTAAATAGCAAAGTTGTTCCGCACATGGAAGCCTACATCGCGCAAATGAAATTCGGAGGCTAACTCTTCATATATACGATGCCCGACCAACATCAGTCGGGCCGCGGCCCCCGAGCTACCATCACCCAGCTCGGAGGAAGATCTTCCCCTTTGGCTTTCCTACAGTATCATCACTCACCTTGTAAGATGGCCAGCAAGATGACGATGATGAAGAAGAAGAAGCTAATATCGAATATAATGCGATACACTTCGGAATCGTCACCGTCTGGGGGCTCTAATTCATCTCCTATGCCGCCGCCGGCTCGTACTCCTTTGTATAAGTTGAATACGAAGCACTGCCGACAAGCAACATAATTATTAAAATATATCTTAAAAATCTCTTCGGTGGTGTCGTGTAAAGCGGGTCGTTCATCATCAGCCTAGTAATGTCCCCACTGATGAGGCACACGCTTTCCCTATGGAAGGAAATGGGGAGATTGGGCCATGACCCACCACGCGGGCCCAGTGTGGATTGGCGGATGCTAACGACTGCAGATGCAGCCGGGACCAAGTGAGTGAGGGATAATAAATTTCTGGTCACCCATCTGATGACCGACCACTGCGTAAGTTGCTTAACTTCAACTATCGCAGCCGAAAGCACTAACCACTTGCGCCATCGAGCTCCTTTAGGAAGGATGCGATTTCTCATTCAACACTTAATCCTACATTTTTAGAAGTCAACACTCATTTTGATTCGTGTAATAGAAATACAGGGATTATTTCAAATTTTTAGTTAATGTTTTCTAACCGAGAGCATGTCGTGGCAGTTCTTGTTGACTTCGTCGTCCTCCTCCTGAACGTAAAACTTGCGGAAGAAGTTGAACGCTATCACCGTGTATATGTACACTATGATGGTCAGTAACATCACAGTGAGCACCAACTGTGGACAAGACATATGGTTACCATAATGATAATGATAATTTATTTGCTCAAACATGTAAAACATACAATACAACAGGGGTTTTAAATAAACAAGAATAATTATAAAATGTCTACCACATGCTGTTTAATAATATAATCAAACATAAAAATGTACACAAAATTAATTACTAGATTAAAATATTAAATGTTAAGATAAATCATTTTCTGTAATTGCAACATTAATAAGTCGTAGACGATTGTAACTAGATCCGTTTCCGTCTTGTCTATACCAAGAAATCCGTGCTGTAAGTTGTCTCCTTTATAATAAATTCATTTTGAGTATAACAAATATTCCTCTGCCTTTTATTTATACTCATGCAAATCATGAAAATATTAGTTAAAAGTTAAGTAAATTAAAACAGCCCTTGCTGAGTTTCTTGCCGGTTCTTTTCAGTTCAAAGTCTCCCGCCGTAGATTTCAGAGTGCTTGTAACAGCCTAGACTGAATAAATGATTTTGATTAATTGACTGATTGACATGATAATATGTATCTAAAGAAAATAAAATCTTAAGAAATTTAATTCTTAAGCTGCAAGAAATGGCACTGCCTTATATGAGTTACTAGCGGCCGCCCGCGACTTCGTACGCGTGGAGTTAGTTATTTGCACATACTTTTTGACCCCAAAAGGGGGTTTATTTCTAAAGATACATTATTAGTACACCTCTACACTTAAAATAATAACAACATTATACATGCGTCGTTAGATTACACGTTGTTACAGAATGCGTTGAAGAAATAAAGGTTCACTGCTCGTTCCCCGTATGTGATAATATGTAGCCTTTAAGTTGATCCGACTTCTTAATAATATTCGTGCCAAATTTGAAGTAAATTCATGCAGTACTTTTTGAGTTAATGCCGGACATACATACAGACAAAAAGACAAAAATTAAAAAAAAAATTGGCTTCGGTATCGATTGTAGATCACACTCCAAGTATTCTTTTGAAAAAATTTTGAATTATTGAATGCGAAATATTGAATTGAATATTTTTTTAAATATATATAAGATTAGATAAAGCAAAGATTCAGAGAGGTCAATTAAGGTCAGTAACGTGTTATCTAGCTTTCTAAGTACTGATGAAAGATTTTCCAATATCAGTTTAGTATGTAGCAGGGATGTAACAGCTATAAGCCGCGCCAATAAAGAAACGATTCGAAAATGGCGTCTATGTACCTGCACTGACAGATGGTAGGGTCAACAAATAAGAAAAGAATACAGAGCGCGTCGACACAGTGTGAAAACAAAGTCCGAACTGTTTTTTTTGCATGCAGTACGCGCCGTGTGCGACTAAAGACAGCAATAGTTTAGAGTGAGACCGCATGATCGCCGCCGCGATTGAAGATTCGTTTCTTTATTGGCGCGGCTTATAACAGAAAATTATTCATTAGTCATATTATTAAGTTTTAGCTAAAAACAATCTCTTCAGATTCTTGATTTATAAACCTATAAACACATTACCTGTTTCCCATTATGGGTGACAGACTGCAATATGGTCCTCAAGGTCTTGAATCCCACAGCGACGTCTAGTAAATGGGCGGCGAAGAAGAAGTTGTTGAAGTTGCCCATGACAGAGAACGAGAAGTACCATAGAGAGTAGAGGAACGAGTTGTCTGTGATCGTGACGCCTGCCTTCCACACTTGGTAACGCCAGTCTATGGTCATTATGCTGGGAACAATAATGGTGGGCTTAATTCGTGACTCAAAGGACATAGGATAGTTTATTTTTCACAAAAATCTTCGTTTAAGGTGATGGAAACGGGTGGATGTTTAGAAAGGAAACCCATTTTTATAAAATAAATTTACAATAGGGTATTTGACAAGTGCAAGAAAACGATCTTAAGTTATTTGTTAATGTCTATGGAGTCCATAAAAATTCATCATTCTGTTGTGTATTTTAGTAAATATAACTAAATAAAAAAAAATGGATGCGTGTAACTTATGTACGCGCGTGAGAAGTTACACTTCTTTAGCATCATTAAAAATATTTTTTAATTGCATGCAAATAATTAATAATTACAATAAAATAATAAAAGGACTGGAAAAGGATAGTTAACACAGTCAATTAAGTTCAGTTTTAATTTGAAAAATTAAATAAATATTCAAAATATTCAATTAAAATCACTACTGAATTTAAGTTATTAGTCCATATGTAATTAGCACTTGTAAGTAACTAAAACACGTTGTAACCACTAAGTGGTTAATAATCCACCATTATTAGACACTAACATTCATAACGCGCCCGCGGCCAACTTCATGGTGTTACTATTGTGTTACAGTGATGCGTGCGCATCTCGAAATTTCACTCACATGATTTTTTCATAACGCGCCCGCGGCCAACTTCATGCTGTTACTTTTGGGTTACAGTGATGCGCGCGCATCTAAAATTTCACTCTCATCATTTTTTCATAACGCGCCTAAAGAAGTTTAACTCCAAAAATCTATTTTCAAGTTGCCGCGAAAACGTTTCTCTGGGCGATATGGCGTCTCACTAGTGTGTGAAAAATCTTCCAATGGCATATCCGAACGCTCAATAAAAGTCTTTCGAAGGTAGCTCGACAAAGTAAATAAAAAATCATTATTCTGACGATGCAAACTTGAAAAGACTGCGAAACGTCAATAAATAAATAAAGTTCGCGCATTAACCCGTTAAAACTAGTTTTATTTAACATTATATTATAGTATAACTCGCTGATTAAAGTAGACAATAGGGGTGATGACGGGGTACAGTAAATGAAATTCTATTTAGTCCGTCAGTTAGATGATCAAAAAATAATGGACACGTATTTTTTCTTTGGGATATCAACCAAAAAATGGCAAAGTTATAGCGCGTCAAAGTTTGGGAGTAGGGGCTCATGACGTCACTTTTGAGTGAATTTTCACTTATAAGTGTACTCAAACGTGACGTCATGCGACTTTTCAAATCAATATCTCTGCAATGTTTATATTATGAGAATAAAGAAAAAATACGTGTCCAATACTTTTTGATAATCTACCTGATAAACGAAGAAAAAAAAATACCCTATTATAGTTTTTTTTTTTTTATTATTTTAAAGCATATAACTGCTTGATGTTTAAATCTACAGAAAATATAACTAGAAAAAATTCCACAAAAATTCAGTGCATTCGCCCGGATTGCGAAGGGTGCGGGTTCGAGCCCCGTCTGCTGCCTTGTCCGCGTGGAATTTTTTCTAGTTATATTTTATATAGATTTAGACAATTATACTTACAATTGCAACAATCCTTTGCTTCCCTCGTCTTCTTGTGCCGAGAACGAAGTCTTCTCCATCCCCAGCATGTTGGAGATGGAGTCGAAGTCGTAAGTTTCCGAATATTTGGCGCGAACTTTCTTTTTGACAAACTTATCCCAGTAGTTCACAGGGAACGACCTAGATGGAAAAAAAGAAGAAAGGAATAAACAAAATTTATTTGCCAACTGTAGTAGGTACTACATCTATATATATAAAACTCAAAGGTGACTGACTGACATAGTGATCTATGTATGACACAGCCCAAACCACTGGACGGATCGGGCTGAAATTTGGCATGCAGGTAGATGTTATGACGTAGGCATCCGCTAAGAAAGGATTTTGATCAATTCTACCCCGAAGCGAAGCGAGGGCGGGCCACTCGTTTATATATAAAATAAAGCATCAACTACTAATAAATGGTGTTGCAGTGGCAAAAAAAGTCTCCAGCTCAGCACATGCCATGACACAGAATGTCAAGAACGCTGGTCTGGCTGAAAGCCAGAGGCATAAATATTTCGTATATGCAGTGTTCAAAAAACAATATGCCGCAGAAAAACGGAAATATTGTAAAATATACTGCAGAAACACAGAAAAATATTGTATTGCAATTTAACAAAATTGTGCCGGTAGTCTTTCGCTGAAATACAACTCGCATTTTGAAAATTTTAACTGTAAACCAATATCACTGAACGATTTTGTATTTTTTCCAAATCTGACAAAACAGAAGCAGCGTCTCGACCCAGGGTCGTCTAAATACCATACATTGAAATTTGAAGTCAAATTCTTTATGTGGGGGTGTATTGCCAGACTGAATATTGCCGGTCCGAGAGGGTCGCCCTGCTGACAGCCGACAGTTGATTGTATTACTTGACCATTATAGGCTAGGCTGGTAGATCCGCTGTAGTATTGCCACAGGTAAGCAAAGGTAAGTGGTATCTGTTCCTTATTATAAAAAGAATAGATTTATTTGTTGATAAATAAATTTCTCAACTTATATTGTTACTAAATAAATACATTTTCCATACTCACTTGGCGGATATGACGAGTTTATCCCAGTGACTTTTAAGGTCGTCATCTTCCGGCTGTTCAGCTATATAGAGACCGTCGAACTCAAGCCTGCGTGCTATCTCTTTCTCACGTTTGAAGATGGCTAAAGGCACCTAGAGAAGGACAGAGGAAGTCTTTAAATAAATTTTCAACACATTTGCTAAATAAATTAATTTACGGAGGTTGTATACATTGTTCGAAAGTTCAAAATTACCATACAACAGAGCGTGCGGTAAAAACTTTACCGAATGCTCCGGTATATGGCACCGTGCGTATCGATATAAGATAGTGACATTATCAGTAGCAACCCCCAGATTTTATAATTTCATAATTTACAGGCTATTGCTATAGTTTTTTCAGTCGCTCATCATTGAGAATGTGATTATTACCATTTTTATTATAACCACACCACCACAAAACGCACAATTTGACTTTTAAAAATAAAAACGTATATATCAATAACCATTCATAACTATTGTGACAGATAACGTGGTTTCCACGACACCTGCGCCTTTTGCGGTGATAATGGGCAGTTTTCTTCCATATACACAAAAAAAGTAATGATTTTTATAACACTGCTCTATGGTCTATTTTAGTTCTCACCTTGAGATGATAGTATCCTATGAGTATGGCCAGAGACACGATAGAATGCAGCAAGGCAGCCACCTTGATCACGTGCTCCATGTAGAAGAAGTCCTCGTCTATGTGAACCACTTCGAGACTATCATCATCTTCGGCAGATTCGCCGCTTCCACCTGAAAATGGACCTTATGTAGATAGGTATAAGATTGGTATTCCGATGTTTGAGTCAATGGTAACATAAGAAGGTTGCTATCTGAAAATGGACTTTGTGTTCAAGTGGATAAGGTTAGTGTTTAATATGTGTTATCAAAGGTTGTGGATTTAATTACTAGAAAAAAAATCTTGACTCATTTCAGCCAACTACAAAAAAATGTCCAAGGATCGTTCTTCCTTTGACTGTTTTTGTAGTCGGCTTTTTGGAAATTCAAACAAATATTCACATTCATCAGTTAATTTGTACTTTTTTAAAGTGTTTTTTTATTGTGTTTAATTGTTGAAATTCAATTTTTTTTTCTGTAAACTTCAGCCCATAAAAATTGGTTTTATATTATTGTTGCTTTGTTTTTTTAATATTTAATTGTAACTTGTTTTGTGAGTTAATCAATAAAATAAAGCCGTAGCTTAAGCCCGATATTATTCTATATCTAGTCGACAACGCTCCCAATAAGGGTTTTTGAGAAAATCCATGACAGTAGTTGGCTGCCATTGTAGAATGAGGTCATAAAAATATTTTTTGTTTTGGCAATAACTCATCGGGCACGCATTTAAACTGGTTCTAGACAATGGAGACATAACAGATTTAAGTGCTGCAATCTAACGCTTGGTGTTTAAAATAAAACCCTCAATATGAAAAAAAACTCAGAGATTTAGATTCGAATTTGATAGCTCAAACATAGTCCAATACTTTTTGATAATCTACCTGATAAACGAAGAAAAAAAAGTCATCATCCCTATTGGTTTTTCTAATTTCTGATATAAAAAATAAAGTATCAAATATATTTAAAAAGGTACATAAGGTTTAGAATTATATAAATATACTATTTTATTAAAATATATTTGTGTATGATTAAAACACATATATATATTTATATTTATACAAAATGGTTAAAAAATAATTGTTTTATATAATAAACGAGTCTCACCATCCCCACTACCAGAGCCAGAACCAGAGCCAGAGCCACCGATAATGTCACCGACTCCAGAGCCGTCGCCATCTTCGCTGTCCAAAGACGAAACCTGAACGACGGGAAAGTTGATCAATTTCGACTACTAACATTATCACGCTATTAATGTCCCCACTTCTGGAGCACAGGCCTTCCCTTTGGATGAAATAGGGAGATTGGGCCATGATCCACCATGCGGGCCCAGTGTGGATTGGTGTGTATATAGTAAATTTTTGGTCACCCATCCAATGCGAAAGCTTCACTTCAACGATCGCAGCCGAACGCGCTAACCTCTAGCGCCATCGAGCTCCTTATCGTCTAGTAAAGTAACAGGCTATTTGACAGTATGTAAAATAAGGTACTTATTGTTGGTATTAGTATTTAATATCAAAATAAGCAGCGATTTTACTTTCCTGAAAGGACAAATACTTAATAACTTTTCTATAAAATCATTTATAGATTCTTTCTCCATGGTCACGTGACCAAAAACGCCTGGGATTGGCCGAATCTAAAATGACGTCACACGCTAGTAAACTTCCGGCTAAAGTGACATTACATTATATCGTTTGACGTTTTAATGACAGTAGTGTAACATCACATACTAGTGAGACGCCATCATGTTCTGAGAAACGTTTTCACGGCTACTTGAAAATTAAAATTAAATTGAACTTTAACACAACATAATTAAATATATCCACTATACCTAACATAACATTAGTAAATAATGTGAGATCGTTTTCTAAAACTTGTTACGAGTAGTCGTGAAATGTGACTCAACAATCAGCTATAGGGTACTTGAAGTTTTGAAAACCATAATACGTTATTTAGTGTTTACGGTCTCCGATAAAAATGTATATTTATTTGTTTCAATAAAAAAGAATCGGTTTTCAAATATGCCAACGAAACCTTTCTCCAGGTCCAGGCAATATTAATGAGTCTCAGACAAGCGTCGTCACACATTTGTTATAGAAAGGTATGAGACAAGAGTAACGATATTTCGACAGAAAGTTAACAAGCGTGTGACCACCAATCCTAGCCGTTTTCAATCACGTGAGTATTGATAATAAAAAACCTTTCTATTTAATGAAAACGTGATAAATTAAACTTATTTTTTTATTGCCAAAGAAGTGAAATTCCTGCCAATACTTCAAAGTTAAAGGCCAACAATAATTCGATAAAGTCTGCTCCTACACTTCTGATATGCGACTGTTTTCCTCCAAAATAATTCCTAGTCTCATTCTTATGTAAAAAAAGCGAATAATCTTTCATGTATAATTCCCCCACGAAATAATAAACTTACTCACCTTATAAAACAGCAGTACGAAGTTGATGCAGAAGGCGAGCACTAACGCGACGTACTTCAGGTTGTAGAAGTTTCGCGCCAAGAAAGAGACGGCGCGCTTCGTGTACTGAGACAGATCTACTTGGGAGAGTGCAGAGGGTGCTGGCCCTTGGACCGCCTGTTGTATTAGAAAATGATACTTATTACTGCAAAACATAAGGCGGGAAATTGTGTGCAGTTCATAGAGTAAACAGAGATTTTCTTCTATTAGTAACTTTAGATAATAGGCTGATTATTATTTTATGTTTCTTAGTTCTCACGGTTTTTTAGAAAGCGAATCTAAAAATTCCGTGCTTCTGCAGTAAAGCAATGTATAAATACATTAAATAAAGTTCGTGCATTAACCTGTTAAAACTAGTTTTATTTAATGAGTGATGTGCGTGAAAACCTAAGAAACAAATATACTAGATTTTTTTAGAAATGTAATATTTGATCCCCCAATATAGTAGGATACTATATTATGTAGTAGGGTTGGCAACCCTCCATTATACCTATGTTATGTAGATATAACACAAAACATGATACAATAAGATATAGGTAATGTAATCATTGATATTATGAACAGATCCTTTTTTTGTACAAAAAGACATATATAATATTAAATGTATTTTGATTTTTGCAAATTATTTAATTACCTTTCTCCTTAGAATAAAGGGATGCTGCATGAAAAATTAAGGCCTGCATTATTGCTTGCTAAATAATTCAAAATAACATCTTTTCAAGTTATTAAGGAAACCTAAGTTGTTATTTTTTTTAAGTTTTCTAAAATTTTATAAACAGCCTTGCATATAACTTAATTTTCTAAGGTATAATTAAAATACTCTTAAAAGTAAATAGCTTGTTTTTATTTTATTTTTAAGCATTTAACTGCTAGGATGTTTACATCTAGTAAATAGCTTTCTTGATAATTATACATGACTGACGATGACACATGACACACTAAGCGTATTCAATAATTTTTATAGGTATAAATCTAAAGAAAATATTACTATAAAAATTTCCACGCGGACCGGGCAGCAGACGGGACTCGAACCGAAACTCGAAGGGTGTCTGCTAATATTGGGCGAATGCACAAACTATTATGCTACTGCGGCCTTGATGGCCGTGTCGAATTTCGGATAGCGAAAGGTGCGGTTTTGAGTTCCGTCTGCTGCCTGGTCGGCGTAGATTTTTTTAATAACATTTTCTTTACATTTAAACATCTAGCAGTTAAATGTTGAAAAAATATAACTACTTAAAGCTACTTTTACTCTTCGAATACAACAATTATTTGGTCTTTGTCGCTGTAAATAAACAGCAGTTATCATAGTTTACTTTGATTATGAAAATTTGGTAGTCTGTGCGGAAAGAGAATGGGATTTTGATTGGAGGGCGCTGTAGTGCTTTTCTACCGTATTTATTAGGTTTTACCCCTTTTACACATATTATATACAAAAAACCACAAGAAATCACAACAATAAACCAATCCGTATCAATACAAAACTTTGACGTTTTACAGATTGCTGGGTTTGATTGCCAAATAAAAATCTTAATGTTAGTTCCGTTTTTCGCCACGCCCATTCTCTTTCCGCACAGACTCTGAAGTTGTTAATTTTAGGGAGCGGCGTTAGAACAAAACGATGTTCCTACAAAAAAGTGAGACACAGTTTCAAACCTTGTTTAAGCAAATTTAGTACTTATGTAATTTTTTCTTTAAACCTTGTTGAAAGTATGTCTAACTTTTTGTGGGACTTACAACGGTATTAAATACCCTAGATACAACAACGCGAACAAAATCGTGTCCAAAACTTGTTCAAAAGGTAGATTGGATGATCCACGGAGCTACGTAAGATGATCGCGTACTCAAAAATAATATAAGGCATTATTTAAACATTGAAAGTCACCTTTAACGCATACTGTATAAAGTCTTAATTAAAACGCATGTGTCAAACAGTGCGAAATTCTAAGGCTAATTCTGTATAATACGCTGTTAGCAGGTACGGACCGCGAGGAAAAGAGGGCAATATAACCGACCATGCATTTGAATATAACAAATATTTTCTATTAATTTTGTTTATAATAAGTGATACAACAAAATTAGCTTCCAATGCGTTAAATTAAAAAACATTGATTAGAAACCTGTCGAATAATTACACTTTACGTACTATAAGTATTTTTTTCGCATTTTTTCACGGAGCTCTGCGTTGTCTTGACTTTTCGACGGTCCGCGCGTGACTGTGAATCAAGAAGTGCTGGAGTGGTGTTCAAGCACTTCTTGATTGGGACACATTTTGAGCGCACGTGGTGTATCTAGGGTATTCAATATCGTTGGGTACTGAATTAAGGAGTGGTTTAAAAAGTGGGCGTTACATGAAATTCGTTTGACAACCTTGCTTTAGACTGATGTTAAGGAAACAACTGTTGGCTCACCTTTTTGCTCTCCGCTTCGATGGCAGACATGGCAGCTTGTTGTACAGCTTGAGCTTCCATTCGTTCTTGAGCTTGCTTCTTCGCTTGTTCACCGCTGCACAGTAGACAAAAATAAATATATCATCATCTTCACCAGCCTATTAATGTCCCCACTGCTGGGGCACAGGCCTTCCTTATGGATAGAATAGGGAGATTGGGCCATAACCCACAATGCGGGCCCAGTGCGGATTGGGAGGTGCTAATGACTGCAGATGCAGCCGGGACCAACGGCTAAACGTGCCTTCCGAAGCACAGAGGAGCTCGAGAAAGTAAATTCTTGGTCACCCATCCAATGACCGACCACTGCGAAAGTTGCTTCACTTCAACGATCGCAGCCGAACGCGCTAACTACCCGCGCCAGCTCTTCGCATTAATATATCACTGACATTTTTATAAGAAAAGGTTCGTTGTGAGGTTCCAGGATCTCAGACCTTTCTGGATGTATAGTGCGAATTTATGAATATGGCGAAAATTAGAACTAACGCCATAGCTTTGTTAACAAAGCTGTTTCGTTGGCTGTTAAAAGTTGGTTGGTTGGCTTGGTTTGTTGTCATCACCTCCTTATATACAGTCCCTATTTTCGATACAGCGGGAATATAGATCTACAATAGGGTATTTGACAAGTTTTAGAAAACGATCTCACGATATTGACTAATATTTATGGCGTCCGTAAAAAGTGGATATTCATAATTCTGTTGTGTATTTCAGTAAAAATAACCAAATCAAAAAATCATTTTTTTTTAGTTTCCGGGATAAAGTTTCTCTAGACGTCGTCTTACTAGTGTGTGACGTCACACGACTGTTATTAAAACGTCAAACGATACAATGTAATGTCACTTTAACCGGAAGTTTACGTGCGTGTGACGTCATTTTAGGCTCCGCCAATCCCAAGCGTTTTGGGTCACGTGACAAAAGACAAGAAAACTATTATTTTTATCGTGGGTTTTAAGTAAAATTATGAATATTTTTTTTGTAAAAATAGTAAAATCCCCTGCCAATATTCATTCTTAACATAAATGTTAATAATTGGCACTTTATTTTTAATACTGTCAAATACCCTATTTAATCGTTCCCGACCCAGTCATCTAGGGCTTCACCCACAGCTGCGTTGGCACACCTTCTACAGGATAATGTTAAGCAAATATTAAAGTCCTTACCCCAGCAGGTCTATGAGTGAGGGCGGTCGTTGTTCCTCGGCGTGGTCGGTTCCTTCTTCCAATGAAGCGTCAGCTTCCTCGCCTGATGATGGAGTCGAAGTGCTAGGGGACTCGTGCGGTTTCACTTGTAGTCTGCCATTGGAAAGAGAGTGTTAAAGAATCTTTGTAATTATAGTATCTTTTTTATTTTACTTATATCCAAATATATCCTGTAGTTACCAAAGTTAAGAATATGCAGCATGAGAAATAAATATATTTACTCATCGAAAACGTCTAAGCAACATGTATAAATGTGATTCAACTAAGAATAGGATCGACTGGACGCCATATTGTGGCGTCGTAGCTGTCAATTCAAACCAAATAGGTAGAGTGAGCAGAAAGTTATTAATTAATAAAGCTTATTTACTAAGAGTAAATGAGAAAAACATCAGTTTTTTAACAAAAATAATTTACTAAGATTGAGAAAAAAGAACGATTTTTAATAATATATATTTAAAGAAAAGTTTTAATAGAAAAAAATCCACGCAAACCAGGCAGCAGATGGGACTCGAACCCGCACCCTTTGCAATCCGGGCGAATGCACTGACCAATTATGCTAATATTTAAATATTAAGACTGTGTGAGAAAAAACATTAATCAGAATCTAACTTTTCAATTCCCCTCATCCCTGCATTACTAGGTCTCATACGAACATGCATCCTTCATATAAACGATAGTTTTAAATCGAGTTTCTGAACGCTACTTAAGATGAAATTTGGTTGACGATTTAGGTTATCAACCATTCATAGCCAAAAACTGTTTGTTTTTTATTCTAGAATTAGCCCAGTACTAAAAAAGGGTTCCAAGATTTTTTTGCAAACCGTACTCTCAAGCGTCATTTGACAGATGGAGGTCATTGACTTTCCTATTCTTATTTGAATCGCACTATATGGTTTTAAACTTTTGAACGTTTTTTTCTATTGCAAATTATATTTTTTTAAGAGAACAAAACACAATCGAAAAGAAAATTTTTTTATCAGCTCTCTATGTTTCCGGGATCGAAAAAGACTGTATACCAACATTGGTATACAGTGTACATACTGTACTAAGAAAAACATATCAGTTAATAAAACACAGTTTCTGTAAATTATGCGTGTTGCTTCCCCCTCGTTTACACAAAGGTATATTAAACAATGTCTTAATTTTTTGTTCGATTCGAATTCGATAATGGTTATGGCTAATGTTAAAGTATTTGTCTTTTTATAGATAATCTCGCGATCGCTTTGTTCCTTACATATTTTTTGCAGGCATTGCTAAGGTGATTGGGTAGGTTACCCATTCTTTCTATTTCTATAGTTAATCTATAATTCGATTATGTCTATACCTTGTGTCTAAGTAAAGGAGACTAAGGCCCGTATTATATAAAGATTCTCAGTAATGAATCTAGTCTTGAGCATAGTTAGAAAGGGATGTCGCTATATATAGGAAATAGCGACATCCCTTTCTAACTGTACTCAAGTAAAGATCAACACTTAGTTGTCATTCTGTAACACGGGCCATAGTTATCAATTCCGAAATGATTCTCTAAACCTAAACTTAAATGTCGGACCTAACTATAAAAAAAAAAAATTAAAAAAATATTGACAGCAATGTATCCTTGTCATTTTGTACACAGAATGAAATGGACAGGCTGATGTTAAATTTAGTTTTAAGTTCATGAGAATCATGCTGGAATCGATACCATTGTAAAGCTAAATTATACGACTTCCGTGCACGAGCCCGGGTTTCGAATCCCGGTGGGGGCAGATGTTTGTGTGATGAATACGAGCATTTGTACACTAGTCATGGATGTTTAATATGTATTTCTATATAAATATACATATATATGCATAAGTATATTTATTCTATCTATTACCCTAGTATCCCATAACACAAGCCTACAGTGCTTTGGGGCTAGGCTAATTGGTTTGACTTGGGAAAAATAAATGATGAAGACAACTTACTGGCCGTTGTCTTCTTTAGTGATGTCCAGACCGAAGGCTTGCACTTGCAGCTGTCCCGTGTCATCTGCTGGTGGTAAAGCAGGCAAATGTCTCGTGGGACCTGGTGAAACAGAAATACAAAGTCACAATTCAGTATATTTTGATATGGAGTCAATCGAAAAAAAACTTTAGGTAAGCTCTTTTAAAAGTGCAATATATTGTTCTAACCCGCTAAAACATGTTTATACCATCCTGAGTATTTATAATGATTACTATAAGAAAAAAAAAGATATTTGATATTATTATTTTCTAAGTCGCGATGTTTGCAAATTAAATTCTTTAGAAAAAGTAAAGTGCGACTTGTAACTTCAAAGGTAAAGCAGGCTAGTACAACCACCACTTAACATCAGGTAAGGTGGAGTAATTTGCACTACACATAGCATTTTTGTAAAGAATAAATTACTAATTAAATTTCATATCATTTATTTTGTTTGCTAAACGTTTATAATTAAATAAATATAGTTATGTAAAAAATGTGTTAAGTTTGTAATTTCGTGTAGACATCCAAAAGCAGTTTTAATTCACAATCAACATTAAAATATTACGTAGTTCTCCAAAACTTTACTAGTAATGTACCTAATCATAAAGTTGACTTTCGATGTATCGTGATGATCCTTGTCGTAATATGCTAATCTAACTTATATAGATTTTAATTCTGTTAGAGCAGGATATGACAAGAAAAGTCCACAATGGTGTCGATTCTGGAATGCTTTTCTAAACTTAAAACTAAATTTAACATCAGTCTCAACTTTTCATTTTGTTTAAAGAATGACAAGGATAAATTGTTGTCAAAATTAAGTTTAGTTTTAGAGAATCATATCAGAATCGACACCATTATACCGAAAATTGTTTTCAAGTATCAGCTCACTGGATTATTAGGAATGTTTAAGACGAATACGACCTTAAATAATAGTTTTTTTATTTAATTAAAGTTCAGGTTACTTCTAGATTATGAGTTTTGGAATCGTATAATTTCTAATGTCGATTGTATTCTTTGTTATTACATTCGAGTTACATGTTACGTACTGCCAATAAAATCTTAAACAGTCTTAGTAATTTTGAAAATTGTTAATAATTTATAGTGTTATGAAAAACCTGCGTTTGGCGATTAGGTGTAGCTATTGTTGTTTTTGCGATCGAATATCGAGTGAGATCATAATGTAACGTAATCCAAGATCTCGAAATAATTCTGCCTGATCAGAAATTTTTAAAATTGATAATATGTTATTTTCAATTACTTAGTAATGCTGTTAAAAAAACGTTAACACAGAAGCATCTTCACCACGAAAATGACTTCGTCATACAAAAAAAACGTCACAATGACGGAAATGGCAGTACCACAATTAAAATAAAATTAGCACCACGTAAATGGCATCCCTTAAAAATTATATCACTTCCACGGAAATGACATCAGCACCATGTTAATGACACCGTCGTCACGGTAATGACTTTTAAAACGGAAATGTCACTTTTATACCACTGAAATAACGTCAACGTAGCGAATTAACGAATCGAACGCAAAAGCCCAAGCTGCACACCTTGTAGCTACCTGTGTAGTGTTTCCTTACTTGTGTTCGCGAGCAACCTGTGTCTCAACTGACCGATTTTCTCCTCCTCAGTGGGTTCTGGAGGCGGTTCCTCCGTCTGCGGTCCTCGCATCAACCCGAGTAGAACGCCGAATATGTACCTGGCACGGTGACGACGTTTGTGCAATTAGATAAGAAGTACAGAACGCGAAAATCTACCCAATTAAAGCCAATTTCTCGTTTACGAAAGTACCGTTGCTAAAACGCTGCCGAGACCGCATTGTTAATTTATTTTCGTGCGTTTTTCTAACTTTTTGTCCTTTTGCAACACTTTCGGGGAAAATATTGTGATGCATATTCCACCCGATTTTTGTGTCGAATATATTTTCGCAACGATACTTACAAAAAAATAGAATAATCGCACGAAATGACTTTGTCAGAAGGTGTTAAGGATTGTAAAGGTTAATTTCTCGACATTTTCGTCACAAATATGTACCTATGCGAAGTTTATCTCTTTCGCGACGGAACTTTCGAGAACGTTAAAAAAATGGCATAGGCTGATTACGTTATGTTATAGTTATAATAAAAAAGTAACATGTAATTATAAAAGTGCAAATCAAAAATATTTAAGTATTTATAAAAAAATATAGAAAAGCTAAATAAACGCTTCATTTACAAACAGGTAATAAGCGCATTTTATGATACGTTTGCATTAAAATTGAGTTAATCATCTTAAATTTATTTGTAAACTGCAAAGAATTTCAAAGTTTGTTCTTTTGAGAAGTAACAAAGCTATACGAGGTAAAAACGCAAAACAAAGTAAATATATGTATTAAAAGAAAATTCAAAATTCCTTAAAAATATTATCACCACTGAAATATCACTTCTGACAATACAATATTTTTTTAGTTTAACGAAATTTATGGTGGCTTTCTTTATGATCGTAAGAAAAGTTATAGAAATTGTTTTACTAGCTATCTCATCATAAATTTAAAGCGAATAAATATAATAGCTAAAAATATATCAGAAGTGATATACGGCCAACATGGAGAATGTTTAATCGTTAAATACTGGGTTAAGCTTTCTAGAAAGGAATTTAAAAAATAATACTTTTGTTCTATTCGCTTACAATTTTTAAGTAAACAAGTGCAAGTACAATATTCAGAAAATCACAATATGGACTACATTAAGGATTACCACTGACGAGATGAATACCTTAATTTTCTTTAAAATATGATAAGTTTAATATATCTTTCTCTATATAGCAAAAAGACGGTACGAAAGCACATGCGTATTAAGTAATATTAGAATTTATCGACACTCATATTCCATCCCTTTTCTGTTATTGAAAAGAGATAGAGTTAAAAAGAAAGAGATTGACTCTTTTTCTTTCTATTTTTCTTTTTCTTTTACCAACGATCAACTCTATAGGAAATAGACAATATAAGCTAAGGCACGGCACAGCACACACAAAGTATTTACATAAAAAGGCAAATCATTACCAATGACTGTGAACCATTGCAATGCGTGAAATACACAAGAGGATATTTTGAAATATTCTCATTATTAAAATAATTTTCAACCTAAACTTCAATAGAAAATGAGATCAGCGTGTTAAAAGATTCAAGACATCAATAATAAATTTCAAAAGAGGTTCTAAATTTTTCTATATTATAATAGTTTATAAAATAATTTTCAAATTCTTAATAACAGCTACGGAGCTGGTGGCAGCAGTGTTTCCACTTTAATGATTTCCTTTCCCCATGCCTCAATTCAGATTTCCCCTTCTTAGGACATTTTTCCCCTCAAAAATTATTCTGCTGTAGTTTTTAGATTTGGCACTAGTGTAGTAACTAAAGAAAAAAAAGGTCTTAATCTATCTTATTCTGTAACAGATAAATAAAATATATAAAATCTGCACGTGTTGACACAGTTTCCTTTATACGGCAATACTCTAGTCCACGGTATAGTCCATAAAAATTTTGTTCCGTGCCGCATTATTTTAGGCTAAGCTTTACCCATAATTTCCCGCAGTTTCCCTTTCTTCTTCTTTCATATCTTTCCCCTTTTTCTTCCCCTCTGGACCCTAATTTCCCCTTAAAAGGGGAATTTCCCCTCATTGTGGAAACACTGGGTGGCAGTAATTTTTTTATCATTCCATCGATTTAACAAAAAATATTTTTATGTTTTAATTATTAGTAAATGTAAGAAAAAGATGGCAGACATTTACAACTCTGATTTTAATTTTATTTTTTGGAGCGTCTAACAGCTATTGTGTACTATTTTTTTACAGTTAATTTTTTTACAATAATTATTTTTATAAAAAAACTCCCAATATCCTGACAACTGTCAGTTTTAATTTCACTATCTATAAAATTGATGACAGTAACGAAACTACAAATTTTGAGAAGAAAATTTTTTTCAATTTCGAAATATTTAAAATAAAAAGTAACAGAGCTACGTTTGCTCGCCACTTATTTTTTCTAGTTAACATAATGTCGTGCCGCGATCTGATCGCGGCGCTCGGCGGAGGAGGCCTCACGCTGCCAAGTATGGTAAGAGCCATGCTTGGTAGCGAGAGAGCCTGGAGGGTTGCCGCCTCCTTCTGCGAATCGTTGATGACGCAGAAGGAGGCAGCGGAGAGGGAGCGGGAGGAGGACGCTCTAGCCGCCCCTCTCCGGCGTAGACGGGTGGGCCGAAGGAGGCAGGCAGCGGTGACTGCCGGTCTTCGACGGCCCTAAGGTGGCCTGGGCGCGGCCTGGGTGCCGCTCCGGCATAGGCCACCACGTCTGGGGACTGCCTAGTACCCTAGCGCAGTCCCCCTGAGGCGCGTCGCCCGGTCCACTCGTTGGGCCGGGCCTGCCCGGGGGCGTCCCAGTCAAGTGGCGCACGCTAAGGTGCGTCGATCCTGAGACGCCCCCATATGGGCGTAGGAGGGTACCGGGGGGTTTTAGTGGAGTAGGATCAGTGTGGCCTTCCGCACTGGTCCTGCTTGAGTAGGGTCAGCACTGTTTCCCGTGCCGGCGAGTCCCACACACGCCGTGCGTCTAGTCAGCGTCACGGTATGGTGCGTAACTGCATTTCTCCTCGTCACAAAAAAAAAAAGGTGCAGACGACATTAAGCCTTGCTATCAACGACGATGAAATCATAATCTAAATTTCCACCAGCTCCCTAGCTATAACTTTCTTTATAACACATTACAGTGGCCAACGAACGAATTTTGAAAGCTCCGTAATCGTTGCATCGTCAAAGATTCTATGAAAACTAAGCAGCGACCCCTACCGAACGTAAGAACAAACAAGCTCCTCCCATACAAAATTTGACGATGACGTTTCAAAGTCGGGCCTGTAATTTAAACTTTATTTTCAAGTGTAAAAAGTCACATTACTCTTGTTATGTTGAATATAAAGTTTCTTAACTTCACAATAACCTCAATAAATAAGTTGCAATAGTAAAATTATCATTAAATAACTACAAATAAGGTTCAAACTCACCTAACGACGACAAGCACACCGTATCCCAAATAGTAGAAGAGATAGAAGAACATCTTGAAGAATCCTACGGCTAAGTCAGCCGGTGGCATTTGCTGCATGTCTGCGATTTTCTGCTTTATGTTGGAAGGAGATAAGGACGAAAATGCTGCGGATATCCCTTCCTTCACCGACTGCAAACCTCGACGGAACGGATCCTTGCCAGCTCTGGGGATAAAACGGAACGGTCAATCAATAAGCCATAGAATTCTGTAAATAGGGTATTTGACAGTATTAAAAATAAAGTGCCAACTGTTAGCATCTGTATTTAGAATGAACATTGGCAGGAGATTTCACTATTTTTACAGAAAAAATATTCATAATTTTACTAAAAACCCACGATAAAAATAATAGGTTTCTTGTCTTTTGTCACGTGACCCAAAACGCTTGGGATTGGTGGAGCCTAAAATGACATCACACGCAAGTAAACTTTCGGTTAAAGTGACATGAGATTGTATGATTTCACGTTTTAATGACAGTCGTGTGACGTCACACACCAGTGAGACGCCATATTGTCCAGAGATACGTTTTTCGCGGCAATTTGAAAATAGAGTTTTGATTTAGTTTTTTTTACCGAAACACACAACATAATGATGAATATCCCTATAAAAATTAGTCAATAATGTGAGATCGTTTTCTAAAACTTGTCAAATACCCTATTATCTTACCTTGCTCTTTGCTTTGAGTGAAATTTTTCTTCGTTAGAATGGCAGATGTTGTAGATCGCAATAGACGCAATAATAGTAGGTTGCGCATACCAAACTCGAGAACAGCTCTTATGGGAAAATACATATTCTGTATGGCTCCTCGAATGTATAATAGACTCCCGACATATAGAAAATAATAAAGTTATAACTTATGTAACAATAAAATTAAAAACATATTATTAGGTAAATGTTATTATGATGTATCGGAATTTTTAAGTGACAAATTTTGAATTTTAATAATGATTTATTATTATTATTCCTATTTTTTGATTAATTTTGACATATTTTATTATTGAATATTAAGATTTTTGACTTGGAATTTGAATGCCCATATTGGGACGACATGTTAGATACCCCTTAAATCTCATTATATAGATATTATCATAGAAAAAAAAGTTAAGAAACTCTAGATCATAGAAAGAAGCACTAATTTTTAGTAAATTTGTTGATTGTCTATTGTTACATATTTGACATTATGTGATGGAAGTTGACCTCAACACATGTTTGCAAGTTTGATGTCAACTTTCAATTGGACGACACTGTATGAAATAAAACAGGGTGAAAAAAGCAGCCCTTGCTGAGTTTCTTGCCGGTTCTTCTCAGTACAAGGTCTCCCGCCGTAGATTTGCGAACCGATGGCGTAGCTTTTCGACATTCACAAGTGTTTGTAACAGCCTAGACTGAATAAATGATATTGAATTTGAAGATAAACTCAAGATCTAGAAGAAACTTAGATCATAGAAAAAAAAAGTTAAGAAACTCTATAAATGGTAAGGAATGGGATGGGTGACCGACCTGTCGTCATCATCGTCTCCCATGTACATGTAGCTGGCCTCCCTGTTCTTGGGTCCTCCCGCAGCCTCCTCGGAAGCGGCCATCAGGCTCGAAGCGTGGGTCATCTCGAAGATCGCGTCTTCGCAGAAGTTTACGAAGGCTTCCAGTTTTTCCTTGTCGCCGCCTTCGGTTACGATGCTATAGAAGAATGCGCGTTTGGATTCCTGTTGAGATTTGGTGTGTATTATATATTTTTTCAATGCCATGAAAAGTCAGTTCAAAGACAAGAAATTTCACTCAATATGTATGTATGCTCATTAACACAGGTCTTCTTTATGGATGGAATAGGGAGATTGGGCCATGACCCACCATGCGGGCCTAGTGCGGATTGGTGGGTGCTAACGACTGCAGATGGCTTAATATGCCTTCCGAAGCACGGAGGAACTCGAGATAGAAGGTTTTTGGTCACCCATTAAATGACCGACCACTGAGAAAGTTCGAGCTCCTCATCAATTAATTATCTTTAAAGTTAACGCTGTCAATTTTGTTTGTGAATGAGACAGTAAAATAAATAGTAATATAAATGAATAAAGCATTTCCATAATTTGACGTTTGTAAGTACTGCTGTAAGTACCTATCTAGTTTTTGAGTGTTATTTTATAATGTTACATGACAGCCAGTCTCTATAATTAATAAGAGGGCGAAAGCAATATAATTACAATAAGAGAGAGAGAGAGAGAGAAAACAAAAACGTCAAAAAAGAAATATACAAAATTCGCAAAATTATACAAAATTGGCAAAATTCATTTCTTCTACCACCCGTTATGGATAAAATACTCTCGTCCAGACAGGTTACCAACAAGTTACCAACTGAAAAAATCCTCATTAAATGTTAAAACTTATATGAATCAAAATAAAGTTGAAAAATTAGATAGATAGATAGATTAACACTTTATGATACATATACACATACACACCAAATATATAATTACATAACATTCACAAACAATAAACTTAACGAAAGCGTTATAAATGGCGGATTAGAAGTTAGGTTTAAAGTTTTGGTTTGAAAATCTAACCTTAATCTGAGGCTTCTCCCACTGCTCGATGTTTGACTCCTTGATCTCGAAGTATACTCTTTCTATGCGTTTAGAGCCGCCCATGATCTCGATGCGGCCCAAAAACGGTTCGAAGTAGTTGAGGACTGACCCAGCGGTTTCCAGGAAGCGGGCCAATCTGGTAAAATTAAAACGTTGAAAGAATGCATGTCTTACTTTCAGTCGTAGCATTTTTGCTAATTCGCTCTGTTGGATTTCGTATTTTGCGGGTTTTCGATATTTTTATTATGGGGTAGTTTATGCACTTGCAATTGCGTTAATCCACCCTATCTACTATCCTTTTCATATAAATAAATAAATATTTCCAACACTCACACCAATTAGCCTAGCCGCAAAGTAAGCACTTTAAGGCTTGTGTTATGGGATACTAGTGTAACGGATAGAATACATATAGGTACTGATACATATATAAGTTATATTGTAAACGAGCATCTAAATTAACATTTGTACATACATATTACTATTGAACATAATGTAATGTATTCATTGCCACATAACTCATATTTGCCATAATTAAGCCGAATAAATTTAAGAATAATTAAAACAAAAAATATACTATAACAATGAACCTAAAACTAAAAACCTTAAAAAATAAAATATAATAACTAAAATACATTATTAAAAGGAGTCCCTTTAGGCAAGGTTCCGAAGATACTGGCAGCGTTCCCCCTTTGGATAGCTAGACTTATTCTTTGTCCGAGGTAGCTGCCAGCTCTTCGGTCTCCTGTGATGTCGACTAATCTTTTCGCTATTTCTTTAAAAAGCCTTATAGCGCTAGGACCCCACGGACCAAGGGTCTCGACACCGAATGGGACAAAATATATAAAGTTATATTTATATAGAAAAACATACTAAACATCCATGACTGGAGTACAAATGCTCGTGTTCATCACACAAACATCTGCCCCCACCGGGATTCGAAACCGGGACCTCTCGAGTAGGCGACACCTTGAAGCCGGGCGTACAAATCACTCGGCTACGGAGGTCGACACTATGTGTCGACTAGTCATCGGTCATATATGAGCACTTTTAACTATATCCGTCTTTACTATCGACGACACCGCTGAGTGCATCGTAAATTTAAATTTTTCTCTTCTTATGTGAACGGTTTAATGAGACACTCATGTTGAGATGTAATAGCATTTTAATCGAAAAACTACAGTGTGATCGTTAAATCTTTTAAAATTTTATTGCTTACAATATAGATTTATACAGAAACTGTGCTGTTCATTAATATATTTGGGTGTTTGTGCTGTGAAGTACGGGACTACATTAAGTGAATACTATGCTTAGGCAAGAGTGCATGTTCTTTTCCTTTCGTCGTCGTAAATATCAATTGCAAGCAATTGCCATATGTATTTAGGGCAACGAATGTATTTAGGACAAGGAATGTATTTAGGACAACGAATGCCTTTAGGACAACGAATGTATGTCTTTAGGACAACGAATCTATTAAGGACAACGAATGTATTTAGGACAGCGAATGTATTTAGGACAGCGAATGTATTTAGGACAGCGAATGTATTTAGAACAGCGAATGTATTTAGGACAGCGAATGTATTTAGGACAGCGAATGTATTTAGGACAACAAATCTATTAAGGATAACGAATGTATTTAGGACAAAGAATATATTTAGGACAGCGAATGTATTTGGGACAACGAATGTATTTAGGACAACGAATGTATTTAAGACAACGAATCCATTTAGGACAACGTATCTATTAAGGATAACGAATCTATTAAGGATAACAAATGTATTTAGGACAGCGAATGTATTTAGGACAACGAATGTATTTAAGACAACGAATGTATTTAGGACAACGAATCTATTAAGGACAACGAATGTATTTAGGACAACGAATCTATTTTGAATTATTTCTATATTTGATTACCTCCCCCAAATACAGTCCACTTATGGTTATTATTTTCCCGCATCCCAAATATATGGACTCCATACATGGAGGTTTAGACGACTAAAAACCAATTTCTTCACTCTACGTAAATACATACCTGGGCTCATTGGGCATATGTTCCGACAGATTGGTGAGTAAAACAGCCAGATTGAAGCCGATCTCCTTGGCGGGCTCGTGGAAGCGATCGCAGAAGCCGATATAGTCCAACTTTCCATCGTGGTTGGTCTCGCAGCATGCCAACAGGAACTCTATCTCCTCGCTACAAGGAAATTAGGAGAAGTTAGTACATAAACGCTCCAAGCAGGATTTGTGTTAGGACTTCGGCGCGGGAACCCTATCTTAATCTATTGCATAGTGCTTAATCTCAATAATGTTATGTTATATTTATATAATATGTTTATATTTATATAGTAATTATATAAGTATTGTCGTATTTATAGTTAACTCTTAGTATATTTGCTCATTGTTGGATTTTAATCTCTCTTCATTGATTCTGCCTTTTTTTAGCTCTGTATGTTCTTTCCGGTTGACTGGTAGAGAATGCCATATTGGCATTAAGTCCGCCATTTGCAGTGTAAAGCCGAAAAAGATTAAATAAATAAATAGTGAAAATGTTGTCTGGCTATTTGAGAGTGTGGGTCAGACTAGTATTCAATCCCATACAAATGATGCACTTCTAAGTTAATCCCTCTAATGTATGTCAGTGTGATATGCACAGCGACATTTCGCAGTGAAATAGTGGATAAAGAATATACCAGTGTCATTACACTTCCTCCCCCTCATAAGGTGGACAATAAACAAGCATAGCCAAATGTGATTATTTGCAACGTTTTTATTATTCCGATAGAAAAAATAAATATATTAATTATACTTTAAAAAAATAGTTCTCTTCTCTTCACATCTCTTTAAAGTCTTTGGGTGTCTATCTTCCGATCAATTTGAGATACCTACAAAATCTACTCCAGTGGTCGGAATTAGAGTTCAATATCATTAGCCTATTGATGCCCCCACTTCTGGGACACAGGCCTACCCTATATAAATATAGGAGCGACTGGCCCGTGACCCAATATGCGGGCCCAGAGCGGGTTGGTGGGTGCCAACGACTGCAGATGCAGCCGGGACCAACGGCTTAACGTGCCTTCCGAAGCACGGAGGAGTGAAAGATAGTGAATTTTTAGTCACCCATCCAATGACCGACCACTGCGAAAGTTGCTTAACTACAACGATCGCCGCTAAACGCGCCAACCACTAGCGCCATCGATCTTATCAAATGGAGTTCAATCATTTAAAATTGTAACTAACGATTTTAGACCCTAACTACATAGACTTAACTTACGAAGTACAATTCATATGCTGCTCAATCTACACTTTCAAACTTTGATGGTCCCACTTCACAATGGCCCATGATGGGCGATTATAGACATTCACGAATGTGTAGTCCATAATCGTTCATGAGTGGCCATCACCGCCAGTAATCGCGAGTAATCGGTAAATTGTTGGCACATAAAAGGGATGCGTGCCGATGATACACAAAATCGGCCTTAACACAGTTGCGCGGAAGAAGTCGAGGCTCAAGGACCTGCGTTTAAATTAAATCCAAAGGGTGCTAAAGTTGTATGGAAGTTCCCTTTGGATTAGGTTTAATTTCTGGGAACGGCACTCTTTCCACTCGTTGAACTGGCACTTGTTTGAAGCATATTCCGATACTGATTAATTACACTGAGCAAATAGATAGCAGCAGCCGCTGTCACTTTTACGTCCATCTTTAACAGACAACTGCGACGTAAATGAACAGTCACAATCGGGTATCTGACAGTATTAAAAATAAAGTGCCAACTGTTAGCATCTGTGTTTAGTATGAATATTGGTAGGGGTTTTTACTATTTTTACAAAAAAAATATTAATAATTTTACTAAAAACCCAAGAAAAAGATAATAGTTTTCTTATCTATTGTCACGTGACCCAAAACGCTTGGGATTGGCAGAGCCTAAAATGACATCACACGCAAGTAAATTTTCGGTTAAAGTGACATTACATTGTATCGTTTGACGTTTTAATAACAGTCGTGTGACGTCGCACACTAGTTAGACGCCATATTGTCCAGAAAACCGTTTTCGCGGCAACTTGAAAATGGAGTTTTTGATTTGGTTATTTTTACTGAAATACACAACAGAATGATGAATATCCACTTTTTACGGACTCCATAAACATTAGTCAATAACGTGAGATCGTTTTCTAAAACTTCTCGAATACCCTATTGTGCAGAGAGCAACCCATCATCTCGGGTATGATGGCCATTTTTGTTCGCCCATCATGGGCCATTGTGAAGAGGCGCCTTGTCATTACACACCCATAGTTGTTGGTGTCCGTGCATTTTTCAAACAATTAAGCTACATATTTCACGCCAATGGTTACAAAATACTAACTATAAACTTTTTCCTTATTATTAATAAAAGAATTATAAAGGCATTTGAGTATACAAAACACGGCGTAATTAGTCCAAGCTTAAACTTCGTTTATTTATAAGCGGGACGGTATATAACTCTTGTATAGCTCCATCTTTTGCTTAAAATCTTTCGGTAGGACGACCCATCCATCGTTGCTGACGTATTTCTTCCAAACAATTAAAACTATTCATTTCATTCGAGTTGCGGTGAATTTTCGACTTTAGACCTTAACTATATAAACTTACGGTGTATAACTCTTCTGTTGCTCCATCTTCTCTTTAAAATCTTTGGGTAGGACCCATCCATCGTTATTGGCATCAATTTCCTGGAAACTGGCGCTAGACGTGAGGTCCTTAAGCTTCAGGAACATGTCGAAGTATTTCAGGATCAATTCCACGTTGGAAGCAGACTCTACGAGGGTGTCTACCATCTGTTTGCCGATGGTGCCTGGGGGAAAAGGTCATCTTTATAGTATCTTCATTAAAACTAGCGAAAACTTTTTTTTATAGATAGTGTCCGACAAATGACTTCGCCCCACCTGATGTTAAGTGGCGGGAAAGTCCAGACGTGAAGATAGCTGGTACAGCAGTTCTACCTGCCACACCAGCCATCCTCACTTTGAGGGCCTGCATGTTGCTTCTTTTGAATTGAAAACGTAATGACATTTAAGGGCGTTAAGGAAAAATCAATTCGGGAATAAGCTATTTGACAGTATCCTACTAATATAACAAATGTGAAAGTTTGTATGTTTGTCTGTTTGTGCCTAAATCACACAAAAACCAATGACTGGTTTTGAATGAAATTTGGTACGCATATAGTTTATACACTGGATTAAACACATAGGATACTTAATATCCCGAAAAATTGTTAGGTTCCTGAAGGATTCACAAAAAAAAAGTTAACGCAGGCGAAGTCATGGGCGGCCGCTAGTGCAAAATTAAGTGTATTTAACATAATAATAATATAATAATAATAATAATAAATATATCTTTATTCAAATAAGGTCATACATTGCATAATAATACTAATAACAATATAAAATACAAAATAATGGATGCCTGAACTAGGTTACAGTTAAAATTGTACCTGTATTTCAGGCTTTTATGATCTAAATAATACATAGAATATTTAATAAATTAACAAATTAATTAAAACAGAACTTAAAGTAATCATTATATAAATGTTGGTAAATGTAAATAATGGAGTTACGTTCATTTATTTACAAATAAGAAGTAATTCTTCGGTCTGCTCGTATGTCAGGCTGTGCAAATAATTAAATATTACAGTTCTACAGTTAAAATAGTTTAATGTGTAAATACCTAATACTCTATTTAACTTATTATATAAGAAAGGACTTAGGAAAGTAGAGAATCTATGTGAAAAGATGTATTTTGAATCATGTGTAGAGATGCAGACTATATCTTTCCGTCTTTTGTTAGTGATATCAGAGCAAAAAAGTGAAATGGTGTGTTGTTTTAATATGGTGTGCATAATGAAAAGCTGGCGAACAGTTAACACATTACAGTATTTGTAAAGTTGATGCGTAGGATATAAGAAGGGAAGTGAATTGGCTACTTTTAAAATGGCTCTCTGAGCTCGCTCGAGGGGGATTAAAATAGTTTTGAGAGCTCCACCCCATGAAGTTATACAATATTGAATTACTGATTGGCATAAGGCCTGATATACCTGTTTTATTAGTTTTGGACCTGCAATGGTACGTAATTTTTTAAAAATATACATTAATTTACGGATCCTGACTACTAGATTTGCAATATGCTGTCTAAAAGATAATGTGTCGTTAATTAAGATACCAAGATATTTTATATGGGATGTGTTCTGTATTAAAGGGCAATCGCATTTATTGACTGAAGGATATTGGCATTGGTGTGCGTATAAGTTAGGATTTGTACACCCATGACAAGGCTGGCGCATAGAAAAGTGAATATAATTGGTTTTGTCAGTATTCAGTGTTAGTAAATTGCAGCGAAGCCAGTTATTTACACCATTAAGACCAAGTTGAGCTACCTCATATAATTCTGACCTACTATTGGCGCTAAAAATCAAGGCCGTATCATCGGCGTAAGATATAATTTTACCATATTTTAAATTAAGGTTACATAAATCATTGATGTAAACGAGAAAAAGGGTAGGGCCGATTATACTTCCCTGGGGAATACCATAGCAGGTCATTTTCTGGTAATCACTTTTAATATTTCCTATTTTAACGCATTGAGATCGATTGTCTAAATAATCTGCAAATAGTTTTAACTGCGTTCCTCTAATACCCAATGCTTCCAACTTTTTTAGAAGCTTCGGAATTGAAACGGTATCGAACGCTTTTGCTAAATCAAGAAAAACAGCTAGAGTATGCTTTCCTTTGCCTAGTTCCTGAGTAATATAGTTAGTCAGGTTATGCACCGCATCTGCTGTTGACAACTTTGCCCGAAAACCAAATTGCGTAGGTGACAAATAGTTATTTTTTTCCAGGTAGTCAATAAGCCTTTTGTTAATAATTTTTTCTAATAGTTTTGATAAGGATGGAAGCACTGATATTGGTCTATAGTTATTTACTTGATCTTTACATCCAGATTTATAGACAGGAGTAACTACTGCTTTTTTTAAACATTGTGGAAAAATACCCTGCGAGAGGCAGATTTGAAAAATGCGTGTTAACGGTGGTATTAAAATATGCTTAAAAGTTTTGAGGATTTTATTGCTAATGTTATCAAAGCCGACTGCACTGTCATCTTTCAAATTTGTAATTATTTGTAAAATTTCTTGTTGGTCGGTATCTAACATAACAAAACTATTCCTACTGGTGGTAGCGTTAAGTGACTGAGAAAATAGATTTAGAGGTTGGTGGCGTTCTGCAAGGTCTTTTCCCATATTAATAAAATAGTTATTTACATAATTGGCTGATATAAGCGGTGAAGGATGGGTTAATAGTAAACTCGAACACGATTCGTGCCTTTTTGAAGTGTAGGTAAAATTTTTAATATGTCTCCAAAGGCGTTTGCTATCCTTGCCTGCTTTGAGTAGTTCATTTTTTTCATAATTTGCTTTTAATTTTTTCAAAAGATTATTAACGAAATTCCTGTATCTCCTATAGATAACTAGCAATGTGAGGTTATCGGGATATTTTTTTGTCCTCATATGAAGTTTATCCCTGTGTCTTATACATCGAATAATACCCGGGGTTATCCAAGGTTTGATATTTTGATATTGTTTATTTGAAGCAACTACAGACGTATTATGTAATATAGCTTGTTCAACATTATTAATTAAATACAACAAAGATGCATTCGCGTCCGTCGATTGAAAAACTGGGGCAAAGTCAAGCTTGCATAAATCGTGTTCGAGTTTCTTTATGTTTAACTTAGATTTTACTAGTTTATGATTCAGTTTAGGCAGCGATAAATTTAAGGTTAGTAAGACAGCGGAATGATCGGTAAGCGGCGTTTTTGTGACAAGTGTTAGATATGTTGACCTAGATTTTATCATCATATGGTCGAGACAAGAACCACTCTGATGTGTTGGTAATGTATGGGCTGGGTAAAAACCAAGGTACGAACATAGATTGAGATAATCTTGGGTTCCAGCATCATGTATGTCGGGTATAATGTTTATGTTAATATCACCCGTAATTATTACATTTTTAAAAGATGTTAATGATTGAAGTATCTGGTCTAAGTTTCCGTTGAAATTATCTATGTTTGTGACAGATGGGGATCTATATATTGCGACAATAACTGTATCTTGGTTAATATGTACCAACAAACAACTACAACCCTGAAGAGCTGGTTCCTCGAGGGTGACTTGCAAGGAGTCTCTAACATAAATAACTATTCCATCATTTTGGTTGTGATTATTTTGACTATAAAATAAGTTATAACCTGGCCTTGTTGGTAGGTTGCCGTTCCGTTTTGTTAACCAGCACTCGGTTAGTATAATTACATCACAAACAAAGTTAAGCCTATACATAGATAGATCATCTATTTCATTTATTATATTAATGTCCATAGTAAAGTTCTAATTATAACAAATAAGTGGCGCTCTAGGCGCCTTCATAATCAATAGTATTAATGTACCTAGTTTCGGCAGCTTTTTTAGCTGGACATTCGGCATCTCCGGTCCTATGGCCGCACGGTTTTTTAAATTTAACGCAAGTGGCACATTTTGGTGGATCGGCTTTTTTTGTGCAGTCTTTGAGAGAATGGCCATCTTCGCCACAGTGGCCACAGGTAGAAGCTGTCGCCTTGCAAGTTTTAGCGGCATGGCCATATTGCTGGCAATTGTAGCATCTAGTTACAAGTGTGAAATCACGTACCGAGCAAAAATTCCAGTTAATAAAAAGTCTGTCCTGTATAATTAAGGCTTTGCGTATAGTAGCAGGTACTTCTAAAATATAGTTGCAGGTGTCTGCATCTCGTTTTCCTGATTTGTGGCTCAGTTTTATAGAGTTCAGGAAAGTATCTCTAGATATATTTAATGAAGATTCTGCTACGTTTTGCTCGTAGATGCACTTATAGACGTCACTTTCAGTCATAGATGAAGGTACTCCTATGATTATAATACGCGGCTTGCGTTTTTTGGCCTCATCAACAGTCAGGCCTGAGTTTGCTAACAGCACTGAATTTTTCAATTTATGGATGTCGTCTTTGGTCTCAGTGCTGACGATCACTCCTCCATTTCTTACTTTACGAAGACCACGTACTTTCAGTTTCATCTCCTCAGGGCTAATAATTTTTTCCTCAGGGCTAATAACATGAATATTGGCGGTTTTAATATTACTCAAGAATAGATAATTGGTAATTTTTCTAAAAAAAACCTGAAATAGCAATCAAATGTGTATTGGATTGGCGGAGCTTAAATAGCCGTAACATATGTAAAGTTGCTGTCGAAGTAATATTACTTTGGTACCATTTGATGACAGCCATGTGATGCCATACATATTTTTTACTGAAATACACAACATAATGATAAATTTTCACTTTCTATAGTATCTTTAAACGTAAGATCGTGTTCAAAATCTTATTGAAAAGAGTTTTACGCTAAGAATTTTAACAAAACCCGGATGGCCCTAAAACATTTCATTTAAAATTTATAAATTCGCAACGCAGTTTATCTGTAATGTTTCTTATTATTACCAAATTATACAAACTAAACAACGAATTAGAAATTATGTGGAAGCATAACTCTTCTAGAAAGGCCGCTAAAACATGGTTCCAAATTCATACAACTAAAACTTCAATACAAATACGACATGCACACGGACAAAACAAAATACTTTGAGAAATGAAATATCTGCAAATGGATTCGGCAATCTATTTATTGGGTAAGATAATGTTAGACGGAAATCTCAACCAATCCCATGATCAGCGTGTTGATTGCAGTTTTTTCGCCCCGCCCACTTGATCGCAGTTTGTGTGGAACCACTTTTTAACGCAGTTCGTATTCCATATAAGTAAATAACTAAACCCAGTAAATATTTTAAAACGTAGAAGTATATATAATTACTACCCATTTCACTTTGGTCATATCCACTCACCATTAACGACATTCCCTTCCAACATGGACAGCATCATAGTGATCATGTCCTTCTGCAAGTTGAGCAGTTCCTTCAGCAGGTCTACTTGGGAAGAGTGCTTGGATAACTTGTCTTGCATGTGTGAGAACAGGAAGAGGAAACCGCCTACTGCGTCCCACAATCTGTTGACAAGCAATGAATCACATCATATCATCTTTTTCAATGACCGCCTTCTTCTAAAACGCGGACTGAAGTTAGTCTTGATTTAAAACTAACGTTGTCTCCGTCTTCTTCTTTTCATAAAAAAAGTGACAGCGTCAGTTTAAGTCCAGATTTAACTTTAGTCTGAGTTTTTCGAGTTCGTTCCTGATGGAGGAAGAAGAAAAAATAATATCCCTATTATGGTGTTACATCTAAGAGGCTGTAATGACGCATTCTTATAGAAAATCATACCTGGAATGAGCCAAAGCCTGTTGGTTCTGTGTGCAAGGCCCCTGTATAACTTCAGTTAGAGTGTTGAACACTTGAGACGCGACCCCGATCGCCTTGAAGAAATTAGCCTTGCCCGCCGGGTCTATCAGTTCCTGTTGTTACGAGATAAAGGACGAGTTTCAATGTTAATATAGAAATAAAAGTAGGATGCTCTACTAACTTCCATCCCTCCAGTAGCTTCTTTTCAAAAGACTGACATGCAAATTGGTCACGTCCAAATATTTTTGGTCGCGTCCAAAAATATTGGGACGAGATTAAAAGTCATGGCCGTTAATGGTTTTTTGCTGTCTTAGACGTCTGGCCTTACATAGAGGGCTCAGGTATGATGGAGTAGATCACAAGGTGCAAGGTTGCCCCCTTATGTAACTGCCCTGCGCTCGAGTAAACCCAAAATCCCCCTTTGGCTCCCCAACTTTAAGACTAATGGATCTGACCACAGAACACAGAAGGAGGTTAGGAGGGTGTTGATAGATAGATAGTTGATAGACGACGACCTCCGTGGCCGAGTGGTTTGTACGCCGGGTTTCATGGCTGTCGCCGAATCGAGAGGTCCCGGGTTCGAATCCCGGTGGGGGCAGATGTTTGTGTGATGAATACGAGCATTTGTACTCCAGTCATGGATGTTTAATATGTATTTATATAAATATACTTATATATGTACAGTATATGTATTCTATCCGTTACCCTAGCATCCCATAACACAAGCCTTACAGTGCTTACTTTGGGGCTAGGCTAATTGGTGTGAGTGTCGAAAATATTTATTATTTATTATTATTATTTTATAGACCATTGGTACGGTAACCGATGTCGCAGGCTCGCCCCCACTACTCTTCCACCTAATAGATAATAGCCAATCAAACGACGCGACATCAAACAATTGAACCAATCAGTGCTCACACCCGAGAGCAACGACGTAATCAGAACCAAGTTTTGGTCAATTTATGAGCATTTGCTCTCACATAACTGTGCCACTCCCACAAGGCCCTTCTAACCTCATTCCGTGGTCTGTGGATCTGACAGGCGTTATCCTAGCCAATGATAAAAATAAATAATAGTACAAGATCCAAAGGCTGTCAGACCTTACTTATTTTCTCATGGTCAAAATGTGGATAAACGAGTAGTATTAGTGTGTACAATAAACTTGTGCTGTGGGTCAATTTTTTGGTATCAGGTGACACAGGCACGTAACAATATCTCACCATACTTACAGTCTGAGGTCTGATTCCTATGTATGGTTGTAGAGAATGTTGTAAACAATTTGATTTTATACTGCCAGACACATTCTGTCAGCAGGTTTTTATTGCCAGACACTTTTAATGTCGAAAGCAAAAACACATGATGAAACAAGTGATGTTTATACGTATTTCTAAATAAAAATATATCAGATCAATAGAACATATAATTCTATCCTTTACCCTAGTATCCCATAACACAAGACTTACGGTGCTTACTTTGGGGCTAAGCTAGGTGTGTACGTTAGAAATATCCATTTATTTATTTATAAAAGTGAATACCTTGCTGGAGTAATGCCAGTAGAAGTCCATAATGGACTCCTGTAGTCTCAGCAGATAGTCCACGGTGCAGATCACCACATTTACAGTGGTCGTGTTACCCGCCTGCGTGCGGAGGTAGTTTTGCCATTCTAGTAAAAAAATTAACAGTCATTTAACATTAAGGGCCTGAGGAACTTTATTCACCAGTTACTTTTACACTTTAACTCGTAGTCATTAAGGATGAAAATCAAAGAATCATTCGAGGGACAACAGACTAATCTGTACGAAATTTCAGTTAAAAGTCAAACAGTTTTCTCACCCAAATTGTGCCCCTCGCAAGTGAGTTGTATGAACCGGAACAAGGCACATGTGAACTCTGCGTCATGCATATTCTTCTCCCCAGCCGCACCTTCTAAACCCACGCCCAGGCCTGTACAACATTTATTTATTTAATCTAGGAAAACCAACAGCTGATAACATAATAATAATATTCTTATAATTTTTATTACTTTAAAACATGTAGCTGCTTGATGTTTAAATCTAAAGAAAATATATCTAGAAAAAATTCCATGCGGACCAGGCAGCAGACGGGACTCGAACCCGCACCCTTCGCAATCCGGGCGAATGCACTGACCATTAATATTCATTAAACATTTGAAAGAAGAAATAGCGATTATAGTTATAATTTTTATTATTTAAAGCATGTAACTGCTTGATGTTTAAATCTAAAGAAAGTATAACTAGAAAAAAACCACGCGGACCAGGCAGCAGACGGGACTCGAACCCGCACCCTTCGCAATCCGGGCGAATGCACTGATCATTAATATTACCAATAATATTCTTTATTGTAATACACCATTCAAGACACACAAGTAAATATATATTTATTTAAACTTTATTGCTACAAATACAAAAATGGACAAAAGGCGGACTTAACGCTAAAAGTATTCTCTGCTAGCCAACCTTTAGACATATAGAAATCCACGAATGCTGTTTTAATAAAAAAAGTGATTTACTATAAACATACACCGATAAGAGTAACTACATAAATATTTTATTTAAAAAAACCTAAACATTTAAGCATAGAATACATTTAAATATATTTGCACAATATATAATATATATATATATATATATATATATATATATATATACATACATACAGACATAATTATTATTAACACAGTTTATAAAATTTAATAGGTATATTGATATGATGATGAATGTTAGGTTACATAAAAATAGCAAAAACCATTTATAAGTCCTCACCAATAACATTGTTAAAGGTAAGTTTGCAAAAACAGGGTTCACATTTATAGGTAGTGGAAAAGGAACTTTAAAGATTAATTAGCGTAAGTACTACATACATACGCAGGCAAGCATAACTCCAATCAATCCTAAAGTACCTTGAAATTAATTCAAATAACACCTGCATGCCAAAAATTAACATATAATAAAGTTCGTAAATTAAGGAACTTGTACCCTTAGCACGAAACAATATCGAATTCGAATAGTTTACGAGTGCGAAATGTCAATGTCAAATTTTGTATGGAAATTTGAACAGTAGCGCCACAAACTATGTACGCCACGAGAACTAAAAATCAGTACACATTTGACAATGACATTTCGGACTCGCAAACGTTACGAATTCGATATTGGTTCGTGCTAAGTGTACTGTACCTTTAGTACGAACCAATATCGAATTCGAATGGTTGAATTTGATTTCGACATGCGTCAAATGTCAAGATTTGTTGTATGGAAATCTGAAGAGCGCCACAACGGGCGTAACGAGAATAGGGATGATGACTATTTTTTTTCTTCGTTTATCAGGTAGATTATCAAAAAGTATTGGACACGTATTTTTTCTTTTTTCACATGATATAAACATTGCAGAGATATATTGATTTGAAAAGTCGCATGACCCCTGGGATCCGCCCTTGGGTATGAGTCTAGAGTATGGGATTAGATTTAATAAAGAATCTAGGAGAGCTTTTAGCTTATTTTGTGAATACGTTTAATCTACAGACTATCACACCCTCACAGAGGAGGCAGTTCTTAAGTTAGGGATGTAACATACATTCTAGTGACGATCAGTGTTGTTCAATTGAACAACGGTTTTTATTTATATATTGTTTTAAACTTTAATGGTCACTAACATTATAGTAATATAATTTATTTACGGCATTGTTACCATGTACCTTTTTTTAGGGAGTGTCTGGAATCCTGTGGTTCGTATGTGTAAAACCGGAAATAATCAAAAAAGTGTCGTGTCGCGATCAGATACTGTAAGCGTTGCGTGTCGAGAACAGTTTCGAGTGAATAGTGAGAATGTGAACAGTGGTACGGGTATCGAACGCAATAAAAGACTTCGTCGGAGGGTAGACCGATATGTCTGCTAATAACAGCCTACCCGCAATTACTTCAGTTACTCCGTCATCATGGCGCTTGCAACAGTGCCGAAATATCGGAAACTCGCTAAAAACAAGGTACATAGTAACAATCCGAAAAATTTTGCTACAGTAAAGGCATACATTCATGCCACAACACTTTAAATAACCTGTTAATGCCACAAGTTTATATGTGTTCGTATGTCTCACCTTCAGCCTTAGTGTTTCTCTCGAAGGCGTCCAAGTCAAGCACTGAGCAGGAGTTCATGAGTCCAGCTATCGAAGTGAAGAACCCTACGTCCTTCTTATCTTTGAGGTGATTCAGCATGCCCTGGATGCAAACATCATCAATTAGGATGTTTATGAAAATTTACGTCACCAATTGGCGACACTGTGACGATAGGACTTCTGTACCCTTAGCACGAACCAATATCGAATTCGAATAGTTTGCGAGTGTGAAATGTCAATATCAAATTTGATATGGAAACTTGAACAGCAGCGCCACAACGGACGTAACGAGAACTAAAAACCAGTACACATTTGATTTGATGACAATGACTTATCGGACTCTCAAACTATTCGAATTCGATATTCGACAGTGGAAGCTAAGTAAATTTTGCAATGTTCCTTTCACAGTATTGTATCGTAAGGCATTATTCTCTGGGGAACAGCAGCAGATATCCAAACGATATTCATTTTGCAAAAACGTGTTATAAGAGCTATTTATCCACTAAGCTCAAGATAACCTCTGAAAGAAAATTTTAAACAAATCGGGATTTTGACCGTTGCTTCGCAATTTATCTACAATTGTACACTTTTTGTTGTTCCAAACAATATTAACTTTTATCTCGAACACAGTGACGTACATACTTTTAATACTAGGAATAAAAGCAAACCTAAGTTACCATTGTACAGGTTACATACAGTTCATGGATAATTTATGGTCATGGTATACATTTATATACCTAATAGGATTCCCAGTGATATTCTCGATTTACCTCTAAATGAATTTGAAACACACATTTAGTATATTATCAACGAGGGTTGAACTATACTGTCAAACAATATTATAAACCTGATCGTAATTGTTATTTTCAGAAAGTTTTCAAAGTTATATTAAACTTGTGTTCTCAAGAGGAGTATTACAGAGAACCTTGCCCTTAGTATTTTTTTAAAATTGCTTATGTATTTTGTAAATTATTTACTGGATATTTCGGAGCTTTAGTATATTTACTAACCGCCCGCCCTCGCTTCGCTTCGGTGTAGAGCTGAAGTGTAGACTACAGTTTTTGTTCTCAGGCTTGTATTATACACAATGACATTCATCTATGATTCTTGTTATACTTCCATGCAAAGTCTCAGCTCGATCGGTTTAAAATTGACAAAGTTTCATACAAACTTTCATTCCCTATTTTATCCCCTTGGGGGTAGAATTGATCAAAATCGTTTCTGAGCGGATGCCTACGTCATAACATTTACCAGCATGCCAAATTTCAGCCCGATCCGTCCAGTGGTTTAGGCTGTGCGTTCATAGATCACTATGTCAGTCAGTCAGTCACCTTTGAGTTTTAAATATACATATAGATAGATTGTTTCCTATTTTACATTATGTGATGGAAAAGGACCTCAATACATGTTTATAAGTTTGATGACACTGTATGAAATAAAACAGGGAGAAAAAGCAGTCCTTGCTGAGTTTCTCGCCGGTTCTTCTCAGTACAAGGTCTCCCGCCGTAGATTTGCGAACCGATGGCGTTACTTTCGATACCAATGTGCTTGTAAAAGCCTAAACTGAATAAAAAAAATGTCAGTAATAGTTTCATTGGGCTCGCGTGGTGGATCACTGTCCAATCTCCCTATTCCATCCATAGGGAAGGCCTATGCCCCAGTAGCAGGGACATTAATAGGCCGACGATGATGATTCAACTCACCATCTGTATATCAATATTGCCGCCCCTCAGTATAGAGATGCCCAGCTCCAGGGTCTTCATCACCATCTCGCTGGGCACGCCCTTAGAAGCTGATATATGCAGTAGCACCATCTCGGCGACGCCACGATCGGCGAGACGCGCTTGGTGGAATAGAAGTTTTTGCTTTTCCATTTCTTGCTCCTAAAAAAATAAAAGATAGCAGTTTATTAATAACACATCAAAAAAGTCCAAGCGACACGGATCATTTACAGAATGTGTATGTTATTATTAGATGTTTAATTTTTGTTCGTAGCAAAGTATGTTAGTTTAGTATATAAAAATATAAACTTTTTGATTGATTTTACATATTCAATAGTAAAAATCGTACAAAAGTTCAAAACCGTAGAACATGTTGCTTAAACTTTTTTGCGCCCCCCACGACAACGGTTAACCAGAGCCGAGGTCCGTCTCAGAGACGCCCTCTAGTTTAGCCGACCTCCTCGGTTCGAGTGGTCTAGACGGAGAGAAGACTTCCCCCTTAGGGAGACGCCATCCGCATGGAATACCTCTAGAGGCACTCGCCAATTCTCGGCTTGAGGTATACCTTAGGATCTCGCCGTCCCCAAACCCGGTGACGCTGTAAAGGTCATCTGCGACTAACAGCATACACACTCAAAAAAACGCATACTTTCTCGCTAGTTGGTCGTGCCTGGGGTACTGAAATCGTTGTGCTTGATAAAATTATGAAAAAACAACTAAAACCTGATTGTAGCGCCACATAGCAGGGTTCAGGGTTGCTTTTTAAATATTTTTTCCTAATTGTTTTGTATTTTCCACACAACAACAACACAGACGACCTCTGCGGTCGAGTAGTTTGTACGCCGGGTTTCATGGTGTCGCCGACTCGAGAGGTCCCGGGTTCGAATTCCGGTGGGGGCAGATGTTTGTGTGATGAATACGAACATTTGTACTCCAGTCATGGATGTTTAATATTTATTTCTTTATAAATATACTTATACATGTACCGTATATGTATTCTATCCGTTACCCTAGTATCCCATAACACAAGCCTTACAGTGCTTACTTTGGGGCTAGGCTAATTGGTGTGAGTGTTGGAAATATTTATTTATTTAACTTACTTATTTTTTTCCGTAAGAACCTTCTACAAGATAAAAAAGATGGATAAATTGGTAAACTCATTTTCAAGTTAGGTTTTACTGAAGCGACTTACTCAATATTATCTGTGTTGGTATTGTAATTTCTGTTTAATCATTTTTTTCCGAGGAAATCAGTCACCGATATACTTATTTACATATTACTATAAATTGAATGGGATCTGCATATAGAACGAAAAATTTTCTCAAGCCTATAATCAACTGATAAGATTTTGTTTATATTTTGCAAATACATACCATGAATGATCCCATAGTTTTCTGCATGAAACACCAATTCAGATTGATCATGTACAGTTTAGGTAAAACTTTAAACATTTTTTATTTGTATATAAATTAGTATTTATAGAGAAAATATTAAAAATTAGATGAAAACACATTTGAAAGTAATCGTTTCTGTATCATTTTAACTTTACTGTTAATTATTATTTTAAGTCTTACATGGATGCTTGCTCTTCCTTCTTCCTCGCCCTCCAATTCGCCACCGCCCTCTTCCTCTTCCCCGCCGCCCTCTTCTTCCTCTTCTCCACACGACCTGGCGATTATGTTTGCGTACGACATATATAGTAGGTCCTCCTGTGTAAAAAAAAAGATTATAGATTAGTATGAAATAGGCGTACAAAGCGTTCTTTCTTAACATTTGAGCTTTATTTATGTTTCATCATCAGCCTATTAATGTCCTCATTGCTGGGGCACAGGCCTTCCCTATGGATGGAATAGGAAGATTGGGCCATGACCCACCACGCGGGCCCAGTGCGGATTGGTGGGTGCTAACGACTGCAAATGCAGCCGGGACCAACGGCTTAACGTGCCTTCCGAAGCACGGAGATATTTATGTTTAGCTTTAATTAATTTTCTACACCTATCTAAAGTTTTTTTTTATAAATAGGTTCGACAAATGACTCCACCCCACCTGATGTTAAGTGAAGGTGAAGTCCAGACGCGAAGATAGCTGTTGTATCAGCTATCTTCGCGTCTACCTGCCACACCAGCCATCCTCACCCTGCCGACCTGCATGTTGCTTCTTCACGCCTCTTTTAAAGGATCCCAGGTTTTAAGAGGGAGGGAACACGTGAGCGGGCAGAGCATTCCATTTACGGATAGTGCAACAAAGAAATGAGTCACCAAATTTATTTGTACGCGTTGGAATTGTGACCACAGTTAGACGGTGACTACGTAGGCTAGCGCGCGTGGTCCTCTGAAGGAAAGGGGAAGGTGGGATAATAGAGAATAACTTCTCAAAACACTCGCCGTGATACAGACGATAGAACGCGCTTAATGACGCCACGTCACGGCGTAATTGAAGAGGCTCAAGGTGTTTAGTCACCTCCTCATCGCCTATGATGCGGATCGCGCGCCGCTGTAACCTATCCAAAGCATCGAATAAGTACAAGTAAAGAGTTATATAATATTGTTTCACTGAATGGTTCTTAAATCTTAGTTAAATTTCATTTCTGTCCGGCTTGGGGATTTTATCCATGCAAAATTAGCATTCTCCATTAGCGTACGGAACCCGGTTCATATCCGTGCTTAGAGAGATAAATTAACTTTTTAGTTTGATTAAAGTTATTGTTGCCACTTTCTTTGCTTCAACAATATAGACTTAGGACTTAGGACGACCTCTGTGGCTACTCGAGGGGTCCCTCCCGGGTTCGAATCCTGGTGGGGGTAGATGTTTGTGTGATGAGATGTATACGAGCATTTGTACTGCAGTCATGGATGTTTCATATGTATTTGTATATAAATATACTTATATATGATATGTATCAGTATATGTATACTATCCGTTATCCTAGTATCCCATAACACAAGTCTACAGTGTTTACTTTGGGGCTGTGCTGGAAATATTATATTTGTAGGAAGACAACGCATGACTAATTGATATAAAAATACGTCTCTGACTACGGCCGATAGAAAAATATAGACACAAATAAAAAACGATATAATAGTAACAAGTCGCAACGTAACCGCACAAAAACTATTCAAAAATATATATTCTATATTAGGCCGCTTGGAAACCAAGTTTACACGTTAACTAGTTATTCGATTAGTCGACGAACGATCATTAACTCGACGCCAAATACGTCGATGACCCATCCTTAAGCCCTATACGTGCGTGAGGGACGTGTTGAAACATTAAATTTAACTTAAGTCTTGTCTTTGAATGCAGCCGCGTCCGCTAGACGTTTCTATTTCCTAACCATGTTATATATGGTTGAACGCTACACACAATTGCAACAAAATTGAAAAAAACTCGATTCAACTAAAACAAGAATTAACCCGTGGAAAAATGTTAAAACGTCAATGCTAATTTGACATTATTGTACGTACTAATTCTAGTTAAATTGAGATTTGGTACTTCGCTACAGTGGGTTTAGTCTAAACTTATACTTTTCGGACAGTACGGAATTAGTGGATGGCAAATATACAGGGTGTAAAAAATCCTATGACAAAGACTCAAACTACGCATTCTGTACACCCAAACAAGCAATATGACACAATATTATACGTAGGAAAAATATGTATTTTTAAGTACAAAAAATATTTTTTTTCCAGTACGCAATGTATAGCGCGGCGTTCTACTGTGGCGCTACGCAAAGAATGTGCCTGTGTGTAAGTGCGTCGATCAAAAAGTTTCTAATTAAAGTTATGAAAATATTAATGTAAAAATCTTGAGAAAAAATTGTGGCTTTGACCTTCAATATCTCCATAACCAGAAATTTCCCAGGTATGGTTCAGAAGGAAAAAATGATCGTCATGATGTGGTAAATACGTGGCCTTCGATTTCGTTAGAGGTTATTTTTAAAACACCGTGTTTATGTAAGATTTTTCGTCAACGCGTCGTTTTCATTGAATACACATGCTACTATTTAGCTATAGGAGCATGTCCAAAAATACAGGTAAGTAAGAAGAGTCTAAAACAACTTCTTCAGACAACGCTGTGTGTTTTAATCAACAAAATGATAAGTGGCACATTACTTAAATTATGCTGTGTGATGCAATAACTAGCGCGATGCAGACACGAACAGCGCCATCTAGTGGAAAGATATGACACATTTAACAATCTATATTCTAGAAAAAAAGCCACGCGGACCAGGCAGCTGACGGGACTCGAACCCGCACCCTTCGCAATCCGGGCGAATGCACTGATCAATTATACTACCATGGCTCTGATGGCCGCGTCGAAATTTTCTTAGCCTTAAGCTGCAAGGCAGCGCCATCCAGACCAGCTGAGTGAGAGGGACGGATATAGTAATATTATTAACTTACAAATGATCTGTTATATTGAAGCTTCATAACTCATCTGTAACGCCCCGGATCGTTCTGTCATGGCGCCGCGACAGAAGGTGGAGACCAGCCGAGTGAGAGGGATGGATATAGTCATATTATAGACTTACAAATGATCTGTTATATTGAAGCTTCATAACTCATCTGTAACGCCCCGGATCGTTCTGTCATGGCGCCGCGACAGAAGGTGGAGACCAGCTGAGTGAGAGGGATGGATATAGTCATATTATAGACTTGTAAATGACCTGTTATATTAAAGCTTCATAACTCACCTGTAACGCCCCGGATCGTTCTGTCATGGCGCCGCGACAGAAGGTGGTGACCAGCTGAGTGAGAGGGTCAGGTTTTCCTTCCTCTTCTACCACGTCGCTCTTCTTCAACTCGGCGTCTTCGAACGATTGCTACACAAGAACAGAATGAATTTAAAACCAAGTAAGGGTTTAAATCTAAAGAAAATGTTATTAGAAGAAATTCCACTAGGACCAGGTAGCAGACAGGACTCGAATCCGCGCCCTTCACAATCCGGGCGAATGCACTGACGGCTGTGTCGAATTTTCTCTAGCCTTAAGCTGCAAGGCAGCGCCATCTCTTTGCATTGTAGGAAACCCACAATAAGTAAGAGTTTTTAGATATATTTGTTACTTAGGTTTTTACGCACACCACTCGTTAAATAAAACAAGTTTTAATGGTATAGATGCACTGATTTATTTATTATATAATTGACGTTTCGCAAAATCCTGAAAAAGATGCGCAACGTCGAAATATTATGAACGGTATAACTTTTTGGCGGGATCGGGAAGCGTCACTTTAGTAGTTTTGTTTTTCTGTTAAAAAATGTGTTTTGGCGGATGTTAGTGTCTAATTATGGTGGATTATTAACCACTAAGTGTTCGGAAACATGCACAAGTGTTGGCAAGTGAAACAAAATAGCGGAAAGTGTCTTTCGACGTTCCCTCAAGAAGTCCACGGGGAGGTTCCAGTAAATCTCCACACATTTACTGAAATATAGGGAAAGGGGTATTGACTTGACTGCCACTTACTTTGACTTGACTAATATTATGACTTATGACCACAAGTGCTATAAAATATGTAAACATTTTACACTTGACATTGGCTAAATGCACAAGCCGTGCGAAGCCAAATAGAAAATAAAAAATAAAAAATGAACGGTATGTTCGTGTTCGGTTTGAGATCGTGGTAGTAAAGCAACTTTCACAATGTCCAGTCATTGGATGGGTATTAAAAAAATTGTTATCTCTCATCCCCTCCGTGCTTCAGAAGGCACGTTAAGGTATAGTCCCGGCTGCAGTCGTTAGCACCTAATTCTACACTAGTCCCGCGTTGTGAGCAATGTCCCGAATTCCCTATTCCATCCATAGGGAAGGCCTGTGCCCTAACTAGGGTTACCAGATGCCAGGACATTTGCACCCCTACCCCCTGAAAAAATAAAGCATCAAATCAAACCACCCCTATCACCCCCCAGTATTAAAACATCAAGTAGGCCAGCGATGTCATTTATTATTAGTTTATTTTGTTACGAAACTAGCACATTATCGGAATCCGGGACAATAAGGCCTAAAAATTCCGGGATAATCCCGGATTTCCCGGCCATCTGGCAAGCGTAGCCCCATAAGTTGGGACATTAACGGACTGATAATTATTTAAAATAACTCACAGTTAAGTCTTCTATCATCACTTCTTGCCCAACATTCTCTTCTTCCAACCAAAGCTCGTAGTATGTTCGCGCGAATATGTTACACGCTCGATGCCTGCGAAATAAAGTGGTGAGTTGACTTTAGTAAAATTGCAATCTCGGTTGATGAATTGAATATCAAAATAGATAAATATCCAATTAGCCTAGCCCCAAAGTAAGCAATGTAAGGCAAGCGTTATGGGATGCTAGGGTAACAGATAGATATACATATACTGATACATATATAAATGTATTTATCTAGAAATACATATATAAACATCCACGACTTAGGTACAAGTGCTCGTATTCATCGCACCAACATTTGCCTCACCAGGATTCGAACCCGGGACCCCTGAGTAGGCGACACCTTGATACCCGGCCTACATAACACTCGAGTCACGGAGGGCGCCGAAAGAAAGGGAACAGTGCAATCTATACATATAATAAAATGGTAGGAATGTCAAAACTGTATAATAAATATTTTTTTAAAATAATACTTGGGGTGTAGATCACAATCGATACCGAAGCCAAAAATACAGTTTTTAGAATTTTTGTCTGTTTGTCTGTATGTCTGTATGTATGTAGGGGATAAACTCAAAAAGGACAGCATGGATTTACTTCAAATTTGGCACAAATATTATTAAGAAGTCGGGTCAACTATAGGCTACATATTATCACTCTATCACCTACGGGGAACGAGCAGTGAACATTTATTGCTAACTAACTCCACGCGTACGAAGTCGCGGGCGGCCGCTAGTAGTGAATAAGACATTAGGCTCCAGTTGCGAAGATTGGTGCTGAAGATTGTTTTTACAGATCGTACAGGCGTGCTTCAATGAGCATCCCAACGTTTTTGGACGAGAGACAAGAAATCCGAAACTAGAAATTGCAATAACCCTCGAAAAATTAGAGAGCTGTGTCTTCCAATTTAAATAAGGATTTTCATTTAGAGGCGACCTCCGCGGTGTCAGTGGTATGTCTGTACACTGGTTTTCAAGGTGTCGCCTACTCAAAGAACTACAAAAAATACTTTTATATTTATCATACACTTAACTTGTATTTCTATCCGATACCTTATCATCCCATAGCACAAGGCTTACAATGCGATTTAACTAAGAATAGGACCGACTGGGTGCCATATTGTGACATCATAGCTGTCAATTCAAACCAGTTAGGTAGAGTGAGCAAAAATGATTTTCCTTAATAAAATTTATTGATCAAGATTAAGTGACAAAAAATATCAGAAATTTAATAATATTTATTTATTAAGACTGAGTGTGAAAAAACACTAATCAGAATCTAGCTCTTAAATTCCGGTCATCTCTGCACTACCGTCGGAGTAGTCATCATTATCGTCATTATCATCACTGCTGCTTTGGGTTATCAAATAAAATATCGATTATTGCAGGTTAAAACCTACAATAATACCGTTTACCGTAACCCGTTACCCGTTATTGTTAATAAAAACGGTCTTTTAAAAAAACGGTATTACCTGTATTTATAATAAATCTTCTTAAAAAGTTCTTATATTTCCCTTTTCCAGTACAAATTTCCTATACATTCCAATTATGATTTATTTCCTTCTTTTGTTTACAAATGTTTGGTATTTCAGTGCTCAGTGCTAAAAACAATGTTCTAAGATTTTTCTGCTAACCGTACTTTTCAAGCGACATTTGACAGATGGAGGTCATTGACTTTCCTATTCTTATTTGAATCGCATAGTACAGTACTTACTTTGGGGTTAGGATAATCATGTTTAATAATTGGTATATTAGAATATATTATATATTTATTAACTAACGGCCACCCGCGACTTCATCCGCTTTAACTTAGGTTTTTTGAGAAACCCACGGGAACCTAAAAACAAATCCGGGATAAACAGTATCCTATATCCTTATCCAGGTCATAAACTATATTTGTATTAAATTTCGTACAAATCCGTTCAGTAGTCTTTGCGTGATTGAGTAACGAACAAACAAACTCACTTTCGCATTTATAATATTAGTTAGGATATGGTATCCTGCTTGAATAAGTTTCATCCACGGATTGAAGCATCAGTCCTCAATAAGAATAGTTTTATGACATTAGCTGCTATTGCTGCATCAGCCAGCGCTACAGTAAAATCAACCTTAATTACGATACAAACCGGCTCATTTTGTATAGATGAATGGATCTCAGACAGGCCATGGCGGCCCTTTTCCTGGCAGCGCACAACACTCGCTTCCAGGTGTTTGAACGCTGTCGAGGCTTAGTGGCCTGGTTAGTCCAATGCGGCATGCGACAACGTAATTACTAGCGAAACATCAAACGCACACGACTATTATAACAATTTACTTAAAATAAAGCACACAAGTTCAGGCTGTGACAAAATAAATCACCATACTTTGGGCTGATTCGTGATTCGTAATAAATCACGAATCTTTCGAGCTGTGTCACAATAAATCACTAATCTATTAGTCTTTTTTTTATAGCCAGGTAGGCAAACGACTCTACCCCACCTGATGTCAAGACGTGATAAAGTCCATACGTGAAGACAGCTGGTACAGCAGTTATAAACTGCTACACCAACCATCCTCACCATGCCGGCCTGCAAAAACGCCTCTTCACGCCTCTCTTAAAGGCAAACAATTCCATTTACGAATAGTACGATAAAGTCTGCGACTGTGACACAGTGAACAGTTACAATACTCCCGCAAAATATTGGTCGGGGTAATAGATTAAAAAATACCCGAGCGCTGCCTCTTATGCGATAATGTTATAAATAGTGAGACATCAAACGCTCACGACTGTAAAATAAAACAAACAATAAACCACAAAAGTTCAGATTATGTCACAAAACAAAAAAAAATCTATATGCTGAGTCATAGTAAATCAAATAAAAAACACGAATCTTTATGGTGGCACTTCACACAACAACATTTGGAAACATGACATCAGCTGTCCTTATCATACTCTACAAGAAATGAAAAGGATAGACTGATGCCATGTTTACAAATAGCAAACACAAACAGCCATTTGTAGTGCCGACATTAAGCTGTGTCACTGTAAATCATCCCCCCACGACAACGGCTAACTAGAGCCGAAGTCCGAGTCTCAAAGACGCCCTCTAGTTGAGCTGACTCCTCAGATTCGAGTGGTCTAGAGGCTCCAGACGGAGAGGAGACTCCCCCCGAGGGGAGATTCAATCCGCCTGGATTACCTCTAGCTAGAGGCATTCGCCAATTCTCGGCTTGGGGTCTCTTTAGGATCTCGCTGTCCCCAAATCCGGTGACGCTCTAAAGGTCATCTGCGATCAAAAGCATACACACCCAAAACAAAAAAACTGTAAATCACAATTTTTTGACTGTGACAGAGTAAACAGTTACAAAAACCACAAACCACAATGGTTTAAAGTACTAACCCCAAAAGTTGGTCTATGTAGCATTCAACACTCTAGTTTAAGAAAAACAAATCCTACAAAATTTGCTTAAACAATGGTATTCTTCGCGGTGCATTAGTGTTGCCGCACACGGGCCACCCACCACAACCACGAAACGCCGCCACCGGAATATTTCTTGTAGTTTTCATACATTTTATATGGACTCGCCACACACGGTACGCCGGTGGCAGCCACACGCTACAAATCGTCGTTGCTAGCTTCTTGTGACCCGCACCGGCCACTTAATGCGCTGATACAAAACGCCACCACACGTCTCTCGCGCGATTCCCCACCCCTCTCTCCCTTACCTTAGTCGGCCGCTGTCGCGCGCTTTAGACACTTTAGTAGCCGCTTCTAGCTTCTCGTGGCGGCGTTTGTGGCTGTGGCGTGTGGCCCGTGTGCGGCGACACTAACACTCGCTTCCAATGTTCGAGCGCTGCTGAGGCTTAGTGGCCTGGAGATCTTTTTTTGATTCGCTCGCCTGACATAGTATCGACTTTTTGACTTTCAAGTCGCAAGATACTACTACGTTCATCTACAGTGTTACCAGTTTAATACAAAATACTTATTTTTATAAATTTCACGGAAAAAGTTAAAAAGCAGTCATTAACCTCGTTATTTAATCTTTTACCATTTTTGTTAGAAAAGATCAAAACGTTGCAACAAGTCGTCATCTTATCTGTATTATAAAAAGATTGAGAAAAAAAACTTGAAAATATCTGACATAAATTTGAGAATCATTCTATCCATTCGGCTCCATCATCACGAGTGGTCGAAAACGCTTCCCAGACGGGCGCTCTAACTCGAGCGGAAAGTCTTAATTTTTCTTAGTTCGTCAACTTCTTCAATTCTAAACTCTTTACTCGCACAAAACTGTCAACTAACTAATTGATTTTCAGCTTTACTAGTTGGATTTAAAGCTTCAAACCACTAGCTGAATTTTAACAATTTCTAACCTAACTTGCTGTTAGCCTCACATTTAATACATTACAAAAAATATTAGTACATAAACGCGAGTTATACTTTCAAGCGAAAGTCCACTCTACATGCACCACAATAAATACGAATTTCGGGTAAACCTTGGCAATGAATGCAGAGAGGTTTGCCTGAAGCACGCTATGACAGCTCTCTTCCTCTGTATCGATACCACTGAGCGATATACGTTCTTAAACATTTGTTGAGGATGGTCGATCTGGTTTGAACAAAAAGATAACAAAATAAAATGAATATCATCTGCATTGTTCTAATCCTTATAAAAGTAACTATATCACTGATAGAATTAGAAATAACGAAGGGTACAAACTAACAGATTTTGAATAAAAGGGATACCTATATCGTTTTTTAAATTATACAGACTATATACAGTTAATACTAGTACAGCTGTCAAGGAACCTCTTATATGTGAATTATATTTAAGATTTAATTCCCCTAATTAGTATATAACAGCACTTGTAACTTTTAAGATAAATAAACCATTATTATTATTTTATATGTTTGATATTGATACACTAACGATAAGAGTCATCCATTTAGTTAAACGACCATGGAGCTTCTGAGGAGAATAGTGAACTAATTAAACCAGTTCAAATAGTATTTTACTAAGGCGACTTGCACCAACATTCATAAATCAAATCAAGGCTTCTGTTGAACACATCATTTCATTTTTGCCAATTTTACCACAAATAGATACAGAATGAGGCTTGACTTAATGATTAACTTTTAAATGTAATTTAATTACTTTAGTGCCATTGTACTTTATCCGCCTTATTCCAAAACGCAGACTAAAGTTAGTCTTGGTTTAAACCTAATATTGTGTCTGTCTTCTTTTTAGCAAACAAAATTATCAGCCAAAACATTACTAAAAATTGCCGATAGTCGGCCGTTTGCCGCGATATTATTTAATACGCGCTTTTATCTCGCTCAATTGTCAAATTACTATAGTTGGACAGTTAGAAGGGATAAAGAACTTGATATAGGTACTTAATGTAAATTGTGGTGCTCAAGCTACGGGGACAGGTTTAACTTTAGTCAGTCAGTTTAGTTTTGTAATAAGGCGGTAAATTATTATTGTTTTCAACTTTCACGGTCACTAACATTACAGCTATTAAAATATCGGAGACTCATAAAAAAGGTACATGGTAACAATCCCGTTAATAGCAATAAAGGTAAATCTTATATATAAAATTCTCGTGTCACAATGTTAGTTACCATACTCCTCCGAAACGACCTGACCGATTTTTATGAAATTTTATATGCATATTCCGTGGGTCTGAGAATCAGTTACTATCTATTTTTCACATCCTAAAGTGTTTAGGAGGAATGTTATCCCAGGAAATTGATAGAACACTACGTTACACACACCTAAAATTTTTTTTGGACTATATTTATTTTTTTATAATGTGGTATAAAAATACATACAACCTTAAATTTTCTCTTCTACCACCTGCCCCTATTTTTATGGCGGTACGAAGTTTGCTGGGTCAGCTAGTAATTAGTATAAGTTTGTACTCACCATATGTAACCCGAACAATACTTTGCTCATCGCCACTATCCTTTCCACCGTATCATCGATGATCTTCGCTTTATTCTCAGCAGTTTCAATCGTGATGTTGGTCTTAGACTTGGATCCCAGTTTGCTGTACAAGTAATGTTGCCAGGACATCTCATCAGCTGGATCGATCTTGTCCGGGAGAGTGAGCTGAGTCTTGGCGAACTCTGACACGTCTTGTTCAGTCATTTTCTGGGAGAAAAAGAGTGGTGTAAGTAAAGATCAGTGTGGAATGTTATGTTTTGTTTAAATCTAAAGAAAAGTTTTACTAGAAAAAAATCCACGCGGTCCAGGCAGCGGACGAGACTCGAACCCGCACCCTTCGCAATCCGGGCGAATGTACTGACCAATTATGCTACCACGGTCCTTATTGCCGCGTCGAAAATTTTTTGGCCTTAAGCTGCAAGGCAGCGCCATCTCTTCGCATTGTAACCCACAATGTCAAATGAATACTTTTTTTTTCTAGTAAAACTTTTCTTTAGATCAGTGTGGAATTTATTTATTTATATATTCTGTACACACAATAAATAATACAGGAGCAACTTAATTAAAGATAACATGTACGAGGGCACAACTTATTTCAATCTGAAATTTCTTCCAGTAGACCCGTAGTAGGAAAGAATATAGGTAAAGGTAGTCAGTATACACCTGAATATAAATACATGTTAATACTAATAAATATGTGGTTTACATACATAGGTTTATATATACAAGTACTTAAATAATGAATAAATACATACATACATATAATATGGACGACGAGAAGAGAAACAATGAGAAGAACAAGTACTGCTGTACTGTTTTCTCGCAAATGTGTTGAAAAACGTTGTATGTACATTCGTGCGGGATTGGTATTTACAAACTCGTCTCGGACTTTAATTCGTCTACTCCTTTGTAGAGAGTCTTATATCATAAATAACTATTGTAGCTTACCTACAAGAATCGGTCTTTATAATACTGTATTAAATTAATTCTTGCTTTCTGTTAACCTACCTTCAGGAATCGATCCTTGCAATGTTGCACCAATTCTTGCTCTCTCCCCGCGAACAGATTCAACCCAACTGGCAGTAATCTCTTCAAGCAGGCCACCATCAACGACGCCTGCACCTCCTTGTCTTTGTCGCGTTTCTTGTCACGATGTTTCTTCTTTTTCTTTAAACATAAACCCACTTATTATAAATCGTGGAGTAAAGAAACAGACACTCCCGCAACAACCAATTTTTTAAAGGCCATTAGTTAAATTTCTAGTGCTAATATGCTACTAAAACCAAAACAAAATTTTTATTCAAGTGTTAAGTGCCTTAAAAACGGATTTAAATTTAACATTTTCAAATTTCGCGCGTATTTAAACGAAAATGCTAGACGCAGTGGACGCCATATTGCTCTACGGTTTTGGCGTCATTAGCATTGTAAATATGCATACCATATTGATCTACGGTTTTGATGTCATTAGCATTGTAAATAAATGCGTTACCTTGGTAACGCAAACATTAAAAGTACTGAGTTGACAGCTGACACTTTGGTATATACTAGCGGTGTGACGTAATAATTTGACGGCAACTATTTCATCGTGTTTTAAGACAGATTATAAAAACTAAAAAACTATGAATTGAATTTTAAAATGCATTTTGTTATTTTATGAACTGAATAATATATAATATTCCGACTCCTATTTACCTAAACTATCGCAATAATACATTTGTAGTTTTTTTTTCAAGTAGAGTGAAATACCCTTTACTAGCAGGTTCCCTGTCTTATACGACCGAGTTTTTCATTATATAATGTGCAGCGCTAATACTCGATTAGACTCCGGTTTTTCACTTAGAAATGGAAATAAAATATTAGTTTTGAACCTGCGCTCACAGAAAGGGCCTGACTCTCCTTTCACTTCCTTCACTGTGATAGAAGTTTTGAACAAATTTAATTCATGAACTTGCCAGTGTCGGTACAAAAAGTGGCAATTATATATATGTGTTTAAATGTACAGGGCATCTGCTAGAGTAATTATTTGTACAATTATGAAAAGGAGGAATACAAGAGATAAGTACACAATTATATGCGAAATTCGACTCATTCTATAATGCTTGTAAGAAATTATGCTCATGGTGAACCAGGAATCAAATCAGCTCATAGTATTATATGACTACCTACATATTTGAAATATTGGCGATTCGAAAGCCTGTTAAAGTTAAAACAAATAATTAAAAGTCGTGTTTTAATCTTCCAACCTTTGCAATACTTATGGGTAAAAATATTACGGTATGTATGTATGTATATTATTATGTGTTAATTAATAGTTAATTCATGATAACTTAGAGACAGATGTTATCCATATCAAATGGTGTGTTTGACATTATGTTAATTGTTTTGGACAATATATAATGAATGATATAATGATTACCTTTCCGCCTCCTTGTGGCGCTCCATCAACTACTGTTGTGACTCGGCGAGTTGCCGTTGGCATTATTAGCACCTGTGTGTATGAAATTATGACTTAACACATAGATATTAAGGGCTAAACTAGCGTGGACAATAAGCATTCCATGAACTAACAAAAACTAATAAACAATTAAATCTAAAGAAAATATAACTAGAAAAAATTCCACGCGGACCAGGCAGCAGACGGGACTCGAACCCGCACCCTTCGCAATCCGGGCGAATGCACTGACCAATTATGCTACCGCGGCCCTCACGGACCACGTCGAAATTCTTTCTAGCTATTCTTAAGCTGCAAGGCAGCGCCATCTCTTCGCATTATAGGTAAACCCACAATGTCAAATGAATACTTTTACAAGTATTAAACATTTGAAAGAAGAAATAGCAATTATAGTTATAATTTCTATTATTTTTAAAGCATGTAACTGCTTGATGTTTAAATCTAAAGAAAATATAACTAGAAAAAATTCCACGCGGACCAGGCAGCAGACGGGACTCGAACCCGCACCCTTCGCAATCCGGGCGAATGCACTGACCAATTATGCTACCGCGGCCCTCACGGACCACGTCGAAATTCTTTCTAGCTATTCTTAAGCTGCAAGGCAGCGCCATCTCTTCGCATTATAGGTAAACCCACAATGTCAAATGAATACTTTTACAAGTATTAAACATTTGAAAGAAGAAATAGCAATTATAGTTATAATTTCTATTATTTTTAAAGCATGTAACTGCTTGATGTTTAAATCTAAAGAAAATATAACTAGAAAAAATTTCACGCGGACCAGGCAGCAGACGGGACTCGAACCCGCACCCTTCGCAATCCGGGCGAATGCACTGACCAATTATGCTACCGCGGCCCTCACGGACCACGTCGAAATTCTTTCTAGCTATTCTTAAGCTGCAAGGCAGCGCCATCTCTTCGCATTATAGGTAAACCCACAATGTCAAATGAATACTTTTACAAGTATTAAACATTTGAAAGAAGAAATAGCAATTATAGTTATAATTTCTATTATTTTTAAAGCATGTAACTGCTTGATGTTTAAATCTAAAGAAAATATAACTAGAAAAAATTCCACGCGGACCAGGCAGCAGACGGGACTCGAACCCGCACCCTTCGCAATCCGGGCGAATGCACTGACCAATTATGCTACCGCGGCCCTCACGGACCACGTCGAAATTCTTTCTAGCTATTCTTAAGCTGCAAGGCAGCGCCATCTCTTCGCATTATAGGTAAACCCACAATGTCAAATGAATACTTTTACAAGTATTAAACATTTGAAAGAAGAAATAGCAATTATAGTTATAATTTCTATTATTTTTAAAGCATGTAACTGCTTGATGTTTAAATCTAAAGAAAATATAACTAGAAAAAATTTCACGCGGACCAGGCAGCAGACGGGACTCGAACCCGCACCCTTCGCAATCCGGGCGAATGCACTGACCAATTATGCTACCGCGGCCCTCACGGACCACGTCGAAATTCTTTCTAGCTATTCTTAAGCTGCAAGGCAGCGCCATCTCTTCGCATTATAGGTAAACCCACAATGTCAAATGAATACTTTTACAAGTATTAAACATTTGAAAGAAGAAATAGCAATTATAGTTATAATTTCTATTATTTTTAAAGCATGTAACTGCTTGATGTTTAAATCTAAAGAAAATATAACTAGAAAAAATTCCACGCGGACCAGGCAGCAGACGGGACTCGAACCCGCACCCTTCGCAATCCGGGCGAATGCACTGACCAATTATGCTACCGCGGCCCTCACGGACCACGTCGAAATTCTTTCTAGCTATTCTTAAGCTGCAAGGCAGCGCCATCTCTTCGCATTATAGGTAAACCCACAATGTCAAATGAATACTTTTACAAGTATTAAACATTTGAAAGAAGAAATAGCAATTATAGTTATAATTTCTATTATTTTTAAAGCATGTAACTGCTTGATGTTTAAATCTAAAGAAAATATAACTAGAAAAAATTCCACGCGGACCAGGCAGCAGACGGGACTCGAACCCGCACCCTTCGCAATCCGGGCGAATGCACTGACCAATTATGCTACCGCGGCCCTCACGGACCACGTCGAAATTCTTTCTAGCTATTCTTAAGCTGCAAGGCAGCGCCATCTCTTCGCATTATAGGTAAACCCACAATGTCAAATGAATACTTTTACAAGTATTAAACATTTGAAAGAAGAAATAGCAATTATAGTTATAATTTCTATTATTTTTAAAGCATGTAACATGCTTTGGTCAGTGCATTCGCCCGGATTGCGAAGGGTGCGGGTTCGAGTCCCGTCTGCTGCCTGGTCCGCGTGGAATTTTTTCTAGTTATATTTTCTTTAGATTTAAACATCAAGCAGTTACATGCTTTAAAAATAATAGAAATTATAACTATAATTGCTATTTCTTCTTTCAAATGTTTAATACTTGTAAAAGTATTCATTTGACATTGTGGGTTTACCTATAATGCGAAGAGATGGCGCTGCCTTGCAGCTTAAGAATAGCTAGAAAGAATTTCGACGTGGTCCGTGAGGGCCGCGGTAGCATAATTGGTCAGTGCATTCGCCCGGATTGCGAAGGGTGCGGGTTCGAGTCCCGTCTGCTGCCTGGTCCGCGTGGAATTTTTTCTAGTTATATTTTCTTTAGATTTAAACATCAAGCAGTTACATGCTTTAAAAATAATAGAAATTATAACTATAATTGCTATTTCTTCTTTCAAATGTTTAATACTTGTAAAAGTATTCATTTGACATTGTGGGTTTACCTATAATGCGAAGAGATGGCGCTGCCTTGCAGCTTAAGAATAGCTAGAAAGAATTTCGACGTGGTCCGTGAGGGCCGCGGTAGCATAATTGGTCAGTGCATTCGCCCGGATTGCGAAGGGTGCGGGTTCGAGTCCCGTCTGCTGCCTGGTCCGCGTGGAATTTTTTCTAGTTATATTTTCTTTAGATTTAAACATCAAGCAGTTACATGCTTTAAAAATAATAGAAATTATAACTATAATTGCTATTTCTTCTTTCAAATGTTTAATACTTGTAAAAGTATTCATTTGACATTGTGGGTTTACCTATAATGCGAAGAGATGGCGCTGCCTTGCAGCTTAAGAATAGCTAGAAAGAATTTCGACGTGGTCCGTGAGGGCCGCGGTAGCATAATTGGTCAGTGCATTCGCCCGGATTGCGAAGGGTGCGGGTTCGAGTCCCGTCTGCTGCCTGGTCCGCGTGGAATTTTTTCTAGTTATATTTTCTTTAGATTTAAACATCAAGCAGTTACATGCTTTAAAAATAATAGAAATTATAACTATAATTGCTATTTCTTCTTTCAAATGTTTAATACTTGTAAAAGTATTCATTTGACATTGTGGGTTTACCTATAATGCGAAGAGATGGCGCTGCCTTGCAGCTTAAGAATAGCTAGAAAGAATTTCGACGTGGTCCGTGAGGGCCGCGGTAGCATAATTGGTCAGTGCATTCGCCCGGATTGCGAAGGGTGCGGGTTCGAGTCCCGTCTGCTGCCTGGTCCGCGTGGAATTTTTTCTAGTTATATTTTCTTTAGATTTAAACATCAAGCAGTTACATGCTTTAAAAATAATAGAAATTATAACTAATAAACAATTACTTCGCTAAATGCGATGGATTCTAGATATAAAATCAGAGACGATAAGTCGAAGTTGAGGGTAGGATTATAAATAATGTGACAGATTTTTGTAATGAACTGTAGACACAAAACAACTTGAAAATTGATAATTATGGCTACAAACACTTAATTTATTGTTGTAATGAAATCTAGACGCTAGAAGCTAAAGAAAATAAAGTCCAGATAAACGCAACAATTCGATTCTTTCACAAAGTCGCAATGAAATCTAGACACATAATCTAAGACATCAAGGTTTATATTTGTTTGCACTGTTACCATATTATCGATTTCGTTGGCCGAAATGAAGTTTTGTTCTTCTTTCAGGAAGTACTGGCTCTTGGACCAGATATTGAAGATTTCCGCAACGTGGTTGTAAAGCTCTTCGGCCTCTGTTGGATAAAAAGACAAAAAAATAAAGTTATGCAACTGCAACTGTTGTATAATGTGCGGTATTAAAACACGAATATGAGTTTATTCGCAATAATAATAATAATTTATTTGCAAATATGGTTACAATATATGTTATTTTACTGATCGTGTGAGGCGGGTCGTTGCGTTCGGTTCCCTAAAAAATGGTTGAGCGAAGCGATAACTGGTCATGCTCATGGATGCCCGTTCACGAGCATGACGCTGGATGATGTGTCATGCTCGTGAACGGGTACTGCCAGCGGAGATGAGTCTGCTTTTGCTACATTGGGTACTATTAATCGTTGTACTTAACTTCAATCGTTCATTTTTTTAATGCCTAAAAGTAGGGCACGGCATTCCTAAACATTGCTAAACTTTGTTAAACCAGGAGTATTTTTAATCAAGGCTGCTTAGCGTGAGGAACATTTTTTAGCATGTCAAATTAACAAATAAGCCAAATTTTAATTACTAAATTATTATATTTCCAATACTTCAAAGTATTAAACGACAACTTTAGGTTGACATACAATGAAGTGCATCAACTTTACCAATTAGTAGGCTAACACAGTCAAAGAAAGTTCTTTTAATGTCATCAAAATTTTTGTAGTAAAGTAATATTGTTTTCAAGTAAAACAGGTAATCTAAAAAGTGGAGATTAAAGAACTCACATCCATGATTCATTCCATTCGTTCACGAAAATTGACTGTGATTCCGAACTTTATGTGCGTGTTCGAAAATGAAATAGAGTAGAGTCATTGGCGAAATTTCGTTTAAAATTGGTTCGTTACCGAAATTTCGTTTCGCAGAAAGAGAGTAGAGCTCCAGAATTTACTTTTAGTACAGTCAATCTGTAGGTTGAGTGGTGAAAAAAAACCTAAAGGGTAAGTCTTGTTTTTTCTGTTGCCAAATGACGTCAGTAAGCCACCTTGGCGATGGGCATGTTCAACTCGTAGGCGTTTTTTGAAAACTCAAAAAAACCGTCAAAAAATTTTTGAAACGCATTTTTCTTGTTTTGTATGCATTTTAGAAACTTTTTTTTCGACTATAATTGTAGAGGGCGTTGAGTACTACAATTTATGTCATTGTTGCAATCTCGTACAACAAAAAATGCGCATTGTAGGTGGCGCTAAAGTCTCAAAAAAGTGTTTTTTCACTTTTTCACCCTGAAAATATCATTTTAATGGAAAACTTTAAATGGCAAAGTTGTTTCGTAAATAATTACCAACAACTTTTGTATAAACAATTTTTTTGTATTACTTACCGTTTTCAAGTTATAAATTGCGCACATATGATAAATCCAATAGAGCGGTTTTGAGCAGTTCAAGTACACATTTGCAGTGCACATTTCAATGTACGTTTATACTATTTTTTTTTCAATCATGAAAAAAAATAAAAATAAAACTATTTTTTTTTATTTTTTTCATTTTTTTTTGTTTTTCAATCATGAAAAAAATTAAAAAATAGTAAAACGTACATTGAAAAGTGCACTGCAAATGTGTACTTGAACTGCCCAAAACCGCTCTATTGGATTTTTCATACCTGCGCAATTTATAACTTGAAAACGGTAAGTAATACAAAAAAATTGTTTATACAAAAGTTGTTGGTAATTATTTACGAAACAACTTTGCCATTTAAATTTTTCTATTAAAATGATATTTTCAGGGTGAAAAGTGAAAAAACACTTTTTTGAGACTAGCGCCACCTACAATGCGCATTTTTTGTTGTACGAGATTGCAACAATGACATAAATTGTATCACTCAACGCCCGCTACAATTATGGTCGAAAAAAAAAGTTTCTAAAATGCATACAAAACAAGAAAAATGCGTTTCAAAAAATTTTTGACGGTTTTTTTGAGTTTTTCAAAAAACGCCTACGAGTTGAACATGCCCATCGCCAAGGTGGCTTACTGACGTCATCTGGCAACAGAAAAAACAAGACTTACCCTTTAGGTTCTTTTTTCACTGAAACGATATTTTTTTCGACAGATTGACTGTACTATTTGTGACAATGAATCAAAAGAATTCAATTATCAATAATAATAAAATAAAAATAATACGAAAAGTACATGTCACAAAGAATTTAAATTTAGAATATATTCATATTGTAGTTTAAAACAACGTAGTATTAAAACACGAAGACTTGGCCTCGTGTGTTATACTATCACATGAGTGTTTTAATACCTAATTATAACAGTTGAATACAAGACTTCATTTACACCTATGATATCAATGCTCTATAAAAGATTCTGGCATACGTATCAGTTAGCACACGCCAATCCGCACTGGGCCCGCGTGGTGGGGCATGGCCCAATCTCCCAAATCCATCCACAGGGAAGGCCGGTGCCCCAGCAGTGGGGACATTATTTGGCTAATGATGAAGTTTATATAGGTAGTGATATATGCTATTAACGGGATTGTTACCATGTACCTTGTTTTTAGCGAGTTTCCAAATAAACGAAATAACAAAACATAAAAATTTCAATCGTGAGGACGGGTTTAAATTTTCGAGTGTCTGGAATGCTGTGGTTCGTATGTGTAAAAACCGGAAAAATCAAAAAAGTGTCGTGTCGCGATCCGATACTGTAAGTGTTGTGTGTCGGGAACAGTTTCGAGTGAATAGTGAGAATGTGAACAGTGGTACGGGTATCGAACGCAATAAAAGACTTCGTCGGAGGGTATACCGATATGTAAATGCCAATAACAGTCTATCCGCAATTACTTCAGTTACTCCGTGATCATGGCGCTTGCAACAGTGCCGAAATATCGGAAACTCGCTAAAAACAAGGTACATGGTAACAATCCCGTTAATAACATACATTACTATAATGTTAATGACCATGAAAGTTTAAAACAATATTTATTTAAGTAGTCATTTTGTTGCTAAATATCAAGTATGATAAAAATTAATGGAATGAATGAAATACAAACTTTAGCCATGATTTTATTACGCCAAATGAAGCCGTTTCTGATTACCTTACATGTCTAGCTCCTAATCTACAAGAACAATACAATATGACCAGACGCCAGTGGAGCTGGCGAACAAAACGGTATTATTACGAATTTGGTCAAAGTACTTTTTTTTTACAGTCCGAAGGTTTCGGGCCCGTTGAATTTGAATCTTAAATAATTTTCAATCAAAACCGCCTAAAACAGTGTTAAAATTACCAAATTTATAAATTAAAAACCAGGCCAAAAGCTCACTGGAGGTATGTCATTCAGTTTTATACAGCTCCTACAAAATCGAATTTTATGTAATTATACCGATTTGTTCGCCAGCTCCTCAAATATGACTTATCTATTGAATAAAACTAGTTTTCACGGGTTAATGCATAAAACTTTATTTATTTATTGACATTTCGCAGCCTTTACAGGCTGCATCGTCGGGATCAATCAAAAAAGTCAATAAATAAATAAAGTTCCGTGCATTAACCCGTGAAAAACTAGTTTCATTTAATGAGTGATGTGCGTGAAAACCTAAGAAACAAATACTTATCTATTGAATAAATTTATTTTATTAAGCTAAGTGTTTTCTACTACTCACCATTGATATTGTTCCTCAACCAATGGTTTCTTTGAAGGTCCACATACTTGATAAGCAGCGGGTAGAACGAGTATATATCTCTGACCAAAAGCTGCCAGTCCTCTTGTATTTGAGATTCCACTTGGGAAGTGTCATCTGTCGACGACTGAAATAAATATAAAAACGTTAATGTGGAGAAATCAGTACTTTTAGCACGAACCAATATCGAATTCGTAACTTTTGCGAGTCCGAAATGTCATTGTCTAATGTGTACTGATTTTTAGTTCTCGTTACGTACTTTGTGGTACTGCACTGCCAACTCTCTGGCTAATCTACGACTATACGAAACCAAGTACCGGTGGTCGCTATCCGGCACAAGAAGTCTTATAAAAGTTTTTATTATGTTTCAATAGGGTATTTGACAAGTTTTAAAAAACGATGTCACGTTATTGACTATTGTTTATGGAGTCCGTAAAAAGTGGATAGTCATCATTCTGTTGTGTATTTCAGTAAAAATAACCAAATCAAAAACTCCATTTTCAAGTTGCCGCGAAAACGTTTCTCTGGACAATATGGCGTCTTACTAGTGTGTGACGTCACACGACTGTTATTAAAACGTCAAACGATACAATGTAATGTCACTTTAACCGGAAGTTTACTTGCGTGTGACGTCATTTTAGTCTCCGCCAATCCCAAGCGTTTTGGGTCACGTGACAATAGATAAGAAAACTATTAGCTTTTTCGTTAGTTTTTTGTAAAATTATGAATATTTTTTTTGTAAAAATAGTAAAAGCCCCTGCCAATATTCATTCTAAACACAGATGCCAACAATTGATACTTTATTTTTAACACTGTCAAATACCCTATTATCATGTAATCTAACATCAAATGAAAAAAATTAAATGAAAAGTATAATTTGATTTGTTTTCTTATTAGATCTCCCGTAAAACAAACATCTATAATACCTGTGTGTCAAGTGGATCCGTGAATTTTTAACATCCTCGTGCAAAAAAACTCACCTTAATGAATCCTCTCAAGCTCTCCTCCTTATGGAACATATTATCGGTTCTCTTTCTCACTCTCTCCGCTAGCGGTAAGAAGGAATCTCTTAGTAACTCCTCGGAACTGTTAATGATGATCTGCTGAGTGTAAGTGGCTATTCGAGTCATCCAGGGGGCACTTTCGTTGCCAATGTTCTTCTTGATGAGTTTTAGAACGTTTTTCAGGAGTTGGTTCATGTGTTCCGCCGTTACCATGGTAACGTGGTTGCTGGGAAGAAAAGGAGAGTTATATAAAAATATATGGATTGCAATAAAGAACTGAGTACTGAGTATAAATAATGTTGTCGTTATCATTAATTAATTAGCGGTCTCTTTTTTTTTTGAGTGCGTATGCAGCAGATGACCTTTACAGCGTCACCGGGTTTGGGGACGGCGAGATCCTAAGGGGACCTAAAGCCGAGAATTGGCGAGTGCCTCTAGAGGTATTCCAGGCGGATGGCATTTCCCCACGGGGGGAGTCTCCTCTCCGTCTGGAGCCTCTAGACCACTCAAACCTGAGCGGGTCGGCTCAACTAGAGGGCGTCTCTGAGACCATTGTCGTGGGGATTAGCGGTCTCGATAGATGTTGAAAAATATGGAATTTAATTCAACTAGCAACTCCGATAAATATTACAGAATCTGATTGCAGCGCCACCTGGCAGGTCCAGTTAAGAACCTAAGTATTCAGGATTCAACCTAAGAAATCAGTTCAGCCGTTTACGAGGAGTTCAATTACAAACACACAGAAGAAGTATTTTAAAAGGAATAAAATATATACAAATAGTCTCGTAATTGGTCACGTTCGATTCACTCAAGATTTACTTTTTAATTCATATTGTATTTTTTTGTATTATTTTATATATTTAATGTTACTGACACACATTTTCAATGATAAAAACTATTTAATAATACAATTTTTATATAAGAAAAGGGTCAAGCTGCTCGGTTTATTTTGAAAGACGAAAAATGTATGATATCAGAAAACAGACAAGCCGGTAGCGAATTGCATATTAGCCTCTCAGTAATAAAATAGTAGAAGCTGTGGCCTTGGTAGGCGCTTATTAACTTTATTTGGCTCAATTTTCAATTCTAAAATCCTTATCTCTTAAGACATAAAGTTTGTGACGGCGACATCTATATGCCCCACAGATATCCAACGGATGGAGGAAATAATCACTGGCCTCCTCAAGAGATGGCGCTACCTACGCTGCGATCAATACGTATGGAAGCCTACATCGTGCAAGTGAAATTCGGATGCTAATACTCCATATATACATATATACAATGCCTGAACAACAACAGTGGAGCTACATCCAGCTCGAAGGAAGAGTTTCCCCTTTGGCCTTCCTTCAAGTTTAAATTCCGCTCACCCCGCTGTAGGAGTAACTTTTCCTTCATTTTCAATTTCCTTAACACTTAAGACATAAAGTTCAAATTCAACTCACCCGGCTGTAGGCGTAACATTGTCAGGCCCCTGCGCCCACCAGAACGGAAGATAAGAGCATAGAAGAGGTAAAATCACGTCGATAATGTAAGGGGCTTCGTTGTAAGTCTTGTCTGATTCCACGAATTGGTCTACTTCGCTCAAGATCGTCTCCAATGTAGGCATGGATTGTTCCATTTTCGCCATTATATCTAGAAGGATAAGGTGAATTATTATTTGGACGTAAATGAATTGAATATTTATTTGCTTCAACATGTACACTCATAAAAGAGCGTAATTCAGGGGTATAAGTTAAGTTGTAAAAGTAAGTTGGTGTAGGCTACTTTGAGGTGTGAATACATTCTCAAACTATATTTACACTGTGCACATAAAATATTATTTAAATTTATTCATTATAATAAAATACAAAGTAACTTATATTCTAAAACCGCAACACTAACTATCTTACACTATATATTTACATCTTATATCTAATAATATTTATTAATATCTAATATAGAATTTATAATAAGTACTATAATTATATTAACAATATTATATTTTCATTACATATCATGGTGTACTGGTTTGTCGATATATCGATAACAATTATCGACACGCCCTACGCACTAGCGGATAGTCTTGTACATAATTCTTTTGTCTATCTTATGTACTAGAGATGCGCGCGCGCCACCGCGCTGTCTACCAAACCAGTCGAGACTGAACTACGACGCGGAGCGCACGCTTCTCTTAGCTCGCTTATATACTTAGATCTGTACGCTTTATATAATTGTGCTTTTCGTTTCTATAAACTGTTTATCTATCGCCTATCTTTCTGACTGTATTCTTCTAGTGCTGTGCTTGGACTTTATATCTTGTACCGTCTTCGCCTTCTATTTGTTAATGTGTATATATGTGCTTTATGGGATTACATTGACGGACGGAGTCAGCTGTAAGTTGGACGTTTCATTTATTCCCAATTTATCACCATATACTACATTGGTAAAGTCCACGAAATTTTAAAAGTGAGATTTAAATTACAACACGTTCATTTCCGTATCTATATTTATCCCGTAGAATAATTTTATACAAATTCTAGAAATCTCAACTGATATTTCAAATTGAAAATTGACTTTATCAACAAACGTAGCAAATTCCAAGCGAATTGAGTTTCAATTTGCGTAAAGTCCTTTTAGACCAATAGGAAGGTTCCATTGCCTCCATTTCACTAACAGCTGTCATGGCCGCCTAAAATGTTGTATTGCTCTTTTGTTGTGTTACAGTTACAAACTTAGTTAAGTCCAAAACTTGGTAACAAAACTGGGAAAGTCCATCTTTTACTTAAGGTCTTACTCAAAAGTATTGAACTGAACATGATGAACACTTGAATTTCCATAATGTATTACATTCTGCATATACCTAATTGATATTTAACATTAGAATAGTTACCTGTAATTGTTAAAATTTACTGAATATTTTGGCAATTTGGACTTTACCAACTTTGATTGTATACCCCTCAATTGATATTTTCTGCGCAGGATCAGATAGTAGGCATAGATTGCTCCATTATAGCTATTAGTTATAGAAGAATAAGGTTTTGTTGCTATACTTATTTACATGCCAGTATGCACTCAAATAAAGGAGTCGAATTGATCTACATTACTCAGGATTGTATCCAAGTAGGCACGGATTTCTCCATTTTAGCAATTATGTTTAAGAAAATAAGGTATATTTTCGTTAATTAATGGTTTATTATAAAATAAAAAAGTCAGGTTTCTGAGGAATTTCCAAAAATAAGTTAACGCAGACGATGTCGCGTGCGATCGTCAATCAATAACAAAGCAGATAACTGACCTTGTGCTTCCAGCGAGTGGTCAGCGATGCGGTTCAGAAGCGAGAACTGATTATGTTTGTTCAAATGCGGCTCCAAGAACGCCACAGGGAATGTAGAGCTGAATGCACCCAAACATGAACCCTGTGGGAAGAAACCTCTACAATGAGATAAGTTTACTTCTCATCACCAGCCTATTAATGTCCCCACTGCTTGTGCATAGGTCTTTCTTATGGATGGAATAGGGAGATTGGGCCATGACCCACCACGCGGGCCCAGTGACTAGTTAAATAATAACACCCCTGGTTAATGTATTGGAATATAATTTCTGACTGGGTTTTAACAATTAAAAATGTATATACTTATATTATTCTATATATAAACAAAGAAATTAGAGGGGAAATATGTTGACTGCAGAAAGTCACGAAACAGGAACTTATGATGTTTTCTCATTACATCACGTTATTAACTATTTATCACGAATGTTACGTGCGATGAATATTGTAGTGACGGCACAGAAGGCGTACAGTGCTCACTTTGGAACTAAGTTAATTAGCCAGAAATATTAATTTGTTTTAACTCACCAACGCCGGTTTGTTCCTCTCGATCTCCGTTTTGAGGTATTTCCTGTCGTGTGTCAGCGTGACGTCTGTGCCGAGAGTATACAAGGAGCCTAGCATCTTGTATGAAGCCACTTGTATCTCGTCCACTAAGGAAAAGAACGGACAAATTAATGAAAGCATATGAAAATATTTCTATTCGTAATGTTATACCCGGCTTCGCAGTGATATTTTGACAGTTGTTAATGCACTTGAAGAGAAAATAAATACTGTTTTTTTTCATTGATTCATCATCATCAAATGTAATCACTGCTGGGGCGCAGGCCTTCCCTGTGGATGGAATAGGGAGGTTGGGCCATGACCCACAATTTTTGGTCACCCATCCAATGACCGACCACTGCGAAAGTTGCTGTTTCAACACCTGTCTCTTTATGATATTTAATTGTAAGGAGGTACGGACCTTGAAATTTATGTTATGATGCATCAGGAATTAAATTCTTGAAGCACCATAAGCTTGTTTTGTTACAACTATTTTAAAAGAATAAGGTAGATTTTTGCTTAAATATACGCATCCCAGGACATTGTTATTTTCTGAACGATCATATTAGACGTGACAAATTTTGCCGCCTTCTTGTGACATAATTTTGACAATAAATTATTTGGAGTATTGAACATAGACTAAGAATTTCTTCATTAGTTTACAAACGTTTTTATAATGTCAAGAAATCGAAAGAGTTTCTGTTACATTTACGATTTTGAAAGCGATTTCTAAATTCATACTTAATACTATTATATCTAAAACATGATTTATTGCATTGAAAATAAAGGTCAAATTTCAAAGACCTTCGATCCATATTAACACAATTTCCTTGTTATTAGAAGGTCCTAAGTACAATTATGCATTCCCTACATATTGAAACTTGTCTGTTTTGACATTTTTAAGCGATATATCGGACAAGACTGTCAGCTATCAGTTGTTTGTTCCAATCGTACATTTTTAAGTTAAGTAAAATTAAACGAGAGGTTTTTATAAATCTATTGAGTGTTTTAAATGATATAATATGTGGACAATAATCATAATTGTTTTATTATCATCTTTTTCAAAATATGTGTTGTTATTTTTTTGTACACTAACACCGCATAGGACTTTATATTATTAGAAATAGAAATAAAATTTATTCTTATAATATCTATGACCGATTTTCATTCAAGGGCCATGACGCAAAGACCAACTACACAAGTAGAATGCTCCAAACAAATCGAAAACTATAAAATAGAAAAGTCAATTTGTTTTTATGAATAAAATGTCGTTGGTTATTTTAAATGTTGTTTTGCTCTCGTTGCATTCAACTGGTTTTCTTGCTACCTTATATTTATTCTGTAAGTGCGGATTTCCGAATATGATTCACTCTTTTTTTACCTTGACAGTTTTACATAGCACATCTTTCGGAGTATCAAGGATCATGGGAATGGTAGAAGAATCATTAGTTTAAATATCAATTCTATAGTTACACTTTTTAAGGCCATAAGAGGCATTACTCTTTTTCAATTGGCGTTTGGAAACACTTATTAACACTTTGTTAGTCCATGGTATGGCCTACAATAGTTTCAATTCCGTCTCTTAAAATGTTTTTTATTGGATTACTAATGAAATGTGATTAGTTCCTTAACTCGCTTAGTCGAATGGTATTAAAATAAAGACAGAAAAGTTATACAAATGTTTGTGTTTACTTCAATATAACATTATCATTATACCTGCATCCGTAATTATACTATCGAACCAGGTTTCTGGATAAAAATACGATTAAGTTTTCAAACTATATATTAATAAAATATTGTTACTACTACTGTTCACTTGGTGATCTAAATTGTTTTCAGCGAGGGGAAACGATTGAGGCAAATGGATCAAATAATTTTAATTCGAGTCAACCGCAGCAACAAGATGAAACAATATTTACCGATGTCATCAGAAATATAACAAGGGTTAATAACGTTTTACAGGAGTTGATACAAAATTACGAGAAAATACAGAAATACTACGATACCAATAGCTTTGAGAAAGACTACTCTTCCGACATAGAAATAGATGAACTTTACAAGAATGGAAAGTTTTATAATAAAACGAAATCACGAACTTATGTGGATAACACAATCTGGCCGAAAATGGAATTCCCCGCGACGGCAATGATATTCTCCGATGACGATGTATCTGAAATAGAAGACAGTGCAGAAGATAATGAAGAAGTCAAAAGAGCTGATGATCAGAAATCTACCGCCGATGAGGTTTCGGATGAAAATTCTAAAGAAGACTCTAAAGAATTATCTGAAAATGCACGAATAGAAGATAAAAATACTGAAATCAAAGAATCAAAAATCATATTTCTCAGACCTCATAAATATAAAGCAGACAACAGTAATAAGATAAAAGATTTAAACCCTAAAACACATCACATTCAAAATCGTAAGCACAAAATTGAAACTGGCTCTACAAAGCCAATTAACAGAAACGTAGAAAAAATAATATACGCAGAAACTTTCCCGCAAGGCAAGATTTGGGATGAGATTGCACGCAAGAAACCGATCAATTTGAGAAGTGTCAATATCCCTTCGTCTCGTTTGAAAGACAATAAATTACATTTGCGAACTAATAGATCTCCAAAAACTGCTTTAGTGATAGTGACAAAAAATAACGTTAGTATTATTTAACAATATTTTGAAGCTGTTTAAATAATTTAAACCGGAAACTTAACCGTTTAAGTACCTACTGAAGACGAATGATTCTTATTTTGCTAATTGAAAAGAATAAACTTAGGTACCTTTAGATATTTAGGAGATGAATTATCACCTACATCTTATAACTTCAAACTTGTTCTTATTTAACGTGTTTTTATTTTCATGATTGCAAAAAAACTATAATGTTTCAGAAAAATAAGCGCGATCGGATCGAAATTCCCTCTTACTTGGAGCATGTTTTTTCATCTGAAGAAACCAATTCGAAGATTATCCAATCAAATATACTGCGACACGCATACGGAGAAGCATGTTTGAGGATGGTGGTTAAAAAATGTTACAAGGTAAATTAATGGCCTAAAAACTAAAATAATTTTGAAACGTAATTTAGTCAATATTATGCCAAACTCGTCTGGGATTGCTGATTGTGTGAAGATAAAATTGATGATCATTTATCGTTCCAGGCATGCAAAGAGACCAAAAAAGTTGCCTGCAAAATCGCCACATGCAAAAGCTCGTTTAAGGAGAAATTCATAGATTCAGCCAAGACTGGCTGCATCAAGGAGTTTAAACCAGCTCTATTGAACAAGAGCGACGCTACCTTTCTCAAGAAATATAAAAAAGGCAGTGGTAAGTTAACACTATAAACAAAGACTTATTAATAAACAAGGTATAAGCTTAGACTAGATACGCCGTGTTTTGTTCATGTCACTCAAATGCCATTTGTCATTTAATAGATAAAAAAATAAAAAGTGTTTTTACTAACATAAGTGCATACAATTAAACAACGATGAAACGATCCCAGTAAGTAATTGTAAAACACTTGTGTTGGGCCGTATAGATGATAGACAAAGCATTGAGAAACTTATCCAAGTGTAGTTTTCATTTATTAATAACGGGGAGAGAGAATGGTCTGAGCATTTCACAGGCAGCTGTAAGATTTAGAGATGACAGGGTAAAGTTACACTATTCTGTAGCTATCTGAAAATTATCAATTTTTAGATTTCGCTGATAGTAGCGGTGATGATGATGACTTCCCAGACGCTACAAGAAATGGTTTTCCAGCAGAGACGTGCTTTCCTTTTATGGTTCAAGTAAGTGATAAACATTATTTCTTTACAATACGATACCTATATCTGTATAAGAAGAAATTTGTGATATGATTTATACAAATCTCGGCTAATTATCCCGCAGGAATATGAGTCTCAATTCACAGAACGATTTTGGCGAGTATTGTTGAGTAATTAAATATCTTATGTTGTAACTTCATTTTTGATAATCAGCCAATTACGTGACAGATATGGCATTACCTGTCATGTATAGCATACATACAATCTTCTTCTTCTATATATATAAAAATGAAACCCGTTTTCCGTTGTCACGACATAACATGAAAACGGCTTGACCGATTTGGCTGTTTTTTTTTTGTAGTTTTCTAATACTCTGTACAAGGTTCTTACGGAAAAAAATATAAAGAAAATCTCTCAGAAAGATTAAAAAATATAACGTAACGAATGTCAACGTCATTCAATTTAAAACAAAAAATCGGTGGTAATCTCTGACACCACATCGATAACCGCGCTGACAAAATGACGGTTCAAATTGAATAGGTACTCATACATAAGATAGGTCAGCTATACAAAATAAAGTAGTGCATCAAAGCTACGCTAAGGCGGTACGAAGTTCGCCGGGTCAGCTAGTAATAAAATAAGTAGAGAGAGATGTTAGGTAATATGGTCAAATAGTTTGAAGCCTAATTTTTCTAAATTTTTCAGAATTAGAATTCACAATTGCATTCCAGCCAGTAGAAACGTAATTAAACGAGCTAATTTTTGAGACTTGTACACATTGATTAACGATCTTTATCACATTATGTCACCTTAGACATTCTGAGCCTTGGCCTAACATACTCTAGAGGGGACATTATCTCCGCTGCTGCAGTATGTGGATTGTTATGTGCTAACGACTGCAGATGCAGCACTGTATAACGGCTTAACGTGCCTTCCGAAGCATGGAGGAGTGAGATACATATTATTTTATCACCCGTCCTATATAATCGAATTGCAAAGGTTGCTTTAATTCAACAATTGTGAATGTTAACATAGGAAACAAGAAGCGATAACCAAAACACGAACAAAACCTCGATGCCACTTGATTCAAAGAAGAAGATCTTAAGGGACCGGTATGAGCGGGCTTGCCAAAGAGCATCCAGTGAGAAATGCAACACAGCCTGTCAATACGCTTACAAGAAGACATGTGAGACATACGAATGCTCAAAGAGTAAGAAGAGAGCTTTCACTAAACACTGCAAGAAGCAATGCAAGATGGCGTTCAAATTCAAAGAGTGGACAAAGAAGAAGAGTAGCAGTTCTTCTTCAACTTCTTCTTCGTCAAGCAGTGATAGTGGCAGTGACAGCGATACAGACTTCAATACGGAAGACTTTGAATGACACATGCAATTACAAATGTTTGTGTATCTGATAAATATTTTTATTGTCATGGCTATAATTCCAGTCATCCTTTTTATTAAGTTTAAGTACAGTAGACCTGCAGTAATCCGTCAAACGTTTTGCAGGGCGATGTCGGATTAAAGACTACTTAGCCACCTCACCTTACTTACCAACCAACTTACTTCACTTACCACCTTCTGTAGTCCGGAATTTTTGGAATAAAGTACCGACAAATTAGAAATCTAAAAATCTATTTCAATTGATTTTATGTGCAAATCAACAGTAATTAGCGTGTCGGATTACAGGGGGCGCCGGATTAGATGGGGTCCGGATTTGTATAAATATATATTGAAGACCTGACAGTCTTCTGTATCATTTACTTATTCAATTGTGAGACAAGTAAAAAGAAACACTTTTCGTTTTTTTATACAAACTCTGTCCTGATAATAACGAATACAAAAAAGAATTATCCAATTTGGTGCAGCCAGTCAGTTCAGTACATATCAGCGATTCATTTATATTGATACAGACATAATCTATATATGTAAATAAAACTCAAAAGTGACTGACTGACATAGTGATCTATCAACGCACAGCCCAAACCACTTGACGGACCGGGCTGAAATTTGGCATGCAGGTAGATGTTACGACGTAGGCATCCGCTAAGAAAGGATTTTGATCAATTCTACCCCCAAGGGGATCAAATAGGGAATGAAAGTTTGTATGAAACTTTGTCAATTTTTAATCGATCGGGCTGAGACTTTGCATGCAGGTATAAGAAGAATCATAGATGAATGTCATTGTGTATAATACAAGCCTGAGAACAAAAACTATAGTCTACACTTCAGCTTTACACCGAAGCGAAGCGAGCGCGGGCTAGTAAAGTATAGATTTAAAAGTAACTTACATAGCAAATCGGCGCCATATTCACAGTTGGCCAGATGGTCGAACATTGCGGTGAGTATCGGCAGCAACACCCCGTTGATGTACCCCAACGAAGTGGACGTCTTCAGGTGTGTGCCTCGGAGATGTGCGTATTTACCCTGAACAATTAGTACGAGATTTGAGAGTTGATAAAGAATAGGGATATCATGGGATTAGTATTTACCATTACTTAAATCGAGCTTGAAGAGAAAAGAAATCGGTACCCTTATCACGAACCAATATTGAAATTGAATCATCATCATCAGCGTATTAATGACCCCACCGCTGGGGGACAGGCCTTCCCTATGGATGGATTAGGGAGATTGGGCCATGACGCACCACGCGGGCCCAGTGCGGATTGGCGGGTGCTAACGACTTCAGATGCAACGGCTTAACGTGCCTTCCGAAGCACGAAGGAACTCGAGATAAAAGTTTTTGGTCACCCACCTAATGACCGAAGTGAAATGCGAAAGTTGCTTAACTTCAACGATCACCAGAGACTTTTACCAGCACCTTCTTTTATAGGATTACATGACTAAATATAAAATCCAAATTGTTACCTCTTGCAAATTCAATATGGTGTTCTTAATCATGAGCTAGCTTCACAAGCACCTTCTTTTAAATTACTAATTAAAAGAACCAGCTATAGGATATTCTAGTATTTACCTCTTGCAAATTCAATATCGTATGTCCCAAATCATCGGCCACATTGTTGAAGAACGTCAGCATGGATGTGCGTATGAACTCGGGGCAATTCTTCACCAGAGACTTGGCGTCGATGCCCTTCACCAGAACTTGGAGACAGCGGACTGTGATCCTCACGTCTGGACCGAACGCTGCTAGACTGGGGGGGATAAAAGTCTTTGGTATCCTCAAGGCTGATTTAGAGATTCCTCGTACAATAAACAATGTATCCCTATACTGTATTCAATTTCCTCTAAAACAAAAGGTAAACAAACCTTAGAAAGGTTTTTTCAATAGGTCGTTTTTTACAAGCATTTAAAAACATAATTTAAAAAAAGTGGCCTAAAACTGTAGCTATTCCCAAACTTTGAACGCATTTTAATAATAGTAAATTGAAGGGTGAGTGAAGGGTGAAGAAGTGATAAAGTAAATAATAGGGGTGATGACGGGGTACAGTAAACGAAATTCTGTTTAGTCCGTCAGCTAGATGATCAGAAAATAATGGACACGTATTTTTTCTTTGGGCAATCAACCAAATAATTGACAAAGTTATAGCGCGTCAGTTTGGGAGTAGGGGCTCGTGACGTCACTTTCCAGTGAATATTCATTTAAAAGTGTACTCAAACGTGACGTCATGCGACTTTTCAAATCAATATATCTCTGCAATGTTTATATTTTGATAATCTACCTGATAAACGAAGAAAAAAAAATTAGTCATCATCCCTATTGTCGTTGAAATGTGATTTTTTGTTATCAGTCTACACTCAGTGCCGTCTTTGACCTATTGGAGGCCCTGGGCATATTAGGATAATGGGGCCCGTTTGAACCCCGCTTGGTGATTTAACTGGAACTAGGGCCTTTGTATTTGATCTGAGAGGGGCCCCTATCGATCGCGGGGCCCTGGGCACTTGCCCAAAGTGCCCACTGGGCAAGAGGGGTCTGTCTACACTGGTTATTTACCGTATATAAAAAGTTTTTAGAAACATTAGTTTATATGTTTACCTTTAATCCCAGAGAAAGTTGAATAGAGCACAGTAATTATTTCAGTTCCGAGTAAAAACAAAAAATCCTTGTTGAAAAAAAGCAATATAGAAAATACATATTAATCATCCATGACTGGAGTACAAATGATCGTATTCATCACACAAACATCTGCCCCCACCGGGATTTGAACCCGGGACCTCTGGAGTCGGCGACACCATGAAACCCGGCGTACTCGAGTGGTTTACTCGGCCACGGAGGTCATCAATTCGTATCCTCGTTAGGTCGATGCAGTAAGCGATCTATTTTGGCGGCCAAAAAAGTCCGCGGACATAAGTCCTTGCGTTTGCGCAGGCTATTACTGTGCTTTCTTTGGAGTTAGCCTAATTGGTGTGCAAGTAAGTAATTTTTATTATTATCTGCTAAAAGAATTCTTTAAAAGCAAGGGTAAGACTTCAAAGCAAGCATAGAAAACAGAAAGTCGAAAGTTACAGTCCGTACACACAACTTCAATCAAAATACCTTCGTGGTCGAGTGGATTGTACGCCGGGTTTCATGGTGTCGCCGACTCAAGAGGTCTCGGGTTCGAATCCCGGTGGGGGCTCATGTTTGTGTAGTGATGAATACGAGCATTTGTACTCTAGTCATGGGCGTTAAATATGTATTTCTATGTAATTAAATATACTTATATATGTAGAGTATATGTATTCTATCCGTTACCCTAGTATCCCATAACAGAACCCTTACAGTGCTTACATTGGGGCTAGGCTAATTGGTCTGAGTGATGGAAATATTTATTTATTTATTATATCATGTTACAAAATGTTAATATATTACATACCGCGATCTTAACAAACTCGCAAGCTTGCAGAACAGTGCCGCCACCATTTCCTTTTCCTTAAGACTGGCTGCTCCGATGTTGTTAGTTGCCGTCGCTACAGCTATGAAGTAATTGCGATGAGTGGAGAAATATTTCTCCATCAGAGGTAGCACCACCTGCAAGCGATTATCGTCTTTAGCTCTGTTCGCTTTAAGGTGAATTTAGGTTGAGCTCTATTGCTAGACAGCTACGTTTTAATGAATTTGTGGGTAATCACAATATTATTTGATGTCGAAACAGTATTTATTATTCATAGTCCTTTCTATTTATATTACACTTGTTTTCCTTATATAATAAACCAAATATTGAAAATTTTCGTATACGATTTACACTCGGAAAAACTTTCCTTTGAAACCTATTAATATAGGTTAGGCAGATCATTTGGTCAATACTAATTGGTCAGCTCTTTATCATTCGTCTATAATACATATAATATGTAAGTTAAAAATGGAAATGCGAACTATAGCATAGTACCCCTAGCACGAAACAACATCCAATTCGAATAGTTTGTGAGTGCGAAATGTCATTGTCAATTTTTGTATGGAATCTTGAACAGCGGCGCTACAACGGACGTAACGAGAACTAAAAACCAGTACATATTTTTTGACAAGGACATTTCGCACTCGCAAACTATTCGAATTCGATATTAGTTCGTGCCAAAGCCAAAAAAATGTACTATCCAATCGTGATCTGTAGAAGGACTATGTTTAATAATGTTAGAGGTTGTATATGTATATGATGCTATTTATGTACGAATTCATGCTGCATAAGCAATATGGTGTCATATAGGTGTGTCATGATATCGCCTAGCCCTTAACAATAGTGGAAAATAAGTTACATCGAAATGCTGTAACAGAGAAATCATAAAATAATTACTCCGTAATCACAGATCGTCTACAGACTACATAGGTGTTAAAATTCTTTACACAAAGTTGACGTCACACAGTAAACGTCACCGAACCGGGCGTTTTGGCGGTAAATTCAAAACCAATAAAAATAAATTCAACTTTAATTGGTTAAATGAAGAAAAAAGACATTATTAACTTTATTTTAATTTTTCCGTCAAATCGTTTGTCCCAATCTTTAAATATAAGCAGTTCTCAAAAATTTGGAAAATACCCTATTGGACTAACAGACAAAAATAATAAATAGATATAATTATGATTCATTTGATAATTTTAATTGAACATATTTACATTGACCTATGTTGGATATAAACTATTATACACTTGTAATTTTTATTATTTAAGCATGTAACTGCTCGATTTTTAAATCAAAAGAAAATGTTACTAGAAAAAACTCCACGCGGACCATGCAGCAGAGAGGACTCGAACCAGCAACCTTCGCTATCCGGGCGAATGCACTGGTCATTACGCTACCGCGGCCCTGATGACCGTGTCGAATTTTTTCTAGCCTTTCTTAAGTTGCAAGGCAGCACCATCTCTTCGCATTGTAGATAACCCACAATGTCAAATGATAAAATATGATTTTACACTTGCTATCGTATGATGAAATGACCACACCACCATGGTAAATATATAAAACGTGGATTAATGCATGGCTGATGATTTTTTTTTATATGAACATTTGATGGTCCTTCGAGCATCAAAAATAAATAGTGACATATTTGAAATGGAATTCACAATGCATCGATGCAATAATATTTCTCAGCGCCATTAAAGCTAAAGCTATGTTTCAAACACTGATATGTATGCTTAATGAATAACATATATTGTACCGTTCATACGGTACCTTCTTGAAAAACTTATTCTCGGCCTTGCATTGCTTGTAACGAGAAGATAAGAAGATTACATTAATTAGCTATTGTTTGTTTAAAAAATCTATTAATCCAAAATATATATATACTTCCAGACATATCTATTGGCCTACTTAATGTTATAAGTTTCAACGGTCTGTAGCAAAAATATATGTTCATGGTTGAGCAATGATTTATAAGATACTCGAAAAGATGGTTGACAAATCAGCTTCAATTTCAAGATGAGTTATCTCATATTGAAGTCATTTTTCAATTTGACGACTCTGTATATAATACAGGGAGAAAAAAACAGCCCTTGCTGAGTTTCTTACCGGTTCATCTCAGTACAAGGTCTCCCGCCGTAGATTTACGAACCGATGGAGTATCTTTTCGACATTCACAAATGCTTGTAACAGCCTAGACTGAATAAACGATATTGAATTTTGATTTTTTTCAAAACTGATGGATAAAAACTTTTTTCTCAATGTAACATTTCTAGCTAGAGGCCTGAAAATGCTAGGTGGGCCGATAGATGTGTGAAGTGTAGATCCTTCTGGTATAGTTAAAGAGCTTTTATATTAGAAAAAGGAAGAAAATCATAGAATTCTATTCACATTAATAAATTACTGTAGCAAATTTCTTTATCTCAAAACGCTTACAAGAGATAAGTAACAGATAGAAGCTAGTCACACTAATATTATTTAGGCGAAAGTTTGTGAGGTATGTTTGTAACTTCTTCACGTCTAAACGGCAGGAGGGATTTTAATAAAATTTGGTATGGAGTTAGCCGACACCTAGGATTAACACATAGGCTACGTTTTACTGCGGGAAAATATCCCTAATAAACCGCGGGTAACATCGCGAGGCACAGCTAGTAAGTTATATTTACCTTGGAGAAGAATTTGATATCTCTCGTACTAGTCTTGAAGCTGCTGCGTCTACTGAAAGTAGTGGATGGCTTCAAAAGTTTCATATTTATAGTTGCTCTATCTATATACTGAATCAGTTTCTCCAAGAGCGAGTACGCGAATCTGAGCTCTATTGCTACGCCCGTAGTGGTCTGTTCTGTATCAACTTGCGAAGCTTTACTAGGCCTGTGCAGTTTGTAACCTTGGTATTGGAGGTATTTGAGGAATTCCTGAGAACGTTCTCGGTCTTTCTTCTTCTCTTTGTCAGTAAGGAGGTCGTAGGGCACGAGTTGTGGATGGATACCACCTGTTGCAATAGAAAATTATAGCTTAGGATGACAATAAAATATTAAAAATGAATTAAAAACGAGTGTGCTTATGACCTGACTGAAGTGAAATTTCTTTAGCTCCATCTGTATGTATATATATTATATGTGAGTACAATATTTATATGTATGTGCATATACATATGTCATTTACTAGCTATAAGAGAAAGAGAGTAAGAGAATGTGTGCGCGTACTGCTTTCTATTGCTTATATCCCCCACTCAACTCCCGTTCGCCTCGCCCGAACACACTTTTCGTAACGCGTAATGCATTCGCCAGCTTACCCCCCCCCAAGTCAGGCATGCGTAAAGAAGTTTCACTTCATAAAACGTCTACAACGGGAGAAGAGAATCCTCTTGTATCGGAGAAATTTATTTATTAATCTTGATAGCTCAAAGATTTCAAGTCTTATTTTCCTTCAATCATTCACATGAGATAATCATCGCCATATAAAAAGATACTTGTATAACTTATGTTATTAAAGAAAGTGGCTGCCCACAGAGGACCCCGTAACTCTTACGAGCGCTTTACGGCATAATATCCGCTAAAACCCTCTAAGCTGCTTAGTGCGAAGCCGCGGGATTCCCGTTGAGGGATTCTTCCGTGTCTCCGCACCCAGCAGCCTCCCGGCCTAGCCGGGGCTCCACGGCAGGGGTCTCCCGAGGTATCGCGGGGACCCCGCAGACGTGCGCAGGATGGGGGCCGCGTGGGGGCTGAGTACGCGGCCTAGTGCCCCCCGTCCCGCCCCCCGTCCGCTGCGGAGGGCTACTTGGGCGTGCCCGTGTAGCTCCCTCCGCCGCCCCCCTCTTTGCAGGACAGAACTACAAGATGGGGGCTGCCGTCACGGGATCTCTCGGTGGCCGGCACGGCACAATGCGCCGTACCGTCCAGCCAGGGATCCAGGACAGAATGTCCTGAGTTGCCATTTTCGATTCCATTCTTTGGTGACACGAGTTATACATATAGTGTCCATTCACGAACACCAAACGACCTTGCAAAGTACTGTACCAACACTAGTTTCGCTATAATTCCATAGTTTTCGTCATGAAATCATTACGATAAATTCTACTCTTTTATTTCTGATCCTCGTGAGTATTTAAATGTTTTTAGATATACACGAAAGATATTTTCTCAGGTATTGAAGTAGCAGCTAGTTAGAAGTCATCATCAGCCTATTAATGACCCCACTGCGGGGGCACAGGCCTTCCCTATGGATGGAATAGAGAGATTGGGCCATGACTCACCACGCGGGCCCAGTGGGGATGAGCTGGTACTAACGACTTCAGATGCAGCCGGGCCTAACGCCTTAACGTGCCTTCCGAAACACGGAGGAGCTTCAGGTAGAATATTTTTAGTCTCCCATCCAATGATCGACCACTCGAAAGTTGCTTAACTTCAACGATCGCAGCCGAACGCGCTAACCACTTGCGCCATTGAGCTCACGAGTTATTTTGATAACGGGAAGAAACTCAATTGGGAGCAGACAAGATACATTTTCAAAATATAAGTGCAAGCTAATATCGACATTAAAATCTTGGATTTTTTGTCTCACTCACCCCCGTTTGTGACCAGTTCTTCCTTCTTCTTCTTTGCCCAGATGTCGTGTGCGTTTTCAGCCAATCTCTCTGCCATGTTTTGCATTTCTCTCGACAAAGTCAAGTTGGTCATGTCCACTGGGTGAGGGTTGTAGTTGAATGGAGTTGCAGAGTCCGTCTGTGTAGTGGTATTAAATAAACATAGATTGGATAGCGAAATTAAATACTATTATTTATCAAATTAGAAGCCAGAAACAGCGAAGCTTAGATATTGTTTAGGCTTATTTTTTTGTAAGGAAATTGTGCTTTTTTACCATTAAAAAATTGCGCATTAGTCAAAACATGCTCAGATTTCAAAGTAAGTTAAAGTTAATAAGTAGAGAGAATTGAGCACGTAGCGTTTCTCACACTCATGTAGGGATTTTCATTTTTCACATTAATTCGACCGGGAATCGAATCCGAACAAGAAATGGCGACAATGACAAGTAAGCAAGCAAATGATTAGCCACGGTTTTCAGAATCCTATTTGTTTAATTACAGAATTAGTACAGAGTTTGTTAATTAGAGAGAATTTGAAATTAAGCAATGCGGTGGATTTTAGCTATTGTTCTGAGGTTAAGAACAGGCAACTTAGTTTAGATTTTAAAGAGATTACATTGAATTTTCCATTCATAGTTAATAATGACTATTTCTGATTGAACACAACAAACCATTTTTACCCTTCACAAAATCTTGGGTAAATAAAATGACATGTTATTTAAGTTTCATTAAAAGAAAAAAAATAGAAGAATATAAGATTTTGTTTGTCGCAGTGATATTTCAGTAAATGTTGCATATCTGTTATGCAATAAATTTAAAAACGTATTGAGATGTGCTTTTTAAGAATAAGCAAAAAGTCAATGTTGCTATCAGATGAAAATTTAAAATATCACAGCGTACAAGAGGACAGAGTTAATTATAGTTAATTATTTTCTATCAGTGGACTTACCACGATTTCAGGTGGTCGCTGTAGGCGGGGTCAGGTAGGGATATATGGAAACAACATACAGCTTAGTAAAGTGAAACGGTCACACAAAATGGCGGGTGCTTACAAACAAAATGGCCGACTAACATGCGAGGTGACACGTTTAGCGACAACATAGAATTTTTATGCTTAAACAAGTGAATTTTGACAATCGAAATATAGATTGTTTTAAAGTCACATAAACACAGCCAAATACATACATTTAACAGTTTATTAATGTGTCGACAATAGAAATGTTTTCCTTTGTTCATTTAAACTTTTTACTGAAAGTAATTTTATAAAAGTGATAATAGAAACCTCTTAAAATAGTAGGACAAGTGAGAAATACTAAATAATATCAAAAATTATAAAAAAAAAGTATAGACTTTAAACCTTTTCCTTTTCCGGTTGCTGTTCCTGGTAGCATGTAAGTAATTTTTATTCTCGCCAATGAGGGTGTTTAGAAAAATTTACGTCACCAGTTGACGCCACTGTGACATGAGGTTTTGTATGAAGTTTTTGGCGCGAACTAATGGAATGCATCGCATTTAAATTGACCCATAGACTATGACGCCATACGTGATTTGACAAAAGAGTAGACCTTTCGTCTCAGTGCTGCCATCTGGCACCCTCATTATTTAAAAAAACCTATTAAATATGGCTAGTAGTTGGTTCATGTCGCTAGGAAACAAATAATAACTACAGTTGACGTAAAAGTTATATAAAAAACAGATAGCATAAAATCTCACGAGTAAGGTAGTAAGTAAACACTGTAAAAGTTCTGTTTAATACCTTTTGAAATCATGTATTAACTTATTCTAATATCATCACGAAGAAAGTGCCACTACTATCAATAATGAAACTCAAACATTGGTGTCGATTCTGGCAGGATTCTCTAAACTTAAAACTAAATTTGACATCAGTCTGTCCTTTTCAGTCTGTATAGAGAATGACAGAGTTACACTGTTGTCAAATTTAAGTTTAGTTTTAGAGAATCATGCCAGAATCGATACCTGATGTCTCTAACATTCATTAATTTTTATTTCAGTACCAAAACCACTTTCTCCTTTGTTTAAATTATAATATGGAGTAAGATACTCACGCCCCCCGACTTGGACTGCCTCCGCATTGAACTGCGGTTGGTGGAAGGGATGTCCACTTCAGAATGCTCGACGGACCATCCGATGGCGAGTAGAGCCTTTAGAGATTCTCTCACTGGTTCCTTGTAGCGTTCCTTCTCCTAAACCACAATAAAGAAGTAAGTTAATAAAACAACTTTTGAATGGATATGAGAGCGATTTATGCAATTTAGGGGATAACGACTTCAGAATGCTCGACGGACTATCCGATGGCGAGGAGAGCTTTTAGAGATTCTCTCACTGGTTCCTTGTAGCGTTCCTTCTCCTAAACCACAATAAACGTGGTCACCGAAACAAGATTTGAATGGGTATGAGAGCGATTTATGCAATTTAGGGGATGTCGACTTCAGAATGCTCGACGGACCAACCTATGGCGAGAAGAGCTTTTAGAGATTCTCTCACTGGTTCCTTGTAGCGTTCCTTCGCCTGAACCACAATAAAGAAGAAGGTTAATAAAACAACTTTTGAAGGGGTATGAGAGCGATTTATGCAATTTAGGGGATATCGACTTCAGAATGCTCGACGGACTATCCGATGGCGAGGAGAGCTTCTAAGAGATCTCACTGGTTCTTTGTGGCGTTATTTCTAAACCACAACCTTTTTTTTCCCCGGGAAATGCTTTGCGCATACTCTGCTATTGGGTGGGCAACAGGGTTATGTGGGACTCTCCATACTGGCCTACCCACTCAAACCCTGGGGTGTGCCGTCACCGCCGGATGTGAAGATGTGGGATCCTTATTAGGAAGCAACCACATTTTAAACCACAACCTAACCTAACCTAAACCACAATAAAAAAGAAGATTACTGAAACAAGTTTCGAATGGGTCCGAGAGCAATTTATGCAATTTTCGGGGATGTCGACTTTAGAATGCTCGACGGACCATCCGATGGCGAGGACAGTCTTTAGAGATTTTCTCACTGGCTCCTTGTCCTAAATTACAATAAAGAAGAAGGTTACTAAAACAAATTTTGAATGGGCGTGAGAGCGATTCATGCAATTTTAGGGGATGTCGACTTTAGACTGCTCGACGGACCATCCAATAGCAAGGACAGCTTTTTGGGATTTTCCCACTGGGTCTTTGTAGCGTTTCTTCTCTTAAACCGTAATAATGAAGAATATTAATAAATACACATGAATATCATATCAATGAACCAAACGCGATTTATGCAATTTTAGGGTATGTCGACTTCTGAATGCTCGACGAATCTCACTTGTTTTTTGTAGCGTTCTTTTTTCTTAGTCGTAATGAAGTAGAGGATTGGTAAAGCACTCTTTCTTCTCCTTAATAGCATCATCTAGGTACTTAACTGCAGTGATGAGAGAGCTGGTTATCTTGATACAGGTTTTATTTAAAACTTAGTAGGAGGACTCATCGACTGATTGTACCATTATGTTATTTAAAGAAATAAACAAATTTTCATTTTCATTTTTCTTTGAAGGGATAATATTTCAAAGGGTGGGTATGAAATACTTTATAAATAAAGATGTAGGTACTCACATAGTCATTCAGCATATTGTAGGGTTTCAACCTCGGATGAGACTTCTGACTGTCAGACCACGATTCGCCATACACCCAACCGTTCTCAATTTTCCTATGATAACAAAAAAAAAATTACCTGTGTTTCTAAGCATAGTATTAAGTCGAAAACTATTAAGTAATAATTTTATTTCACGATCACGGAGTAACTACTCCCTAGTTCACGCCATGATCACGGAATAACTAGGTAGTAGTTACTCCGTGATCATTGCGCTTGCAACAGTGCCGAAATATCGAAAACTAGCTAAAAACAAGGAAAATGGTAACAATCCCGTAAATTACTTATATTACTATAATGTTAGTGACCATGAACGTTTGAAACAATATATAATTACAAAAGTATATTAAAATAGTACCTCGAAGCCCAAGCATCGTGATAGTGCTCAGAGAACTTCTGGACGATAGTGTTCAGGTCGTTGTTAAGGGCCACTGAAGACGTATTGATGGGCTGAGGGTCGTATTGTGGGTTGTCTGGACCACCTGGGAGAATTCACTAATATTAAGAAAAACCCGAAAAGTGCGTGAACTAAAGTAAGATATTTACAAGTAGACCGAGCAAAAACAGGTCAAAAACATCATGTGTGAATACCCATTTTAACCAACTTCTGGCTCCCTGTTCATTCACTCATGATCATAACATTTATTCTGTAAAAACCTTTAGTTGTGACATAACTGTACTAAGTTACCCATACGGTATCGCGGACTTTTTTATAGATATTGATGTCTTCTATAAAATTTTAGTTAATCACTTTGCTCTATTGTCAATGACTTCCGCAGCATACGCCATAATTATAAGGTTATTTTTTCACATATTGGGTTACATTATTGAAGTTTTCATACCGAACCTTAACTTTTTTGAAAATACTCTATAGCCTATGTTCATCAAGGATAATGTAGGATTCTAAATGTGAAAGAATTTTTCAAATGGTCCTTCGTCTCTTAAGTTTAAGAACCACTTTCTATTCTGTGATTATGGCCTGCACTCAAGCATTATACACGTATATTGAAGTGAATTTAATATGATATAATGATGATCCTTAAACTTACCACTGGAATTTGTTTCTTTAGCGTAGAATTCGTCGTCGTAGTTCTTCGACAGCGAATAGTCGGGAGGGAGAGCACAACCTGCCAACAGGTTTTAGTTTTTATTTCTATAAACAACGGGCCGATTCTGCAATGATTCTCTAAATTTAAAACTAAATTTAACATAAGTCTCTCCTTTTCTTTCTGTATAGAGAATGACAAGGATACACTGTTATCAAATTTAAGTTTAGGTTAAGAGAATCATGGCAGATTTGATACCAGTATCTATTTAAGAAGATAGCGTAGCCGGTCGTGATATCATAAATCAACAGTCATACGAATATTAATTATAAAACACTTTTAAATTGCTAGAGGTCAAAAGCACCTGATATCTTAAAAGTTTCAGAAACTTTAACGATAAGAAAAAATTTCTGTTTTACTGATAGCGAATAGAGACAGTCAAATTTAAAGGGCTAAGTGAAACTTGAATTACTTCAGCGGATAAAAGTTATCCTGGCTCTGAACCAGAACTTCTATTCCATGTTTGGAGTCCAAAAACTGATCTCGCTATCTTTAGTCCCAAGTTTCTGTATTTTCTTGAGTTCTCTCCAATAATCTCGCCGAATGACGCTGCTAAAGTTACCTTAGTCGACCTACCGATGACTATCAAGCAAGGCAACACATTCCCAAAAAGCTCCATCTTAAAATTCATTTAACTAACCGAATCAAATATAAAGAAAATATAACTAGAAAAAAATCCACGCGGACCAGGCAGCTATCTACGCGAATGCACTGACCAATTATGCTACGGTGGCCTTGATGGCCGCATCGAAATTATTCTAGCCATTCTTAAGCTGCAAGGCAGCGCCATCTCTTCGCTTGTAGGTAACCCACAATTCGTCCGCGTGGAATGTTTTCTAGTCATATTTTCTTTAGATTTACACATCAAGCAGTTACATGCTTAAAAAAACAAAAATTATAACGAATAAAAGATGTTGGGTGATACGGCCAAAACTATTTTCCCTGATTGATGTTCATACAATGATCTCACTATGTTATATGTTGTTGATGTTCTAAGTTCTGTATTTAAAGGTCTCTTCAAGGATGATGCCGTTGAAAGCCCAAATAAAGCTATAAAAGCCACCTCTTTCACGACTAACCGACTTTAATTACTCACTGATTAAAGTCGGTCTAGCGAAGGTCTTAACATAATGAAGTACGTCAAACAAGGCAACGCTTTCCCGAAAAGCTCATGTTCATAATCTATCTTGCTGAGAGAGTCGAAGATGTTAGAGAACAGCAACATTGTGAGGCGATATTCTTCATCTGAGGAGGCGCCGCGCCGTATACGACCACTATAACTGACCGTTCCTATAAGAGTTTCGGTGTTTTCTTGAGGACCCTCCAAGAATCTTGTTGTCCTAAGCCTGATAAAACTTAAATACATCTTTCTGATGATCTCGTGATTCTCAGTCCAAATTTTTGTATTTTAATTTTCCTATTATCCCACCAAGGATCTCGTTGCTATATGGATAAATCCAGTAATGTTGTAAAAGTTATATTTATCGATTTACCAATGGCTATTTAGAAAGCTGTCGGTAACTTGTATTTTCTTGAGGTCCCTCCAAGGATCACGATGTCGTAAACCTAATGCTGTATGTACAAGATTTTTTTATTGACGACTCTCTGACTATGTGAATTTTATTCTTGGGGTCTCTTCAAGGATCTCATCTGGTGACGCTGTAATAGTGTCCTTAATTTAAATAATCATCGACTTACCAATGGCTATCAAGCAGGGCAAGGCTTTCCCGAACAGCTCAGGTTCATAATCCATCTTGCTGAGAGAGTCGAAGATATTAGAGAACAGCATCATGGTGAGGCGCTTCTCTTCATCAGAGGAGGCGCCGTATATACCCTGCCCGCCCGTGCTGCCGTAGTACTTGGCGCAACGCTCGTAGTGCAGGGTTAGCAACTGTATGAAAAGACAGATAATTAAATATTGAGAAAATATAGTGTAGGTATATAAATTTAGGTTCCTGTGGAAAAAAAAAAAAAAATATTACAACTTCTATCGGATGAGAACACATATAAACTTGTGAAGAGTGATCCGACCGCCAAGATTCTCAAAAAGACAAGTGAACTCATCAAATCACTTTCAGAAACGTTGGATCTTGACATCAACTACCTAATTCCTGCATGTCCCAAGCCACCAAAACTGTATGGGTTACCGAAAATACACAAACCGAATGCTCCGCTACGTCCAATTGTAAGCCAGATTGATTCACCAACATACCGTTTGGCTAAACACGTAGCAAAGTTACTTTCACCACTGAGAGGTAACACAACAGCCTTTATGAAAGATTCATACCAATTTGTCAATGAGATTAGAGATCAACGTCTCATGGACAATGAAATCATGGTCAGTTTTGATGTTCAGTCCTTATTTACATGCCTACCAGTACAGGATTGCATTGAAATCACTAAGAAGAAGCTACTTGAAAATAATATGCCTATAGAATATGCAGTATTACTGGAGCATTGCCTTACTTCTGGCTACCTGTTATGGGGGGATGACTTCTATGTACAAATGGAGGGTGTTGCAATGGGTTCCCCTGTCTCACCTGTTGTCGCCGATATTTTCATGGAAGACTTCGAGAAGAGGGCTCTCGGCGCAGCACCTGTCACACCCAGGCTATATAAGCGGTACGTAGATGATACTTTCACAATCCTCCCAACAGATCAAATTTCTGCCTTTTTAAATCACCTTAACTCTATACACCCCAACATCCTATTCACTATGGAGTTAGAGGCAGATAGTAAACTAGCTTTTCTAGATATTTTATTAATCAGGAATCCTGACCAAAGTTTAAGCCATACTGTGTATCGTAAAGTGACTCATACTGATAGGTACCTCAATGGTGACTCACACCATCACCCGAAACAATTAACTGCCGTAGGAAACTCTTTGTTTCAGAGAGCACGGGGTGTCTGTGACGAACAACACCTGGCAGCTGAACTTCAGCATGTCGAGCAAGTACTGAAGGATAATAACCTGAATGTACCACGTAGCCGTCACAGTCGCGCCAAACCTAGCACAGTCGACCGACAACCTGCTATACTACCTTACATGAAAGGAGTCACTGACAAGATTGGGAGGATTCTGAAGCGTGCTTCAATCAATACATACTTCAAGCCGCCTAAGAAGATCAACCAGTTTCTACGACCGGTCAAGTGCAATATACCCTTTCAAGTTGCTGGTGTCTACAAACTTGAATGCGATTGTGGGCTCTCCTACATCGGGCAAACAAAGAGGAGTATAGGGACTCGGGTAAAAGAACATATCGCAGATATGAAACATAGGCGCGAAAATAAATCTGCAGTGTGTGAACATGCATTAGGGGGACCAAACCACTACATTAGATTTGATAGACCACAGATCCTTGCAGCTGAGCGGCGGTTCGTTCCTCGAATGATGCGCGAGGCTATTGAGATTAAAAAATATCCAAATTTCAATAGGGAAGATGGTTGGTATATACCACCAGCTTGGGAACCTATTATACAGGAGATAAAATCCCAACCCCGAGCACACACTGCAAGACCATCAGATACTATTAGTTCTTTTTGTTTGCATAATTTAACATAAGAAGGAGATAGAAAGCCTCTCTTGAGTTTGTTTCGCCGGTTCTTCTCAGGAAGGTCTCCCAATTTTGGAACCGGTGGTAGTTTACGGTAGTTAGGGTCAAATAAATAAACTCAAAATTACAAACAAGAATTTTAAATAAAATACTTTATTAAGTAAATTAAATAATAAATTCATACATAGACAATAAAATTTTTAAAAATCTTCCAATGAAATAACCGAACGCACAATATAATTCTTTCGAAGGTAGCTCGACAATTTTAAATAAAATCATTATTCTGACGATGCAGACCTGAAAAGGCTGCGAAACGTCAATAAATAAATAAAGTTTCGTGCATTAACCCGTAAAAACTAGTTTTATTCCTGTGGGTTTCTCAAAAAAGTTAATATCACGCCCATGATAGTAACATTATAAATACGAAAGTTTGTCTGTTTAACCATGTACTTGTTTTTTTCGTTCTAGCAAAAAACAAGGTATATAGTGTGGTTGCGCCAGTATGGCATTTTGAATTGACCGCGTAAAATTCGTATAATCGCCCATCGCCTTATTTTAAATTTAATAGTTAAATTGGCACTTTACTCATTTCCTTTTCCCATCTCCCTCCTGCACATACCTATCTCGCATGCAAGAGTGAGACGACGAATGTCCACTGGGGACATCTAGCGGGTGTTGTAGTTAACATCCTTCTTAGCAAATCCGCACCTTTTGTTAATGGCTGCCGTAAATCGCGCTCTTCGTAATTAATTCGTTTGATAAACAAAAACTATAGTTCGAGTGATTCTCATTGTGAAAATAGAAGTGCAAGACTAACCATTTGGTGTTACCCATAAGAATATCAACCGGCCACGAACCCAAGTTCGGTTTTGGATAGCCGGCTCGACGCGTCCACCTCAGGAGCTTCTGTACTGACCGTTGATGCAAGGTATTGTGTAACCTTCCTTATTGGTTTCGAACTATTTCCTTTTGTTTTAATCCACGCAGTTCGAAATCTCCTTTCTTTGATTATTGTGCCAATTTTAAATTTACAGTCCATTATAAAAAACAAATATTTAGCATCACTCGCGCAACCATAGTGCCAATACCGATAATGACAAAAAATATTCTAATGTATGTTTAATCAAATTTGGGATAAATATCGCACGTCACAAACAAAAGCGTATTATCTTCAAAAAAAAAGTGTTTTGAGATATCGCGTTTTGAAGTTTTAAAAAATCATAGAAGCAGAACTACTTGTTCAAATGTTTAAAATGATACCTTGATTTAAACGTGCATTATCCTTCTTTGTGTTGAGTATGCTTAGTTAGTGTATCAATAGTAGTTTTTATTTTAAAAGTACTTTTATATGACTGGGTAAAGAGCAGTTAATAAATAACTATAAGCAGTTCAAATGGCTCATGTTAAAATTACAACTAGTATCATTTTAAAATAATTTCGCTGAAAAGAACATATTAAATAAAATTAAACAGGCCAGAGGGTATTATTTGAAATAAAACTTCAAACTTGTATTATAATCCGAACGGGCAATATGGTATTAACTTAATACTGTTTAGAATACTCACAATCATTAATTTTGCCTAGAAATTGACGACATGTGTTGCTATAATTCAAAAACTATTTCGAATTAAAATACAATTATCTTACCAGTTTATAGAGAAAAAAAAACGAAACGCAAATAAAAAAATAAATGGTTGTGCCGACTCAATACCCTATTGTTTGTGACGTGCGATATATTTCGTGTCCCGGGAAAATACAAGGGTTAGTTTTAACCGACAAATCATTCTTCAATGGAAAAGCAATTAAACTACGTAGATAGGTTGCGGCCATCCTCATTAACCAAAACACTTTATGAACAGAAAAAACAAGCGTATTTTTATTGTTTTTATAGTATTCTTGACGTTTTGGCGATGTAGTCTCAAGATAAGTTTAATAATAAAGTATCGATTTTTTTTAGATTACAGTGCGACAAAGATTACTGTCTATTTTTGTCAAACCATAATTAAACTATAACACATAAACTCGCCTTTAAAGCCACAGTGGTAAACTCGGACAATCTAGACACGTCCACAGTTAGTTTCCTGAGCAGTCTAAGCAGTATGGAAGGCTGCATGGCCGAAGTGAGTGCTACCAGTAAGTCTGACTTATATATCTATATGTTTATATATAATTATTTGTTTCTTAGGTTTTCACGCACATCACTCATTAAATAAAACTAGTTTTATTTATATATAATTACTCACCCACAAAGCCAGAGTGGTATACTCCGACAATTAAGACACGTCCAGAGTTTCCTGAGCAGTTTGAGCAGCATTGAAGGCTACACGGCTGATGTGAGAGCTACCAGGAAGTATGACTTATATATCTATATGTTTATATATAATTACTCACCCTCAAAGCCACAGTGGTATACTCCGACGATTGAGACACGTCCAGAGTTTCCTGAGCACTTTGAGCAGCACGGAAGGCTACATGGCTGACGTGAGAGCTACCAGGAAATATGACTTATATATCTATATGTTTATATATAATTACTCACCCTCAAAGCCACAGTGGTATACTCCGACAATCTAGACACGTCCACAGTCAGTTTCCTGAGCAGTTTGAGCAGCATGGAAGGCTGCATGGCCGAAGTGAGAGCTACCAGGAAGTCTGATACTGCTTCGCGCTGCCCTTTAGTCAGCATGCGGTTCTTGGACAACCTGAGTAAAGAAAAAAGGTAGTTTATAATCACCATCATCATTCTAATCTCCCCACTGTTGAGGCGAACGTTTTTTCTCTATGACTGGAATAGGTTTATTGAACCATAACCGACAACACGGGCCCAGTGAAGATTACTGAGTGCAAACGACTGCAAAACAGCCGGAACGAATGGTTTAACGTCTCACGTCTCATTTCGAAAACCACGGAAGAGTGAGAGATGATAAATTTTCGGTCACTCATATTATGACCGGCCATTGCGAATACAAAGTAACTTCCAAGTTCCAACTAGAACGAACGCGCTAACCAAAGGCTATGTGACAGTATGAAAAATAATGTACCACTTCTTGGTATCTGTATTTAATATGAATATTAGCAACGATATTCTATAAAATCATAAAATTGCAATGATTTTTTTGCTCCATGGTCACGTGCCGAAACCGCCTTGGATTGGCAATGACTAAAATGACGTCACACGCCAGTATATTTCCGGCCAGTGAGATTACATTGTATCGTTTGACGTTTTAATCACAAAATAACATTGGGCAAGCTCAGGATCGAGTTACCGATCTTTTGGTATCGATCCCAAAGTCGATTTCGTTCGGCTATCCGTCTCTTGCAGCGTGTTACAAAATTACCTACCTTGTGTCAAATACTCTACTTCCGTTTCATCGAATCTCAAACCACAACGACACTAAAGAAGTTTTCACTTCAAAATTGTACAAAGTAAATATATAACAAAAAATTCTGAATTATCCAAATAATTTTATGAACACTAATTCAGGAATTCTTTCAGATGTTGGATGAGGACTAACTCCAAAGCATTAATAAAATATGTAGTATCTAAACTTACAATTCAATAACCCTATTACACCTATTACAGTGTTTTGATTTTGACACGTTTTTAGTAAGTCACCTAAAAAAGAAAAAGACAAAAAATGTAAGTGGTTAAGAAAGAGAAAGAAGAGTGGTAAGTAAATAAAAATTCTTTTTCATATTATTTCCAAGTGGAATTCTTTGCCCGCGCACGTGTTACCTCATTCCTACAATCTGGGTAATGACCCCTACGAGAGGCGTGAAGAAGCATTTTGCAGGCCGGCAAGGTGAGGATGGTTGGTGCAGCAGTTTATTACTGCTGTACCAGCTACCTTCGCGTTTGGACTCTATTACCACTTAACATCAGGTGAGGTAGAGTCATTTGCCTACCTGACTATATAAAAAAAATGTCTCCAATGGACTGGAGATGGATAAAACGTGGTAAATATTAGTTCTCACTCACAATCTTTGGGCTAGGGGATGCATCCAGTAGGGTGGACTTATGGACTCAATGAGGTAACTACCAGTACTGTATCTTACTCTATTTGTTTTCCGATTCATCATCATCAGCCCATTAATGTCCCCACTGCTGGAGCACAGGCCTTCGCTATAGATGGAATAGGGAGATTGGGCGTTTGGACTGTATCACCACTTAACATCAGGTGAGGTAGAGTCATTTGCCAACCTGGCTATAAAAAAGAAGTGGCATTATCAACTTTAACACAATCACTAAAGCTTCATTTCCCAGATTTACCTGTAAACAGTATGCAGAGTAGCGTCTAATAGACTAGCGTAGTTCTCCGCCTCGTTGTAGAAGTAGGCGTGCTTGATGAGAAGAGGCAATATAGAGTTGCCGATGTAACGGTTCATTGATAAGGCCATGTCGGATTCGCAGCCGTCGTTCTGTTGAATGAAGGAGAATTCAAAGCAAATATTTATTTGATAATCAAGTATACATGTGATATAAAACTATTTGACTAACTTACACCTATGCGCTTAATCTTTTCGAACACTGCACATTTAAAGATAAAGATAAATTAGACATATCCAGATTTTAAAAAAATGGGTGCGTGTACTTATGTAGGCGCGTGAGACGTTATCCCTCTTTGGCATCGTTTAAAATTAGTTTTTAATTGCATGCAAATAATTAATTACAATAAATTAATAAAAAGTCTGGAAAAGGTCACAGTCAATAAAGTTCAGTTTTAATTTGAAAAAATAAATAAATAATCAAAATATTCAATTAAAATCGCTACTGAATATAATTTATTAGAATATATGTGATTTGCACTTGTATGAAACTCAAACACGTATTCCGAATATACAAACTAGAAATATGTGGATAAATATTATAAATATGAATACCTATAACTGTTACTTTATTACAAAAAATAAAGATGTGGTTTTTGGTTCTACTACACCAATGGTCAAGAGATGGCGCTGTAGTCTCCTGAATCGCGCTTTGGTTCCGTTGTTCCAGATTAATAAATACTTTTGATATTATAAATATGAATACCTATAACTGTTACTTTATTACAAGAAATAAAGATGTGGTTTTTGGTTCTACTACACCAATGGTCAAGAGATGGCGCTGTAGTCTCCTGAATCGCGCTTTGGTTCCGTTGTTCCAGATTAATAAATACTTTTGATAGGCCTTCACAATGCAGTCGTTAGCACCCACTAAATAGAGATTCTATTTCTATTTTGTTGGTAGATTTTCTTAATGTGCGGTAAAAACAAAAGTAACGACCAACTTCATGCTGTTAATATTTTGTGTTACAGTGATGCGCGCGCATCTTAAAATTTCACACTCATCATTTTTTCATTTATTTATTTTATTTATTTATTTATTTATTTAATAATCACTTACATCTATCATTACAGGTATAACCTAATACAATAGAGCAGTTACGATACATCCAATTATTATACAAAACTAAAAATAAAAAAAATAAAACACAAACACGAAGATAAAATAAACATTTCTATGATAGTATACAATAAGCGGCCCGTGTGAATTCATTCAATGTGCATTGAAACAAGTCAATGTGCAGAGACAGCGTGTTGAGTGCGCGCAGAGCGCGCGTGAGAGTAGCGCAGTGCTGCAGGTTAGTGCGCGCGCGCGGCACACACAACAGGGGAGGCTGCCTCCGTCGCCTCGCGTACTCGTTGGGCACACACAACTGAACTGTGTGAAGAATCTCTGGGTTCCTTAGTTTACCACGAATCACTTTGAATAAATAAGTGGCCAGAGACACTTCCCTCCTTACTTCTAATTTAAAATAGCCCGTCATGCCTAGTGTGAACAGAGTAGGGTACAAAAGTGGAAAGCCTGGATACACACCATACTGCTTCAAAAAAATAAATCTAACGAATTTGTTGTGGATGCGTTCTAACATTAATTTATATTTCGCTTCTTGTGGCGACCAGACTAAAGCATTGCATTCTAAATGGCTTTTTACGAGGGATTCGTATAAAGCTTTTATTGCACTGATATTTGTAAATTCGTTCGCTTGACGTAAAACTAAGCCCAAATTCCGGTAAGCTTTCTTACAAACTTCTACGATATGCTGTCGAAAATTCACATCGGTAGTGAAGCGTACGCCTAAGTCCTTCACTTCGGATACACGTTTCAGTGGCATGCTGTCCATGTAGTACTGTTGGTGACTCGGGCTACGCGCTCGACTAAACGATAATACGGAACATTTGTCCACGTTGAAGTACAATTTATTTTTAAAACTCCACTCTACTACCCTATCTATATCCTGTTGCAAAGAGTCATGACCGGATCCCTTTATTGTGCGAACTAATTTTAGGTCATCAGCAAATAACAATGGTGTAGACATCTTGACTACTTTCGGCAAGTCGTTGATCATTAAAATAAATAGCAGAGGTCCTAAATTACTGCCTTGACTTACACCTGATCTTGTAAAATAGGGTTCGGATAGCCTGCCGCTGCAATCCACGTATTGGCATCGGTCTCGTAGATACGAGGCGAAAAATGACAACGTGTGCGGTGTGCAACCTACGTTAGCCAACTTTGATAGAAGTACATCATTATCAACAGTATCAAAGGCCTTCCTAAAATCAAAGTAGGCAACATCAACTTGGTGACCGGCATCTACTGTCGGTACTATGTGTGCCATAAGATTCAACAAGTTCCCTGTTGTCCCCCGCCCAGGACGGAAACCGTGCTGTGCGTCTGACAACAAAGCACTTATTTTCGGATACAGGCTACTATGAATAGTCGACTCGAATACTTTAGCTGGAGTGCATAAAACCGCAACTGGTCTGTAATCACTAGCCGCCGATCCTCCACTACCTTTTGGCACCGGTACTACCCTTGTGAGTTTCCAGCGATCAGGACACTTTGCATTTTTGATACATAAGTTGAATATATGTAACAATGGTTCCACTAACACTGCTCTGCAATCTCTAAAAATTAACGAAGGAATGCCATCGGGCCCTGCTGAACGTTTAGGGGGCAAGCGCGCGAGTGCGTGTTGCACTACCGCGGGAGTCACGCAAGTCAGGTGCGCCCAGGCACCGGTCGCTGCGCCTGCTTCAGAATTTGCACTCGCCGCCTCCACACTTAGCACGGGAGGCTCTGGATTATATACAGAACGGAAGAACCGAGCAAACTCATTGGCACATTCGTTTTCCGTCAATACCCTCCCGTCTTTAATCAATCTACGATTATTCGAATTCCCTTTCTTAGATCTTATGTATTGCCAAAAAGCTCGCGGGTCCCTCACTAAGTGTTGCTGTACGCGGTCGCGGTACTGATCATGAGCTAATGCAGTTTCAATTTTAACTTTCGCTCTACATTGTGAAAACTTTTCATAATCACCGCGCAATTTACTGGACTTATATTTTTTATGCAATCGGTATTTCAACTTTATATTTTTAATAATTTCAGCCGTGTACCACACCGGGTAAATAAACCTGCTATCACATTTGTTTGAATGATTTTTTTTATGAGGAACACATTTGTCAAAAATTTCATATATCTTATCATAAAATAAATTTAAAACTACATCCGGATCTTGTCTATCATACAGATCACTCCAGTCTGCCTCTGTTAATAAAGAATATAATAAATTAAAATCAGCTTTATTGAAGTTCCATGAATTATGAGTACTCAGGGAATGGGTGTATCGCGGAGGAGTGGTAGGTACGGGTGGCGGCTGTGCGGTTGATAATGAGCACGGGCGCGGGCGCGGGCGGTATGCGCCCAGTTCCACGTGCACGGCCAGCGGGGGGTGATATGCGTCCACGGGTTGCAGGCCCTCATCTGCTGCGCTCACAGACACGCCTACGCTCGCGCTCAGCACGAGGTCCAATTGTCTATTATTGCAGTTTGGGACCGTGTTATATTGAATGAACTCACAGAAGGCCAAAAAGTATTCGTAATAGTTTAAAATATTAATGTTGCATGAATACAAATTAAAGTCTCCTAATATAACCAAATTACCCTTATATTTAATACAGATATTTTCTAATATGCTAAACAATAACATATATTCATTCTCGTCACTCTGCGGTGGAATATACACTACACAGCAAGTAAACAAAAAACGATTTTTTATATATACAGTAGCACAAATCAATTCAAAACTTTGATTATCTATATCAACATCACCTGGCACGGTCACTCGACGCAATTCAAACCTCGGTGTGGCCACTAAAAGTACCCCTCCTTGCTTCCGGCCATCAGCTCGATCGCATCTTAATGTTTCGTACCCAGGTAGCACAAATTCTGCGTTTTCAATAGCTTCACTTAGCCCAGTTTCACTAATAGCGAATAAATCAGAACCTGATGACTCAAATAGTGATAAACATTGTGCAGTCTTCGTCCGAAGTCCTCTGGCATTTTGGTATAAAATATTAAAATATTTGCTTGGTTTCTGATTAGTTTGCCGCGGTTGGGCGGCGAAACCATATCCATTCGCTGAATTCTACATTTTCAGGCCATATTTTAGGATTACAAAGTTTCTCAAAATTACTTAACGTAACACCAACCTTGAAGGAAGCATAATCACGCTCAGTTTTAGGGTTAATTTTATCAATTAAAATTTCAGAGTCATTTCCAAGAATTTGTTTGATATACGCCATTAAATTTTCTTCTGTAGTATTTTTCTGCAGTCTCCAAACGTGCAAAAATTTTTTACGTTCCACAGCCTTCAAACAAGTAATTAAGTTATTGTCCCCTCTTTTTATAGGATTGCTCTTCCTATTACTTTTAACTTCTATCCAGTCCTGGTCATTATTATTATCCAATTGCCCACATGTCTCAATCGTTACTTTCCTGGCCACTGCCGAGTAACTAGCCTTAACAGGCCTCAGAACAGCGGGAGCGGGTGAGGGTTTAGTAATGGGTACCTGCGTTCCATTGTTCTTGTCACTAGTGCCAGATGTAATGGCCGGAGATGCGACACACTTTGGTGATATTTGTATAGCTTTCGGTTGTAGATTTTGGCAACAACAATCAGGAATAACATTCTTGTCAATACATATCTGTGCATTAGTCTCCAAGTTTTTGATTTTCCGCTCATAAGAACTACATTTCGTATTAGCTTCACTCAATTCCTGTCGTAATTTACTATTTTCTAATGCCAATACAGTCACAGTGGCTTTTATTTCTTGTATTATGTTGGCTTCAAAAGCACAAAATTTTTCCATTATCATTTTATTAACTTTATCAATTATCTCAACAGATGACAAAGCCTCGACCTTTGACTGAGAAACATGTTCCTCGAGGGATTGATTATTATTAGGTTCTATAGATCCTGCAGCATCACAAACCCCACGTACGGGTGTGTCGTCCGTTACCCGTATACGCTGGGTCACATTAGAGCAGGAATCACACTTAGAAAGTACGCTTTCCTTCTCTAGACATGGTGCTTGTGGTGTTCACACATCCATAATGATATCCTGTCTTGCATCCAATACATTTGATCATTTCTCCTACCTCAATCTCTTTACAACAAATAGTACAGTTCATTTTGTATATATAGAAAATTAATCTTACTCAGAACAAGCGCATCACTGCGTCGGACCAAGCTAAGCCGAGCCGTGCGCAAACGGCCGTTATAGACACTTGTAAATTTAAAACTCTTATCACTGAATATCCACTAAACGTTCATTAAAAACACTACTACCATATTTAAGATCGTGAAATACGGAACCTATCAATATAAACACTAATGGTAACTATACTTTAAACACATTTTTTCAATTAAAATTTGCGGAGCCTAAGAAAACGCGCCTACTCTAGAGAACGGCTCGCCTACTAGCGCGCCTAAAGAAGTATAACTTCAAAAAATGTGAGCCGTCACGGGACGCCTGGCAGATGTGAAACACTAGCCCGGTTTACGATAAATACACTCGGAGAATCGCTCGGGATGCCTGCGGTAAAAAGTTACATAGGTCCTTCCTCGAAGGGCGCTGAAAGAAATGCAAAAAAATGCATTTTCTTCGCATTAACGCTGCCACGTGGACGTCCTAGATAGAGACTTATTATTATAATGCGGTAAAATAAATATTACTATGTTTCGTCCAATATATTGAAAGTCAACAACCTTTCCAATTTTATTGCGTGTCATGATGCGATCAGCCCACGTGTTTAACCTGGCGCGAGTTTAATATTTTTTACCCATACAAAAAAAAGTACAAAGTCGCTAAAGAAGTTTTCACTTCAAAAATAATATTATACAGGAACAGATTGAAACAATTTCTTATGGGTGCGTTACTAAAATAAATATGTGTATACTGAATTCGGGGGAACGTAGTTTACTATATAAAAATCACTTTGTCTAATTTTAAGCCCCATCGGACACCATTTAAATTTATCACAGAAAGATATTTGAATACTTCAAACCCAAACTGAAGGTCAACGAAGTTTCTTAATAAAGCATATTCTCTCTAACTTTAAAATCTATTATTATAGTTTGAATGACAAATTGAAAGGGTTAATAAAAAAAATATAATTCAATACTACTCAGTTGTTGAAGCATTCCTATCACCCACCGATAGGTGCCAAATCATAATTGTGTTTATCTTTTGTTCTGGTTATTTGCAAGTATACATACCCTATCCAACATTGTAGCCGCTCTAAGATCTGGCAGGAAAGCTTCTTCAAGAAGCCTATAGAACAACTCTTGAGTTTCAATGCCGTATACTCTCTCCAGGAACAATCCCACGCTTTGCTTGTGACCCGGGATGAGGCCGGATGGCATATCTGTGATGGAAAAATTACGATTTCGTCAGTAAGGTTATCAGTTTTACTCTTGCATATCTGAAAATCTATTAAGAGGTCGATCTCCATGCTTCGGAAGGCACGTAAATTCGTTGGTCTCGGCTGCATCTGCAGTCGTTAGCATCTACCAATCCGCACTGTACGCGCATACTAGCATCAAATAAAATATGCTCCAACTCAACCACATAAGCAACTCTCACGCACGCACACTTCTGTAAATAAACATTCAATCGAGCGAGCGAGACGGAACTGTACGCTTCAACGTAGCGCGAGCGAAACGGCGAGTCCGTGTCGCTTGGCTTGGCGACTGCGTTATCTTTTCTCTCTTTACAAACAGCTGAGCTGTACTGTTGTCTTTTTCTTGATAACAAATTGTGAAAAATTAAATAACATTCATAAAAAAAACCGTGACTTTTGAGAAAAATAAATAAATATTTCCAATTCTCACACCAATTAGCCTAGCCCCAAAGTAAGCGAGGCTTGTGTTATGGGATACTAGGGTAACGGATAGAATACATATACAGTACATATGTAAGTATAATTATACAGAAATACATATTAAACATCCATGACTGGAGTACAAATGCTCGTATTCATCACACAAACATCTGCCCCCACCGGGATTCGAACCCAGGACCTCTCGAGTCGGCGACACCATGAAACCCGGCGTACAAACTACTCGGCCACGGAGGTCGTCATAAAACGGATCCGTCAGACGTGGTCTCGTTGAAAATATTTACTCAGAAAGTAAATCTCTGCTTTTCAGTTTTGCCCCAGTCTGTACAGATCTAAAAATAATGTTTTCATAGTTTTACGAATGAAAAGTGTTGCCGTGAAATTTGTTATTTGATCTTTAACTATTTGTGTTCTTTATAAAAGCATCGAAGGCATTGTTTAACCTTATAACACAGAATATACGCAATATTACGTTATATTGAGTGCACATGCAGCGTATTTGAATGACCAATTGTGACACAAGCGAATTGTGGTCACGCACCACAATTTAAGCGGATCACTTTTGAGCCGCGAGTGTTGTATCTTCCTTTTTTGTTTTAATCTAAGCCGGGCGCCGCAGCTCGCGACTCCGCCCGGGAGCTCCATTTTTGAATTAGTCGTCTGACATACTATCGTCAAATGCGACATAAGTCATCTTCAACTTTCAAGTCGCATAATACTGATTTTACGTATTTTTGAATCATTCGTCACCAGTGTTACCTGTTTAATACGAAATATTAAAATTTTACTCATTTCACGTAGAAAAAATAAAAACCGGTAATTACCGCAATGAAAACCGAACAAAAAATTCTCGTTGTCGTTTCATATAAAGCATGGCAATGATAGATAATCGTCGTCTAACAGCACAAAAAAATTACAATTATTCTATCATTCGCCTCTACCGTTCGCCATGCAGTGAGTGGTCTCACCCGTTCGTTGCATTCGAGCGGTTCCAAAATACGGAATTAATTATGTCGAATGAAATTTAGTAGAAATCGAGCGTACGACGCAAGACGAGTGATTCAAAAATAGAGCTCCAGAACATTCGCGTACACCACACGGTCTCACATGCTACTGGTATTTTCCGTACAAGTGTTTTATTTCCGATTCAGGAATAAGCAATAATTTTAATTTAAAGTGTGTTAAAGTCGTGTCTTTGAAACGGCTCTGAATCTTTAACACTAATAACTTTTTATTACTGATTGTTGTAATGTACTAAATGTTTATAGGTATAATAATGGTGATTTTAATGTACGTTATGAATCAGATAGTACTAGTACTTATTTGTAGTAAGAAACTTTATAAAAATCAAACGTTACTGTGAGTTCATCACATGCCGCTGGTATTTTCCGTACAAGTGTTTTATTTCCGATTCCGTATTGTATGTTATTTTTGTTGTGGGGGCTTTCCCACATTAAATGATATATGAAGGAATATGATATAGAAATGCTAGAAACTGATAGTTGATAATGTTATTACGGTATGAAAAAGAAACAACCGATTGATAGTAAAGCTTGTAATGCACTGATCTATACGTGTTGCGCATACATCATCATGGAAGTAGAAGGCTAAATTAACTAAAGTACGAAATATGTACGTTTCACCGTACATTTGTGTTGTATTGTTTGTGTGTAGTGAGTAGGGTTACCATCCGTCCCGATTTGTCCCGGACATGACCGGACTTTTTGCTCTTTGTCCGTCTTTTTATCTTGTCCGTTTTTTTTAAATAGGTGGAATATGAGGAGCTCGATAGCGCAGGTGGTTAGCGCGTTCGGCTGCGATTGTTGAAGTTAAGCAACTTTCGCAGTGGTCGGTCATTGGATGGGTGGCCAAATATTTTCTATCTCGAGTTCCTCCGTGCTTCGGAAGGCACGTTAAGCCGTTGGTCCCGGCTGCATCTGCAGTCGTTAGCACCCACCAATCCGCACTGGGCCCGCGTGGTGGGTCATGGCCCAATCTCCCTATTCCATCCATAGGGAAAGCCTGTGCCCCGGCAGTGGGGACATTAATAGGATGATGATAATGATGATGAGTAAACTACTTATTAAGTTACATCAAATAAGTCAAATAATGTTTATTAAGTTCTCATTAATTTAAAACAAAATATAAATCATCTTAAAAAATCAACAACGAGACCCCTCTCACGATGTGAGCGTCTGCTACCACGCGTATAATATCACTGTTACTAAGTGGGTGATGTTTGCATTTTGTGCCTAAAATCCGACTTTTTATCAGGACTTTTATAGAAGCCCTAGACTTTCCTTTTTACCCTGAGATACTTTTCCATAGAGTCACCACCATAAAAGGGAAATTGTTTAAACTAACCCGATTTCGGCCTTTCCTCCCCAGCAGCAGGGTTGTTCAGGGTGAAGCGGAGACTCAGAACTCCCTGCAGATCTTCTAGAGGCACCAGGGAACGGAGAATGGCTCGAGCTCTTAGTGATTCGTTCTTGCCCTGGGAGAAAAATAATATAAAAAGTTAGCAGGCTTTAGGTTAGGGAATCTCTTATTCACTAAATTTTGTGTGGTTCAAATAGTTATTCACTAATTCAATAATGTCACTAAGCTTTTAATTCTGACTAAATTCAACACGCGATTTCATGAAGCGTTAAAATTATATACGAATTGAATATTTTGCGGTTGTGTTATGGGATACTAGGGTAACGGATAGAATACATATACTGTTAAATATATAAGTATTTACATAGGAATACATATTATACATCCATGACTGGAGTACAAATGCTAGTATTAATCATTTAACATTTGCCCCCTCCGGGATTCGGACCTCTCGAGTGGGCGACACGTTGAAAGCCGGCGTACATACAACTCGGCTTTCATACTTTATAAGGAATGAAAAGGACAGACTGATGTTAAGTTTATTAATAGCAAACACGAATAGCCAAATGAAGTGTTGGCATAAAACAAGATTCTTTGTTCCAATTTTAAATAGCGAGAGAGCATTTATTGCTTCTACATAAAATACTTATATATATATATATATATAAAACTCAAAGGTGACTGACTGACATAGTGATCTATCAACGCACAGCCCAAACCACTGGACGGATCGGGCTGAAATTTGGCATGCAGGTAGATGTTATGACGTAGGCATCCGCTAAGAAAGGATTTTGATCAATTCTACCCCCAAGGGGATAAAATAGGGAATGAAAGTTTGTATGAAACTTTGTCAATTTTAAACCGATTGGGCTGAGACTTTGCATGCAGGTATAAGAAGAATCATAGATGAATGTCATTGTGTATAATACAAGCCTGAGAACAAAAACTTTATTCTACACTTCAGCTCTACACCGAAGCGAAGCGAGGGCGGGCCGCTAGTGTTTACATAAAAACAAAACGATAGTGCGATTCAATAGACTATGGCAGGCCATCTAGTATACAAATTGTGAATCTGATTCTTAACACATTGTTAGAATCTTCCGGCCATAATTCAAAATTTTAAAGTTACATATAAGCTTCATGTAAAAGACTGAGATAGACTCACCAGAGCAATAACGCTAGCTTCAGGGGCACATCTTCCAAGGAGATCGACGAGAGTACAGTAGAAGTTCAAGATGGCGGCGCCGGTGTCGATATAATCCTCATCTTCATCAGACTCAGGTAAGGGGTGGTGGAACTTTGGAAAGAAACAACACATTAAAAACTATAATACTAGATAACTACTATGATTACAGGTTAATGGACCTGGTTATGGCTTGATAACAAACTTTTCTTTTAGTGTCGCCGCACACGGGTCACCGACCACAACCACAAAACGCCGCCACCGGCATATTTCTTGTAGTTTTCATACGTTTTATATGGACTCGCCACACACGGTACGCCGGTGGCCGCGACACGCTACAAGTCGTCGTTGCTCGCTTCTTGTGGCCCGCACCGGCCACTTAATGCGCCGATACAAAACGCCGCCACACGTCACTCGCGCGATTCCCCACCCCTCTCTCCCTTGCTTAGTCGGCCGCTGTCGCGCGCCTGAGCCACTTTAGTAGCCGCTTCTAGCTTCTCGTGGCGGCGTTTGTGGCTGTGGCGTGTGGCCCGTTTGTGGCGACACTTAGATTTACTTTCTGAGTAAATATTTTCATCGAGACCACGTCTGTTGGATGCGTTTTATTTTATTTTCATTTAGGAAACAAATATTTTATTACATTTAGATTTATCAAATATAGGAAATAGTTAAAAATATAACGCATCAAAGTTCTGGAAAGGACAGTTCACATCTTCCTTATACGCTGTCTTCCAAAGTTTTGTTTTGTCAGCGATATGTTTGCTCATTTCAGAAATTCAGTACCCTTAGCACGAACCAATATCGAATTCGTATCGAACGCGAGTACGAAATGTCATTGTCAAATATGTACTAATTTTTAGTTCTAGTTACGTACTTTGTGGCGCTGCTGTTCAAGTTTCCATACAAAATTTAACATTGACATTTCGGACTCGCAAACAATTCGAATTCGATATTGCTTCGTGCTAGGGGTACTGATCAGAGGTCGAAGCACCAAATAAGTAATAAGTTCAAGACTCACATTAACATCTCCCTCCTGCTCCATCTCCCTAAGTTTCGTCCTATCAGCAATCCTTTCGCTCATCTTGTTGGCATCTACTATGGCTTTCAGCAAGCCTTCTCCCTCCCCCCTTAAAGCAGGCCCGAGGCACTCAGGCCTTCGGATCAGTAACCGAATCACCAAGTTAGCGTTCTCTTCTACGCTCTCTCCGTTCACCTAAATGGACAGATAAATGCATGACTTTTTAATGTTCCAATTGAGAGGCTATGCTGTCATAATTATCAGAATCTAAACGACTAAATTTTTGAAACAAGTGATCTGCTAAAGACTGTATACGGTTAAGTGCCTTAAGAGAAATAGCTCTAGAAGAAGTTTGAGAAGTAAGATCATCTAAACTGTCTAATTTCTCCTTAATAATATCTAGCTCTGATTCTATCTCTACCTCACAAGTTTATATTTCATCAGAAGGTAAATCTTTATTTAAAGCACGTACTTGTGCCTTTAAAGCAGGCACACCGTTTACAGGCTTTGCACCCCTTATTCTAACTTCATACTCTAACTCATCCTTGTGTAATAAGTTAAAAGTGATTGTTCCATTTTGTAAGTTAAAATTAGTTTTAGCGTGGCAAAACAAAGAAATGTTCAATAACAAAGTGTAATTAATATGATAAAAATATGACCTACCAGTTAAGGTATATCAGTTAAAAGAGTAGGGTTGTAACAAGTGAGGTTACACACCTCAGGGTTGACAATTGTTAGGTTATTATTTCAAACATTCGTGGACACTAAAATTATAATCATTAGCGGGATTGCTATCATGAGCTTGCACCAGTTCCGGAATATAGAGGACCGCTAATAACTATAATTAATGACTATTTAAAGAAAAGTTAACTAGAAAAAAAAATCCACGCGGACCAGGCAGCGGACTGGACTCGAACCCGCATCCTTCGCAATCCGGGCGAATGCACTGACCATTTTGCTACCACGGCCCTCTTCGCCGCGTCGAAATTTTCCTAGCCTTAGGCTGCAAGGCAGCGCCATCTCTTCGCATTGTAGGCAACCCACAATGTCAAATGAATACTTTTTCAAGTATTAAACATTTGAAAGAAGAAATAGCAATTATAGTTATGATTTTATTTATTTTTAAGCATTTAACTGCTAGATGTGTAACTGACATTGTGGGTTGCCTACAATGCGAAGAAATGGCGCTGCCTTGCAGCCTAAGGCTAGGAAAGTTTCGACGCGGCGAAGAGGGCCGTGGTAGCATAATGGTCAGTGCATTCGCCCGGATTGCGAAGGATGCGGGTTCGAGTCCCGTCCGCTGCCTGGTACGCGTGGATTTTTTTTTCTAGTAAATTTTTTTTTAGATTTAAACATCTAGCAGTTAAATGCTTAAAAATAAATAAAATCATAACTGTAATTGCTATTTCTTCTTTCAAATGTTTAATAATTAAAAAAGTATTCATTTGACATTGTGGGTTGCCTACAATGCGAAGAGATGGCGCTGCCTTGCAGCCTAAGGCTAGGAAAATTTCGACGCGGCGAAGAGGGCCGTGGTAGCATAATGGTCAGTGCATTCGCCCGGATTGCGAAGGATGCGGGTTCGAGTCCCGTCCGCTGCCTGGTCCGCGTGGTTTTTTTTTTCTAGTAAACTTTTCTTTAGATTTAAACATCTAGCAGTTAAATGCTTAAAAATAAATAAAATCATAATGACTATTTCTTAAGTTTTTTTTTTGATGATGTCTGCTTCATGTTCAATCTGTTTTTCAACAATAACCCGACTTCTTTGTTTGATTTCTCTGTTTATGTTTTCTTCAAGAGCCATACTTGTGTGATAATACTTTTCACACGACTCTTTTGATGTCAGGTGGTAAATCTTTTATGTAGGGTCGGTATATCACTTCTTTTTAGCCGGGTATGCTGAGGAGCGTCTTCTCCACTCAGTATGTGCCAGTTTGTTTACATGGAGTTTGTCTTAAGCTTTAATAGAATTAAAAATACTTCAATTGAAACCCTTTTCCACCAAATTTCATAAGTCAAATTAAAAAGCTAATGTTGATTAAACCCCATTTCATTATTTGACTTTCGTTTGTCAAAGATGGAATGATGGTGTTAAACAGGATTAAGCAGTAATTTTAATTTAAAGTGTGTTTAAGTCGTGTGTTTGAAACGGCTCTGAATCTTTAACACTAATAATATTTTATTACTGAATGTTGTAATGTACTTAATGTTAATAGGTATAATAATGGTGATTTTTATGTACTTTATGAATCAGATACTCAGTACTAAAAGTATTCTAGTAAGAAACTTTATAAAAAACAAGCGTTACTGAGAGTTCATTAAAATACTTATTATGTGGCAGAACTATAAGAAATTATATGTTAACAGAATACAATTAAAAAAACGACGGGTCGCACTCCGGGAGTGCCGGCAGAAGTGAAAACTTGAATATTAACGTTGTGCATTTTTGATATATTGGAATGGTTAGGGAATAATTTTGCACGATATCAGTATAAAAAGTACTATCATTTATGTGGTAGAATACAATATTTATTTATTGCGCTGTCGTACACAAACATGACAATTTATATTACATTAAAAAGTTTATCTCTCAGAATAACTCATTTAAGCGCACCTAGCGACATCTATTGTAGAAAAAATGCATTTTCTTTGCAATAAAGCTACCACCTGGACGTCCTAGATACAGACTTATTATTATAATACGATAAAATAAAATATTACTATGTTTTGTTCAAAAGTCAACCTTTCCAAGTTTATTGTGTGTCATGATGCGATCAGCCCACGTGTTTTACCTTACGCGAGTTAAAAATTTTTTACCCGTACAAAAGAAGTGTACAACGCCGCTAAAGAAGTTTTCAAAAATACCGCGTATTGTAATTTAATAACAACCAGAACATATCATAAAATTCTTATGCATCTTACACAATTCTAAAACTATCAATATTTCTCAAGAGTTACAAGTAAGCTAAATAAAGAAAATAATCTCCTTACCCAAACACAGAACCGTAGGAAGTCCAAATACCGTTCCCCTTCCACGGGGTCCCAGCCCAAATCAGGATATCCTTTCTCCACTAGTTCAGAGTTGCTCTGCAGTCCGCAGCGTGATAAATACACCGCTATCTTCTCTAAGTAGTGCTCTCTGAAACAAAAATGTTGATATAAGTCTTCTCAAAGCAATATTTTTAAACACCCCGGAAAACTTTTTGAGCAAAGACCATAGAGAAGGAAGCCTGCGCAGTAGTAATTTTCCATACAAAAACCTCTACTGTGCAAGTTTATCTGGCTGTGATTTTGCTCAAAAAGATTGCCGCTACCTTTACTAATATTTGATTATTGAGGAACTCGATGGCGCAATTAGTTTACGCGTTCGGCTGCGATTGTTGCAGTGAAGCAACTTTATCAGTTTCGAGCATTGGGATGGGTGACCAAAAATTTACTCCATGCTTCAAAGGCACGTTAAGCCTTTAGTCCCGGCTGCATCTGCAGTCGTTAGCACCCATCTACCCGCACTGGGCTCGCCTGGTAGGTCATGGTCCAATGTCCCTGTTCCATCCATAGTGAAGGCCTGTGCCCCGGCAGTGGGGACATTGATACGCTGATGATGATGGTCTGATTAGTTCCATTCTCCCTATCTCGACAATAGGATAAGCCTGTGCCCTAATAAAGTGTCATCGTAACTGAACGCGAAACGAGTGGATTTATGCAGAGACCCAAAATCAAACATTATCCAGAAAGAAGATGAACTTCAAAATATTGCTCTGTTACCTAAGCAAAATGTCCAGCCTTTTTTCGCCATGTATACCCACCTCAAAGCTAATAAAGTACAGTACAGTATTCGCTATGAGACTAGATGAAGCCTGGACAGTAAATTTTTGAGAGTCTTCTTCTTTCAGAGCAGAAAGATCAGATTCCCAAGCACAAACTTTGACAGCCCCGCAATCGTATCGCATCGTCAAAGTTTCTATGAAGACTGAATAGCGCCTCTACAGGACGTAAGAACAAACTGGCTGCTACCATACCAAATTTTTAGATGCCGATACAATTACACAGCTGTCAAAATTCGTGCTTGGACCTCAGAATTTTGCACTGCCACCTAAGAATTGTGTCACTAAAACTGGATACAGAAGCAAGAAATTTTACCTCAAAGCCAAAGCGAATTCAGTGTTTTTTTTTATAGATAGGTCCGACAAATGACTCCACCCCATCTGATGTTGAGTGAAGGTGAAGTCCAGACGCGAAGATAGCTGATACAGCAGTTCTACCCGCCACACCAGCCAACCTCATCCTGCCGGCCTGCATATTGCTTCTTCACGCCTCTTTTAAAGGATCCCAGGTTGTAAGAGGGAGGGATCACGTGTTCTCCATCAAACTAGGAAAAGCCACGTCCAGGTGCTTAGATCTCTGCAGAGAGGGTCTGGACAGGGACAGGGTCTGGATGTTGGCGTTCTCCAGAAGGAAGTCAAAGTGCTCAAACATCAGTATATCGCAAGTATGCTATATAAGCGAAATGTCCTTTAAAAAGCTAAACTTACCAAAGTTTTTCCTTCAAGTATACTAAACTCAAAGTCATACCCATCTATGGAGATCCATTAATCTGGAGTAAGCTCTCCAGGAGATAGATGGCGCAAGTGGTTACTATGTTCGGCTGCGATCGTTAAAGTTAAGCAACTTTCACAGTGGTCGGTCATTAGATGGATGACCAAAATTGTACTATTTTGAGCTCCTCTGTACTTCGGAAGGCACGTTAAGCCCATGGTCCCGGCTCATCTGCAGTCGTTAGGGTGATGGGTCATGGCCCAAACTCCCTATTCCATCCATTGGGAAGGCCTGTGCTCAAGCAGTAGGGACATTATTAGACTGATGATGATGATGAAGCTCTCCAGCAGTATGTCAAGTGGTCGAACATCAGGATATCGCATTGCTTTATAAGCGAAATGCCCTTATTAAGGAATTAGAAGGCTTTTAATTCAATTATCAACTTATTATTATCAACTTTTAATTCAATTATTCCTCAACGCCGGAACCAATTCAGTGTATTCCATGAAACTGAATTAAATCTGAACCGCAGAATGTTGGAGGCCTACAGCAGAAAGGTAAGAATATTGCATTGCCACTTGAGCAAAATATCCCTAAAAAGAGATATCAAAGCTTTTACTCCAAGCATTCTCTCCTCACAGCTTATGCCGGTCCACTATTCGCCATGAGACTAGATGAATTAGTCTTTACAGCAGAATGTTGGACTCCTCCAGCAGAAATATCAGAATATAACACTGGTACCTAAAAATTACCCTAAAACTGCATACGAAAGCAAGAAATTTTAACTCAATGCCAAAGATAGTTCAGTGTTCTCCCTTAAACTGGAATGAGCCGTGTCGAAGTTCTGGACAGCGTGATGTTGAAGTTCTCCAGTCGAAGACAAAATGGTAAATGTACTTAAAAGGGACAGTTTTTTCACTTCCTTTCTTACCTCAAAGCCAAAGCCAGTTCCGTGTTCTCCATCAAACTGGAATAAGCCACGTCCAGAGGTGTGGATCCCCGCAGCGAGGGTCTGGACAGCAGGATGTTGGAGTTCTCCAGTAGGAAGTCGAAATGGTCGAACATGGCTTTCTGATTCTGGCGGCCTGTGCGGCAGAAGTAGCACAGGAAACGACAGCAGGCTACCACCATTTCGTGGGATGTGTCCTAAAGACAATGTTAAAAATATAAGGTAAACAGACAATCGTAGATTATCCATAACCGTCAAAAGCCACCAAATGACTTCGAAGATTTTTTTTAATTGATAAATATTCAACTGTCCATTCCGTTTTGAAATAACTCCTACTAGCATTCTAGATATGGAAGTTTGTGTGTTTTTATATATTTGCATGTTTGATATTCAATTACGCATTAACGACAGGACGGACTTGGATGAAATTTGGCACTGTTAAAGTTTATTGTTGGAGCTGAGACACGAGATACTTTTTATACCGGAAAAAAGAATTATGTTCGTGTTATATTAAAAAAAAATACATAATTTAACGCTGTGGAGATTTATTCGCCTGTTTTTCTTCACAGAAAAAAAATAATAACAGGTGGTAGCTTCCAATTTTTTATGAATTATAAAGAACTAGTTGACTCGGCGAACTTCGTACCGCCCAAAAGTAATAATTTGCAATAAATTAAAATGCGACTATAATTTGAGATTTAAACTATCCTATCTCTCAAGTTGGATCGAACTGCACATGGTGTGCGAATTGTATTATAATCGGTTAAGTGGTTTAGGAGTCCATTGAGGACAAACATTGTGACACGAGATTTATATATAGGGTGAAATTGAATGTTTTAATGAAACTTCGTGAGATTGTTGGGTTACGAGTATAGAGTATGCCTGATTTTTTTCGGATTTTTTTGAAGTATTTTTTTTCATGTATTTATTTATAATTTGTGTATTTTTTGTCCTTTCCTCCTTTCGAGTAGTTATTCATATTAAACAAACATGCTTACATATCCAGTGAAAAACAACTAATAAATAAGCACTTCTAAAAAACGGAAAAACAGTAAAATTCCACCGCAGGTCAACGACCGACCGCGCCCGCCAGCCGTTGAGTGAGTAGGTACGTACACAGAGCTCAGCTGACTCGTTTGATTCCACACAATACAATAAAATCGTCTTAGATGCCTTTATTGAAATTGAAATAATGAGCACAAATGTCATCTTCTCTTAAGCAGAGAAAAACTTAAAAAGTTAATAATAATTTTGTCACGATTGGAAATAGGCAAAAGTTAAACAAAAAGAAATACTTATTGCAGTTCAATACTTGGGTCAGAATGAAATTTATTACCAGGTATTCAAAAGTACTTACGAGACCGATGTACCTATTAATTTTTTTCTCTATAACTTCCCAATAAATCACCAAACCTACTTTCGTAAAGCCTTGTGGCTCTGCTGAGTATTCCGTGACACTGGCAATAACAACACACCATATCCAAATTCTTATATTGAGGGCACAGAACAAGAACTAATCAAGGCATTATTTGCAAATCTTGTCTTGTCACAAATTTAAAAAATACGCACGCGCGCTTGAGACTCCGCTCGCTCACTGCGCTGTGCACTGCGCATACCTAGATAGGTAGGCAGGAAGGTATTCAACGGCGGGAGCGGTCATTGCTCCCGGCCGCCCGTCTCCTGTTTTTACGTCTTTTTTAGTAGTGCTTATTACTTGTTTTTTACTTACTCTGTATGCATGTTTTAAAAGAATAATTATTTAGTACCCAAAAGGAGGAAAGGACTTAAAATATAACAAAAAAAAAACAAAATTTTATTTTAAATAATTTTTTAAAAATCCGAAAAAATTCAGAGATACTCTATATACGTAACCCAACATTCCCACGAAGTTTCATTAAAACATTCAATTTCACCCTGTATATTAAGATATCTGAATTTGACTTTAAAAATACAGGCTGATCAGACAGACATCCACAGGTAAAGTTGTCCAAAACTATCAAATTAGATACGTCATTACGGTGTTATAAAATAGATTTTGTAAAATTTCCGTTCTGTTTTCAAATAAATATTTTTATTTAAATTGAAAGTAAAGAACGACTCTTTTGACTCTTTTCTGTGCAATTGTATATCGCACATTGCTCATTCAAAGATCCTGGGATCCCATACCAATGGTGGTAAATGTTTGTGTGACATAATGTATTATTGTGTGTATTCTACTTCATGATAGATGGCGCTTTGGTCGTTTGGACCATAACAAGCAACCTGCCACTTTAAGGCTGCGTTCTAAGCCTACGCTCCGAGTGCAACTTTTTACACTGCCGTTTGAATTTTGACCTGAAATGTATGAAACTTATGTAAAATTTGACATTTGTTGCACTTGGAGCGTAGGATAAGGACAAAGCCCAAGTCTATCAGAATTTGTCGGTTTTCTTTGTGAGTTTAACAGCTGTCTCGATTTGTTCTTAAGAGCCATTCAATACCTGCGCCACTGGCAGGATAAATAGGGTATTTGACAGTATTAAAAATAAAGTGCCAATTGTTAGCATCTGTGTTTAGAATGAATATTGGCAGGGGTTTTTACTATTATTACAGAAGAAATATTCATAATTTTACTAAATACCCACGAAAAAGATAATAGTTTTCATATCTATTGTCACGTGATTGAAAACAAAACTGGTATTGGCGCAGCTTAAAATGACGTCACACACTTGTAAACTTCCGGACAAAGTGACATTACATTGTATCGTTTGACGTTTTAATGACAGTCGTGTGACGTCACACACCAGTGAGACGCCATATTGCCCAGAGAAACGTTTTCGCGGGAACGTGAAAATTGAGTTTTTGATTTAGTTGTTTTTACTGAAATACTTAGAGAATGATGAATATCATTAACATTAGCGTGAGTTCGATTTCCAAAACTTGTCAAATACCCTATTGGCAGTTTTCTACCCGATTGGAATGAGTGTTAGAAATGTTGATTGTTTATTTATTATTATAACTATGTTAATATTATACCTTCTCCTTATCGTCGGTGGGTTGGGGTGCATTTGGAGCAGCGTCGCTCTGCGCCTGCGCACGTCGTCCCAACGTATTCATCATCACCGCCATTACGTTCTCGTGGACGCGCAACACTCTGAACAAATCAGGTTTTTTGAGTGCAATGATATATAATTTCTATAGCTATGCATGATCTATATATTATGTTATATATAGTGAGAGTGATAATAATAATATGAGCATAAAAAATCAAATGTTATATTTTAGTCCTTATTTACATTTTTTGGTAAAATTTAGTATTGGTTTGTTTTAAAATTGCATTTGGAAATACTTTTTTATTTTGAAATTACCTTCAATGGATTGTGAATTGTGGATATTTATGTCTCATTTTAATTTTCCTCTCTAGTAATAATACAGTTTGTTTAATCAATGCATTGATAGGAACACTGTTTCATATTATACGGGAATGGGCGTTAATTCTGCAACACAGTTTTTGTAAAACTATAGCAATCTGCTAGGTATAGTTACAATTCATAATTTTATGTACATTGCACTTGTTCCAAATAAAGTTATTATTATTATATAGCTATGTTACGTTAATAGTGATTGCGTTTAAAATCCTGAACGAGCTTCAAATGTTTTCTTGTAAACACAGTAACATTTATTAGTCGTCAAAATACTCCAATTAGCCTGTTTTCGAGTCTTCGCAGCGTGCGCGCTTATTACATAATATCTGCTCTTATTTAATATGTTTAGTGTGTATGCTGTTGGTTGCAGATGACCTTTACAGCGTCACCGGGTTCGGGGACGGCGAGATCCTAAAGGAACCTCAAGCCGAGAATTGATATTATTTTATACCTATCTTCGCGTCTGGACTTCACCTTCACTTAACATCAGGTGGGGTGGAGTCATTTGTCGGACCTATCTATAAAAAAAAAATGGCGTATGCCTCTATTGGTATTCCAGGAAGATGACATCTCCCCACGGGGGGAGTCTCCTCTCCATCTGGAGCCTCTAGATCACTCGAACCTGAGGGGGTCGGCTCAACTAGGGTCAGTCTCTGAGACTCGGACCTCGGCTCTCGTTAACCGTTGTCGTGTGGGGTAAAAAAACCGTCAACATCACTACCGGCCATGAATTTTGAGTTACACGAGATACTTAAAAATCGTGTGAGTAAACATGCGCGTACAGTTATAAACAGTAAAAGTACTACACCCCTGCATACAAAAATATTAATTAAATCGTTTAGATCTATTTTTATCAATATCTATTTTTTTTTGGACAAATTTTTTTGTTTTTATTTTTTTATGATACATCATACAACCCTAAAATTTTACCCTTCTACCACCAGCCCCTATTTTTATGGCGGTACGAAGTTCACTGGGTCAGCTAGTTAATTTATAAAAAATTAAATTGTTAACGTATCATAATTGCAAAAATAGTGAGTTAACGTGAAGTCATTTTCCGTAAAAACAATCAGACCGTTTATGCGGAAATCATACTAATATTATAAAGGACAAAGTTTGTGAGTGTGTATGTTTGTTACTTCTTTACGTCTAAACGGCTGGAGCGATTTCAATAGAATTCGGTAGGTATGGAGTTAGATTAACACATAGGCTATGTTTTATTGCGGGAATATATCCCTTATAAACCGCGGGTAACACCGCGGGGCACAGCTAGTATAATATAAATCGTTGTGTGAATTAGCTAGTAAAGTTTCTAAGGTAACTCAAAATTCACGGTGTATAAATTACCATTCAAACTTTATTACGGTTGTGAAGTTAGCAACGAGTACGAATAGCGCAATTTCAGTCTGTTGAGGATAGAATGAGCTATACCACAAGTACGAACAAATAGCAAGAAAATATCCTTCATCGTTTAAGTTTCTATGGAAGGTGCTGACTTGTTCTAAGTTCCGGTAATATTGCCAACTATCTTAGGATAGTTAGATAGTTAAAAATCTTAATGCATGAAGCACGAGTGCACCAAAAGGTCCGTTCACTGGTTATTTGTATAAATGACGTTATAATTATAATAAAATCTTACCGTATTAAGTCTGGGTGCTGGAAGAACGTATGGTTGTTGACCAGCTTCCTGTGTGCAAGAAATACCAACTATGAAATGAATAAGCTTATGACAAACAACAAACAAACGATTAACATCTAAAGAAAATTGTATTAGAAAAACATCCACGCGGCCAGGCAGCAGACGGGACTCGAACCCCGCACCTTCCAGGGGTGATGACGGGGTACAGTAAACGAAATTCTATTTAGTCCGTCAATTAGATGATCAAAAAATAATGGACACGTATTTTTTATTTGGGTAATCAACCAAAAAATTACAAAGTTATAGCGCGTCAAAGTTTGGGAGTAGGGGCTCGTAACGTCACTTCTGAGTGAAAATTGTACTTGTTTAATTGTAAAACGTGATGTCATGCGAATTTTCAAATCAATATATCTCTTTAATGTTTATATTATGTGAAAAAAGAAAAAATACGTGTCCAATACTTTTTGATAATCTACCTGATACTACGAAGAAAAAAAAATAGTCATCATCCCTATTATGATACAGGGAACTGTGTCAATTTTCTTGTAGTATTTCTTAGGCTGCTAGGCATCGTCATCTCTTCGCATTGTAGGTAAACCACGTGGTATTTTTCTAGAACTTACAATTTTCTGTAGATTTAAACATTTAGCAGTTAAATACTTAAAATAAAGTTAAAATAAAAATATAATATTTTTTTATTTTCTTGAAAATCCATTCCATCCATTCTAAACTTTGGTGAGTGAAAATGTTTACTGCCAACGAGTAGCGATACAAAAGTTCATTCACCTTAGAGAAAGAAGAGAGAAGAGACTATGGGACTGATAGTCTAATAACTATATCTTTCATCTCATGAGATTAAGGCCCGTATTATAGAAAGATTCTCACTGATTGATCTACTCTTGAGCATAGTTAGAAAGGGATGTCGCTATACATAGCACATAGCGACATCCCTTTCTAACTGTACTCAAGTAAAGATCAACAGTTAGTTGTCATTCTGTAATACGGGCCTAAATCTCGTACGCGTACTACAAACTAACTTTAAAATTGACTAAATTGCGACTTCGCGAGGAAGCTTACTTTATGATAACAGTAGGATTTCCTCACCAGAGTCGGTTCCTCATGAGCTCTTCTTCCTCTTGACTCATCTGCACGGGCAGCAAGGCTCGGATCTGGCTTAATCCCACCCACATCTCTGCCACATCCAGTTTGGTCTTCGCGTTAATCACGTAGGTCTTCTCTAAGGCGCGAATTAGCTCGCCTACCGCGTCGTATTGACGGACTAGTAGACTGGGGAGACAGAAATTTTGTGTTAATAAATTAATAATAATAATATTTGTTGGCAACAATGAATTAATTAGGTAGGTCTAAAAACAAAAAAAAGTAGAATACATCGGTTGAACTAGGATTATCCCAAAAACATTTAATGTCCTGTGTTTCAGACAAAGAAAGTCTTCAAAAACTTTATTAAACAGATATACATTAAGCTTATGTTAATCTTTATTTTTACGTAGTTTATGTATAACAAAGTCGCTCCCACTGTCTGTACGCTTAGATCTTTTAGACTACGCAACGTTTTTGAGTTAGTTTGAGTCAATGGGAAGGTTTATATAATGTATACTACATGCCCGGGAATAAAATCTATAGCATTACCTATGGCTGGTCGCAGAGTATTTAATATGTTAAAAAAATTTAACACACAAAAACTTGCAATAACAGTTATTAGTCAATCGATGGAAATGAAAGATTTTATCTTTATAATATTTTCAGGCCAATAGAGTCATAGTATTAACCCAGCATACGTAATACTCTTCAATATGTTATATCAATTCATTAACCAATGACAAACTTTTTCCGCCTTATTACAAAACGTTAACTAAAGACGTTGACTGCCAACACAGAATATTCTGGGATAAAATTGAAACAGCGTAGGTAGCGTACTGTACTGCAGAAGGTGTTGTCGATGTTAATAGAAAGGGGAGGGGGAAAAAGCAGCAGAAAGCAAAGATAAGGGTAGGAAAAAAATGTAGGAGAACGGCAACGAAAGACTCTTAATGAAGTATTGGGAAAAGTAGGAATTGGTTTCACTTTTCTGACCGGGCTTGGGAGGGAACCACTCAAACTCTGAAGGCATAATGGGAGATACGACCAGGACAGGGCTCCACGAGTGAAAGTATTGAGACAAATTAAGAGTATAAAGAGAGGAGGTCTTTAGATAATTTTAACGGCGACATTAAAAGAAGCAAGGATAGGACTGAGCGCAGTTTATAAGAAATAAGTAAATATTATATTGTATATTAAGGTAAAGAAGAAATAAGATGCGTGTAGCATAAATAAAATATATAAATAAGGGCCAAGAAAATGAAAATAAAATAAATAGAACAAAAGCAAAATGTTTAAATAAGGAATGAGAAAACGTCAGAAGATAAAATTAATGAGGAAATGTGGAAAGATATATGTAAATAAATAGAATAAAAATAAACTGTGGAAAAACAAGATAAAAGGAATAAGTAACATAAGTAAAGAATTAACCTCAAAAATGAATGTAAGAAAAGAATAGCAACTAATTTGTATAACATATAAAAATAGCAGTGACCTAATAGTAATAAAGATAAGCAAGGAACTATAAATAAGCAATATAATAAGAAAAAATATATTGTAAATCGAAAATAATAAATGTTAAAAATTAAAATAAATAGAATAATCGAGATTAGAATATTTCGAAACAAAATGATAAATGAGAGAAAAGAAAAACTGAAAAGAAATCGAAAACAAAAAAACATGAAAAAGTACTGCCACTGAGTGGGGAAGCCGAGAAAAAAAAACTAACGTGGCTTATGTTATTGCAGGTAAGTTAACAGACGTTACGTTTACAACTAAAGTGACATGCAATAAATAAAAATTGCAGTATCATAAGAAGTAAATTGGAACATACCTGAACATCTCTCTGACTAGTTTTGGCGTTTCGATTTGCGATTCTTCCGCCCAACTGACGATAGTTTGAATCAAAACTTTACGGAACTTTTCCTCGGGGCTTTTCTTAGGTGGTTCTTCAATGGCCTGAACACAAATAAATATATTTTAATAAACATATCACACCAGGCTATTAATGTCCTCACTGCTAGAGCAAAGGCTTTTCCTATGGTTGGAATAGGGAGATTGGGCCGTGCCGTGGGCCCAGTGGGGATTGGTGGGTGTTAACGACTACGATCTGGGATCAACGGCTTAACGTGCCTTCCGAAGCACGGAGGAGTGAGCGATGGTAAATTTTTGGTCAGCCATCCAATGACATTGCGAACTTCACTTCCACGATTGCATTTATTATTTGCGCCACCGAGCTCCGCAATATAATCTTTAGCGGAGGTAAATAATTACGTACATTTACACAAGACCAGGTTGTTTTAATAACACTAACATTAATAACGCGCCCGCGGCCAACTTCATGGTGTTACTATTGTGTTACAGTGATGCGCGCGCATCTCGAAATTTCACTCACATGATTTTTCATAACGCGCCCGCGGCCAACTTCATGCTGTTACTTTTGGGTTACAGTGATGCGCGCGCATCTAAAAATTTCACTCTCATCATTTTTCATAACGCGCCTAAAGAAGTATAACTTCAAAAATCTAATCAACTCCTAAACAATAGCAACAAGACGCATGTAAGGACCTCTCGCCACTAGATTTGGTCACGAAGATCTTCAATAAAACTAAAAATAACAAAATTAAAAGAAAAGTATTACTAGAAAAAAAACCCACGCGGACCAGACAGCAGACGGGACTCGAACCCGCACCCTTCGCTATCCGGGCGAATGCACTGACCAATTATGCTACCACGGCCCTGATGGCCGCGTTGAAATTTTCCTGGCCTTAAGCTGCAAGGCAGCGTCATCTCTTCGCATTGCAGGTAACCCATAATGTCAATTTTACAAAATTACCTTTGGTTCTTCCTCTAGCTCCTTGACGGTGTTGATAATGTTGTACAACTTGCCAAACGCTCCAGGTTTAGTTTCAGGTTCATTTTGATCCTGCAAACAAGGGATTCCAAATTCTTTATCCAGATACGTTTTGACACATCATCATCATCAGCCTATTAATGTCCCCACTGCTGGGGCACAGGCCTTCCCTATGGATGGAATAGGGAGATTGGGCCAATAGGGAGATTGGACCCACCACGCGGGCCTAGTGCGAATTGGTGGGTGCTAACGACTGCAGATGCAAACGGGACCAATGGTTTAACGTGCCTTCCGAAGCACGGAGGAGCTCGAGATAGTAAATTTTTGGTCACCCATCCAATGACCGACCACTGCGAAAGTTGCTTAACTTCAACGATCGCAGCCGAACGCGCTAACCAGTTGCGCCATCGAGCTCCTCATTCTCCTCCAAGCTGACATGTAGTTAAAAAGAAATATTGTGCACGGACCACACATCTGAAATGAAACTTCTTTTCTTAAATAACCTAATATTAGGCGGTGCATAAGGCATAGGGGAATGTAGCAGCGCACGCATCACTCATATATATATTGTGTGATGTCCAGCTTTCATGCTCCTGGGGCGGAGCTGCGCACACTCGTGAAGCATTTCCGTTTCATATTTCCCATAGGATTCTCCATTTACTTTACGGGTCCAACTCGAATTTTTTTCCAGATTTCGAAGTGAAACCTCTTTTCGAACGGGTGTTCGAGTTGGACCCGCTCACCGAGGGTTCCGTACGAATTTGTAGATAAGCGACATAAGCAGTTGTATTTCTTTTTTATATTAACTTAGTGTCACCGCACACGGGCCACCGACCACAACCACAAAACGCCGCCACCGGCATATTTCTTGTAGTTTTCATACATTTTATATGGACTCACCACACACGGTACGCCGGTGGCCGCCACACGCTACAAATCGTCGTTGCTCGCTTCTTGTGGCCCGCACCGGCCACTTAATGCGCCGATACAAAACGCCGCCACACGTCACTCGCGCGATTCCCCACCCCTCTCTCCCTTACCTTAGTCGGCCGCTGTCGCGCGCTTCAGCCACTTTAGTAGCCGCTTCTAGCTTCTCGTGGCGGCGTTTGTGGCTGTGGCGTATGGCCCGTGTGCGGCAACACTAAATGCTTAAAAACTATATAATATGCTACGTGTTCATTATATTTTGATAAACCGACTGACTATATAGGATTTGGTTTTATTTGCCCCTTAATCATTCCTATTGACTGTGTTCAATATTGTTTGGAATAAATAAATAGATAGATAATAATTAACTTACACCCAGGTCGGTCTCCTGCAGAGCTGTCAGGGACACGTGGACCATCAAGGATTCATGGAAGTCGTTCATGCGGGCTATCAACTCCTCGCCGCACGGGCAGTTCTCCTTGTCCTCGTCTTCTAGGTGCTTGAAACCTGGATAACGGGAATTTACTTTAACAATTTGGAACATAAAACAGGTGAACATTATATTGCCACGTTGCCACTGACTAACTGTGGCAACTATTCCAACGCGTACAAAGAAGTTTGGAGACTCATTTCTTTGGCGAAATGTTCTGCTTATAGTGTAGACTGATAGCAGAAAGCAGTAACACAAAAAAAAAACACTTGTTTATGTTCCAACGGTGTGACACTAAAGTTAAATTTTACTTAAACTAGCTTTGCTTGAACAATAGGGTATTTGATAAGTTTTAGAAAACGATCTCACGTTATTGACTAATGTTTATGGAGTCCTTAAAAGTGGATATTCATCATTCTGTTGTGTATTTAAGTAAAAATAACCAAATCAAAAACTCCATTTTCAAGTCGCCGCGAAAATGTTTCTCTGGACAATATGGAGTCTTACTAGTGTGTGACGTCACACGACTGTTATTAAAACGTCAAACGATACAATGTAATGTGACTTTAACCGGAAGTTTACTTGCGTGTGACGTCATTTTAGGCTCCGCCAATCCAAAGCGTTTTGGGTCACGTGACAATAGATAAGAAAACTATTACTCTTATTACTCTTTTTCGTGGGTTTTTAGTAAAATTAAGAAGAATTTTTTTTGTAAAAATAGTAAAAATCTCTGCCAATATTCATTCTAAACACCGATGCTAACAATTAGCACTTTATTTTTAATACTGTTAATTACCCTATTGTGTTAGTGCAATTCACTATTAAAAATAATTATTATATTATAATAATTATATAATAATTATTCTATATTTACGAAAACCAGTCTTCCAGATCAATATTGTAACATGTAGTTTTATATATTTTTTTTCTTTCTCTTCTTACTTTCAACCTTTTATTTACTTTAACGCATAATGTCTCTGCTTATCCCGATGGTTGACTGGTAGAGAATATCATGTGGCATTCAGTCCGCCATTTGTTGAAAAACAATAAAGAGTAAATAAATATTGAGTTACAACATGAAATATAAGTCTTCCTGAATTAATAATTGACATTCCTACTTACTGAGTATAGCATTCATCTGTTCTCGTGGAGGACATCGGAACTCCCTGGTCTTCTTAGCGGCTACGGCGCTCGGCAAATCAGACTGCTTGATTTCAGTATAGCGTCTGCAAAAAAATTGTGTGTGTCAGCTCCGACGCACGACCGGAGTTTACACTCTAAAAACGATTGTCTTTGAACAGATACAAAACAAAATCAAGTCCGAAGAAGTCGGTTACAAGTAGATATAGCTCAGGAATCGTCCCATGGTTTCGACTATCATAGGTTCCATGTCACACATTTTATCATTTAACATCAGCGATATTCATCATATATTTTATTATGTATTTCTGGAAACACACAATTTCAAAAATATCACACACTAGTCATCATTTTGTAAATATGTATTATAATTCCATCTGTAGTGAAAATCACTATTCCAGAGTGCTGGACACTTACCGGCATTTCTTTATATTCTGTTATTTATTTGTTTTCATTAATTTTGCTCCGATTTTATCTATTTTTAGTTTATTTATTTTATTGACATTTGTGACAACTTAATGTTTTTTATCCGTTGCCATGGCTAAAAGTGAAAGGTGCGCAGATGAGGTTGCGCACAAAAACGTAACGAGGACATTTGTTCAGTAGATTTTACTCCTCACATTTTTCTCATACCGGGCCCCTTATATATGCAAATCGATTCTTAAGGAGTAAACTCCAAAAAAACTAAGCTTTGTTGGTATTTATTTCTATTCTAAGGTAATCGTGTCACAATTGTAATAAAATGTGTTCTTTTCTTCCTATACCTACAAAATTAAATTTAAGATCAATGACTCTATTATTTGCTCAATGTGCATTCTCCAGGGGAGGGAGAGTCCTGGTGCTCTGAGTTACAGGCTTTCTGCCTAGTTCAGGTACCAGTCTCTCACAATCTATTTTATTGTTCTGATATAAAATTATAGTATAACTAGCTGACCCAGCGAACTTCGTACCGCCATAAAAAAATAGGGGTTGTCCAGCGGACAAAATTGTGAATCTAAACCATTCTCAGATCCCCTTGAACACACACAAAAAATTTCATCAAAATCGGTCCAGTCGTTTAAGAGAAGTTCAGTGACATACACACTCACAGAAGAATTATATATATAAAGATAAGTTGTCATGTAATTTGTAGATTGTGGAAGAACAAATAAAGATTATTATTATATTATTATTATTAAACTATGAAATAGTCAAAAAGAAAATAAAGATAAATCTAAAGAAACGTTTAATAGAAAAAAATCCACGCGGACCAGGCAGCAGACGCGACTCGAATCCGCACCCTTCGCTATCCGGGCGAATACAATGAACATTATGCTGCCGCGGCCCTGATGGCCGTGCCGAATTTTCTCTAGTACTTCTTAGGCTGCAAGGCAGTGCCATCTCTTCGCATTATAGGTAACCCACAATGTCAAATGAATACTTTTACGAGTATTAAACATTTGGAAGAAGTAAAAGCAATTTAAGTTACATTTTTATTCTAGAAATATTGATTTATTTCTTTGTTTACATAAGTCACATTCATTTACTATTGCTACCGACAAACGGCAACAAAAGGATGGGTAAACATTTGCTATTTTTTTTCCAACTCTCACACCAATTAGCCTAGCCCCAAAGTAATCACTGTCTGTAAGGCTTGTATTATGGGATTCTAGGGTAACGGATAGAATACATAATAATATATTGTACATATATAAGTATATTTATATAGAAATACATATTAAACATCCATGACTGGAGTACAAATACTCGTATTCATCACACAAACATCTGCCCCCACCGGGATTCGAACCCGGGACCTCTCGAGTCGGCGACACCATGAAACCCGGCGTACAAACCATTCGGCCACAGAGGTCGTCAGGTATTGCTAGATTCAGATTCTAATTTTACCAACAAACAGTGTGGTGTAGAAAATGATGGGTGACCACCTGAGTTGATCGGTCTGAAGATCTCCCACGAAGTCATGAGCGAAGGCGATAATCGATTCCACCCGATGCCGCAGCTGTATGTCGTTGAGATGTTGAAGTAAGTAGCACATTTGAAGTTTAGCGCCTTCAGCCATTTTCATGTGGAGGAGGCCTTTGCGGTGCTCATCTTTGCCTTCTGTAAAAAAATATAAACAAGTTCATAAACTGGATAAAGTATATTGTATTTGATTTGTATTTGTGAAAACTGTGTAGCAACATAATGATGATAATTATACGAAGGAATCATACCTTTATCGAAGGTGGGGTCCCAAGTCTCAGGGTTGGTCATGATGAGCAGCTTTTCTACATCTTCATCCCGCATCATGCCGACCAGGAGTAGACGGTCTACTAGTTTGATGAGCGGCCTGTATATTAAAGAGAGATACTTATACTTTTGATTAAAGACTTAAATATAAATATATATTTAATTAGCCTAGCCCCAAAGTATCACTGTAGGCTTGTGTTATGGGATACTAGGGTAACGGATACAAATCATATACAGTACATATATAAGTATATATTTTACAACTAAAAGTGAGTTTTCTTCACTCTTATACTCACTTAGTTTCAATAATGAACGTCCAGTCATAAGCAGGGATCTCGATGTAGAGGAGCTCGAGGGCGCGGATGGTTAGCGCGTTCGGCTGCGATCATTGAAGTTAAGCAACTTTCGCAGTGGTCGGTCATTGGATGGGTGACCAAAAATCTTCTATCTCGAGTTCCTCCGTTCTTCGGAAGGCACGTTAAGCCGTTGGTCCCGGCTGCATCTGCCGTCGTTAGCACCTACCAATCCGCACTGGGCCCACGTGGTGGGTCATGCCTGGATCTCCCTATTCTATCCATATGGAAGGATATGGAAGGCCTGTGTCCCAGCAGTGGGGACATTAATAGGCTGATGATAATGCAAAAGAATGGATAATCTGGTTTCGTTTCGTATTATAATTTAAAACATTGAAATATCCTGGCAACAAAGTCCTAATAGGCTTGTTAATAGTTGTTAGCATATTGCAGCATTACACCCCAAATAAAGGCAATTTAATACATACAGTGAATATAACTGTTGTTTACTCACCGAGTAGAACAATTGAGAAGAACATTTTAAAGGAGACCCGGCACTTTTCATAGAAAAAATGACTTGTAAAACTTGTATACAGTTGAATTTGGTCTCAAAATAAAGCCAAAATTATTTGCTACATAAAACTACTTGTGCCTTATTTTTAGTGAATCGTGGAAAGAAGTTATTTAATGATTAATATTTTTTGATATGGAAACCCTTTTGATGACAAACCTACGTATTTGACTTTGACAGCTAGCTGCTGATAACAAATATTGCCAGACTACGTTACCCAATTATGAAACACAGATAAAAAAATAAAAAAGTATACAACTTTGGCACAAAATGCCGGGTGTCCTTTAGTCTATTGACGTACGACGTTCGTTTAATTACGTACAAAAATTACCTTTTTTACACGAAATAAATGGCTTATTAATGAAATACTTACAGGAATAAATTCTCATTGCTGCCTCCCACTGGGTCCCTATTGTGAACTTGGTTTGTATGGACAGCGTCGGCCAAAGCTTGCATTACGAACTCACGTACCACCTCCAGGGGGAAGTACGGGGAGTATAGGTTGCTTATGTCTGTGATGCTTTCACTGCGAAACAAACTAAAATTTTATAGATCGAAATAAAATATGTATTACTAGAAAAAACGAGTGTGCTTATGAGACGACTGAAGTCAAACATCTTTAGCTCCATCTGTGTGTAAATATCCATATATATGTGCGTACAATATTTACATGTATGAACATATACATATTTCATTTACTAGCTATAAGAGAAAGAGAGAAAGAAAATGTGCGCGCGCACTGTTTTCTCTTGCTTATATCCCCCACTCAGCTCCCGTTCGCCTCGCCCTATCAAACTTTTCGTAACCCGTTCGCCAGTTTACTCCCCAAGTCAAGCGTGCGTAAAGAAGTTTGCTTATATCCCCCACTCAATTCCAGTTCGCCTCGCCCGATCACACTTTTCGTAACGCGTAACGCGTTCACCAGCTTACTTCCCAAGTCAAAAGAAGTTTCACTTCAAAAAATCTGAATGCTTAAAATACAATAAGCTATTAGACATTATGAAAAATAATGTACCAATTGTTGGAATCTGTATTAAATATGAATATTAGCAGAGATATTACTATTTTGAGAGAACAATTAATCAATAACTATTCTCCAAAATCATTAAATGATTTTCTTGTTCCATGGTCACGTGACGGAAAACGCCTGGGATTGGTCAAGACTAAAATGACGTCACACGCTAGTAAACTTTATAACTCACGCGATGTCAGTCATCTTCATCTGTGGCCTCACACTCTCGGTCTGCAAGGATCGCAGACTGTGGCCCATCTTCGGTTCTTCGTACAAACTCTTCAGTTCTGGCCCGAGGGGGATCACGAATTCATTCTTGCATACCTCCCTAAAGATATCAGAAATGTAATTTATTCTATAAATTATCAATGTGATTAGGTACTACTTGTGCCCCGCGGTGTTACCCGCGGTTTATTAGGGATATTTTCCCGCACTAACACATTCGCCTTTATAAAATTAGTGTGATTATTTGTCTTATATTATTTTGCTTGCTGTAACTCTATTGGATATTATGAGGAGCGCAGATGGTTAGCGCGTTCGGCTGCGATCGTTCAAGTTTAGCAGCCTTTGTAGTGGTACCGGTCATTGGATGGGTGACCAAAAATCTTCTATCTAGAGTTCGTCCATGCTTCGGAAGGCACGTTAAGCCGTTGGTCCCGGCTGCATCTGCAGTCGTTTGCACCCACCAATCCGCACTGAGCCCGCGTGGTGAGTCATGGCCCAATCTCCCTATTCCTTCCATTAGGAAGGTCTGTGCCCCAGCGGTGGGGACATAGGCTGATGATGATGATGTTGAACTCTATTGGATACAATATAAAAGTAAATTTTACTCACATGGTTGTAGCATGTGACTCTAGATGCAGAGCTATGAGGAGATCGTAGAACCCTTGACGTAGAGGGCCTGACATGTACTGCGACTGGATGGCATACAGTAACTGTTTCTGGTCCACATGCTGGCATAAAGCATGAGCAGCCCTGAGGAATAATACCGGAAGTAAACGACAATTCAATGATACCTAAAACAAGGGCGAACTTTGGCGCCAGGGGGGTCATATAGCCGTGGTCAATTCATAATGGGTACAGATTGTGAAGTGGGTACAGATGGACCCAGCCCAGGGGGGGGGGGGGGTCATGATCCCCATGACCTGGATCCGCCTACTGGATATACTACTCGCAAAGTAACTTCGTCGAAATAAACTGTCAACGATGAAGTTACATGAAACAACCCGCAGTGTACACTCAGCTTTCTACACCCTCACACCCGGTCAATTACAATGAACTTCACGAATAGTTTAGTGCAGGTTTTCGTTTTTTTATATTAAAAAAATGGCACTCTAAGATATGACCCGCCTGATGGTAAAGCTTCCGCCACAACCTATATAAAGCACAAAGGTACAACAACAATACATGAGGGTTTCAATGAATGAAGAACTTAATTTTAATCGTAACAAGATATCAATTACATTTACTTAAAACATAAAACGTACATCTATATTAACATTGACACGCGAGAATAGCAGAGCATTAATGGTGCAATACCATAGATATAAATGAGTCATCAACACTACTATAAATAAATATCAACTTAACCAAACCAAGTTTCAACGGGCTAAACGCACTGATTTTATTAATTTATTGACGTTTGGCATCCTTTGCAGGAATATCTCGGTCGGAATTCCGCTGCAGGAATGCGTCGTCCGTCGGAATAGGGTATTTGACAGTATTAAAAATAAAGTGCCAATTGTTAGCATCTGTGATTAAAATGAATATTGACAGAGGTTTTTACTATTTTTACTAAAAAATATTCATAATTTTACTAAAAACTAACGAAAAAGATAATAGTTTTCTTATCTATTGTCACGTGACCCAAAACGCTTGGGATTGGCGGAGCCTAAAATGACGTCACACGCAAGTAAACTTCCGGTTAAAGTGACATTACATTGTATCGTTTGACGTTTTAATAACAGTCGTGTGACGTCACACACTAGTAAGACGCCATAATGTCCAGAGAAACGTTTTCGCGGCACCTTGAAAATGGAGTTTTTGATTTGGTTATTTTTACTGAAATACGCAACTGAATGATGTGGACATTCATCATCATCTTTTTACGGACTCCATAAAGAATAGTCAATAACGTGAGATCGTATTCTAAAACTTGTCAAATACCCTATTCTGATGCAGGAAGACGTCGTCGGTCAAAGGATGCGAAACGTCAATAAATAAACAAAATCAGTGTTTCTAACCCATTGGAACTCGTTATATTTAATAAGTGATGTGCGTGAAAATCTAACAAAATAAATATTAACTTAATAATTTTGTTTCATAATATTGTTTAATCTGATATGCTATTGACTGTATGACGACAAATGGCATATAAATAATACCGCAATCACAGTAAGTTATGTTTCATAGTTACGTTTAACCTGTTAAGTTGTTAGCTGTATCTACTTTCTCTGATCTTACTTTGTTTATACACGCCTAGATATCGTTTTAACTACACGGAAGCGGACCAAAAAATATCTACTACATATGGTAGATAAGCTCGTCGCTACACACGCACACATTGACTGTTTTCAGAGAATCTGACATTAGAGTCACGCACACATTGCGCGTAACCAGTACCCCTAGCACGAACCATTATCGAATTCGAATAGTTCATGGCAAATTTTGTATGGAAACAAAGTACGCAACGAGAACTAAAAATCAGTACACATTTGGCAATGACATTTCGGATTCGCAAACGATACAAATTCGATATTGGTTCGTGCTAGGGGTACTGAGCTGTTATCTTTGCGTGAATTATTTGAATAGCTCGATATATAGGCGTGTATATAATCAAAGTGATCTTAATAATATAGATAATTTGAATAACCCCTGACTTCTAACATAAAAATACCCTTCAAAAATAAAAATAACAAGATGATAAAGCAATAAATAAATATTTAATAAAATAAGGAATAACTTACCTGTAATTGCTCTGATAACACAACGCAGCGTACAATGTTAATGTATGCGAATGGAAACTGAGTAATTTGTCCATCTCAATTAACTCCAGGATGTCTATGCAACGATCTTCCTCTGAAAAATAATTATTGTGATAATCAAGTGACAATTAACAAAGTTGTAGGCATAATATTGATCCATTCTAATAATATTATGGTGAAAGTGTATCTGTCGGTAACCTATTCACGGTTAAACCACAGATCCGATTTTGATTAAATTTGGTACTGATATAGTTTGAGTCTCAGAAAAGGATATAGGATAGTTATTATCCTAGAAATCATCCTAAAAGATCCCCTTTAAAAGAGGGATTGAAGTTTGAATGGGAATCAATTTTTCCACACAGACAAAGTACGCAGTCACTCGTTAGTGAAATCAACTGAAAATTAAAAGCAAAATAACCTTTATTCAATTAGAAAGTTGTTTTGAATAGTTCAAGTTTTTCTCTCAATAATTAATTATATTATTTAGTTCCTATACTTTAATAAAAAAATAGTATCGGTCCTACAATACGTCCTTGTGGCACACCATAAGAGTTACTTACCCGGTATATGGAGAGCCAACATCGACACTGCATCTTCACAGAGCATCGACCAACCTCGGATGTCGGAGAGTTTTAAAGCATGCACTTGCAGCGATTGATTTGGAACCTGTATGATAGTTTTAAAGTTAATTAATGCACAGAAATATAAATTTATTATATCTGTCACCGTAAAATTGTAAATACTCTATAGCCACAGAACAGCCTTCTGTAAAACCATCCAATCAGGGACAGCCTTCGGATAGTTGACAATTCAACGCACGAAAGATTGTTACTTAACAGTTTCACCTCGATACATAATAACCTACCGAAACAATGCGTTAAATTGTAAGCAGTATGTTATGTCAAAGGCAACCTGCCAACACGCCACTCGTACTTTCTGGTTGGGTAATACTTTGTTTGGATATCTTTTTGTTAATCTATTGTCTATGGGAGTGTGCGCTTAAACGTCATAGCATAACTTCTTCTTCTGAGTTTCTAATAGCCCTATCTCTTACTGTACCTTGATTATTGAAACTAGCTGCAAATCGTGTAAAAATATATTTTTCCCCATACTATACTCACCCTAGCCCACTGATGAGGTTTCAAGCACTGCACTTTCAATCTTGGCGGGAACTGGGGGTTCACATGTTTATCGCTTGTCGGTAATACGGCTGCACTTAGAGGGAGGCTGGTAGAAGATCTGCCCAATTCTATCTGGAGTATTTCACGAGATGTGGCTTCTACGAAGATGGCAGGGAACAGTTTCGTTTCAGGTTCCATCTGAGGAAAAATATTCATGTAGAATTCTGTCCTTCTAACATTTGCATTACAAAAGGGAAGATACGGCACTCGTGGCTCTAAAGTGATCCGCTTAAATTGTGGTGCATGACATGGACATTCTAATACGCTGCAAGTACACTCAATATAACAATATTGCGTATATTCTGTGTTATAAATTAAAAACAATACCTTCGATGCTTTTATAAAGAACACAAGTAGTTCAAGATCAAATAACAAATTTCACGACAACACTTTTCATTAGTAAAACTATGAAAACATTTTTTCTCAAGAATCACGGTTTGTCATGAATGTTATTTACTTTTTCGCCATTTGTTATCAAGAAAAGGATAACAATATAGCTCAGCCGTTTGTAAAGAGAGAAAAGAAAACGCAGTCGCCAAGCCAAGCGATGTGGACGCGCCGTTTCGCTCGCGCTACGTTGAAGCGTACAGTTCCGTCTCGCTCGCTCGATTGAATGTTTATTTACAGAAATGTGCGTGCGTGAGAGTTGCTTATGTAGTTGAGTCGGAGCATATTATATTTGAGGCTAGTATGAGCGTATCGTATCTGCCCTGTACCCTTAGTACGAGTTCTACAATTACGAAAACTATGATAGTTTTCGTGAGCTCGCAGTCGTACTAAGGTTTCCGATTTTATTGTTTTCGTTTCAATACAAATAAACAGTGTTTAAATTCTATCATTAAATCACTTACGTCTTCTTTTTTAAGGATATTTGGTTACTTTTCACCAAAATAAATAAATAAATTACACATATTTTTGGTAGATTTGATTTAGGCGAGTCAGGTGAGTATGGCTATAGTGGCAAACTTTCTTGCCGCATTACATCTTTTAATAACAGAAATGGATTCACATTTATCACCACATGCGGTGGGTTAATTTGTTTAAAAAATTATTGTTATTGAAACAGCAGTACATTGCTGTTTTTCTAGTTGCACGTGAAGGCTACTGTCAACAGATCAGCTGATGATCAGAGGCTAGTTAACAAGTATGTTAATATTTTCAGTCGCAGTTGAACCACAAATTCGAAGACAGCTAGAGGGACATCTCCCGCCGTCCTCGAGAAAAATTATCTAAGCTAATCGTCATTGATTTAACAAAACGTGCTGCTCAATTCTGCTTGAATGGTGATGAATTGAATTGAATGCTTGAATGAATTCTGCTGCGTGATAGAAGACATTCTTTCGTTTCAAGCCAAAATTTAGAGTCATTTCTGTCACGCACACATTTATTTCTGTCTGTCTAGCAGTAGTTAGTAGTCAAGCCACTAGATGCAGCCACCAATCGAAGCCACTAGTAGTCGCCACTATGCTACTAGTGGCTTTGATTGGTGGCTGTGTCTAGTGGCGCAATGTTCGCTTGCTCCAAATGTAAAATAACATTACGAAACCCAGATATGAATGTTTTTGGTAGATTGATGTCAGGCCAGCAAAGTCGGGAAGATTAAAGCACAACGACACACTATTCTGGATTGGATCTAGTAATTTATCCTGTTAAACAAATAACCTTACCTTGAACCGTACGGTATAGTATCTTATCCCTCGCACGTAAAGGCCTCAGTTCCAGTGCTAGTATTCACAGAACATCCGATGAACATCGCCTGCGAGGGCTTTTAGCACCCACCATTACTTTTGTACATCTAGAGGGCTTAAGGATGGAGTTAATGAAACAATCTTACCTTGAACTATATACTAATGTCTTTCTTCCTCATTTGAAAGCAACTTAGCCAGTAAAAATATGGTTAGAGATTAACTGACGAACATTTCAGAGGCATGTTATTAAAATATTTGACTGCAGCACAATAATGGAGTCACTCTGTCGCTGCATCAAATTGGACTCACTGAAACAACATTACCTTCTATCGTATGGTAGAGCTATGTCGATAGATCAACTGATGATTATTTAAGAGTCTAGATATCAAAGTTTTGGATAGATTGGGTTCAAGCTAGTAAGGTCAGGATGATTGAAGGTAAGATTTTCTAAAGGTTTGATAGCTTCGCAACTGGTCCTCTTAAAATCAAGTTGAATGAGGCAATATCTTGCACCTTCCGCTGTAAAAGAACCGAGTCAGTAAAACACTTCACGAACACTTTCACCCGAAGGTAAAGGCAGGAGTAGTCTGAACAGATCAGCTATTATCTGATAAACATTTCAGAGGGCAATTGTTAAGATTTTCGGTTATTGTGAAGCTTTGAGTCTATACCTTGAACCGTATGGTGGTATCCTTCCCCTCGCACGTGAAGGCTACTGTCCCAGTGCTGGTATCCACGGAACATCTGATGAACATTCGCTGCGAGGGCTTTTAGCACCCGGCATCACTACGTTGTACAGCTAGAGGGCCTTCTTAAGAATTCCTTCTTTTAACATGAACGTTACCTTGAACCGTATGGTAGTATCTTTCCCTTCTCACGTGAAGACGACAGTCCCAGTGCTCGCGTCGACGGAGCATCCGATGAACATTCCCTGCGAGGGCTTTTAGCACCCGCCATTACTTCGTTATACAGCTACAGGGCTAAAGAATGGAGTCACTGAAACAATCTTACCTTGAACTATATAGTAGTATCCTTCTTCCTCATTTGAAAGCGACTAAGCCAGTAGAAATATGGTGACAAAAATGACGCTTTGTTCTGGCAACAACATTCGCTTGTTTAACATGAACATTACCTTGAACCGCACTAAGGAGTCGCGAATCAATTCCACTTGAAACTGCCTGTGAAAGTAACAGCATTAGAAACAAGAAGTTTCTGCGAGTGCCGTCTGCTGGCTGGTAACCGCGTGGATTTTTTTCTAGTAAACTTTACTTTAGAATTCTTTCGTTTAACATGAACGTTACCTTGAACCGTATGGTGGTATCCTTCCCCTCGCACGTGAAGGCTACTGTCCCGGTGCTGGTGTCGACGGAGCATCCGATGAACATCCCCTGCGAGGCGCCTTTGGCACCGGCCGCTTCTGCCATCACTTCGTTGTACAATTCGTCCGCGCGAACCATGTAGCAAGACTGGCGGTTTACGCTGTCATCAAGAAGGAACTTCATTGATGTGTAAATCTTTCCTCTCGCTTTCGTGCAATTTGTTAGAGTGATTACGTGAAGTGAGACGGAAGTGTGTAACAGGAAGTTTGGGGAGCGCGCGCTATTTGATTTGATTTTAGAACATAATGTTCAAACCTTTCATGGTCACTAACATTATAGCTATTAACGGGATTGTTACCATGTACCTTGTCAGTTACTCCGTGCTCATGGCACTTGCAACAGTGTGCAAAATATCGAAGACTCTTAAAAAACAAGGTACATGGTAACAATCCCGAAAGTAGCTATAATAATGTTCAAATGGCTAATTCCTTTTGTAGTAGATTTTATTTCTTTTTTTAGTAATAGAAGGTGAGGTTTAAAATGTTACACATTATACGCGACTACGGTAAGGCTCACTCGTTTTTTTTAAACGCAAACTGATTTATTCAGTCTAGGCTGCTACAAGCTCTTTTGAAAGTCAAACGCTATGCCATCAACTCGTAAATGTACGGCAGGAAATCTTGTACTGAGAAGAACAGGCAAGGAATTCAGCAAGGGTTTTTTTTGATTTATTTCTAGACTCGGTGGAATCAAATAAACTAGCGGTTGCCTTTTGACCAAAAATCGGGTTTTTAGATCTATTATTATCAAAGAGTAAAGCTCTATTAACTATTACGTCTTACCGAATCGTATCGTACTAACATTATAAATATTTATTTATTTATATATTCTGTATACACAAATAAATTAAAACACAGGAGCAACTAAATTAAAGATAACATGTACAAGGGTAAAACTTATTCAATCTGAAATTTCTTCCAGTAGGTCCGTAGAAGGAAAGAATAGAGGAAAATATAGTCAGCAAATATGAAAGGTTTTGTATATGAATTTCGGTACACGGATATAGTTTATTACCTGCCCCCGAGCATGAGCACTACAATTTACATTATAGGTATCACGTTTTTTTATCGCGTGTAACTGTCAAACTCCATAGTACTCGTAATTTGACAAGTGAGCGTGATAAAAACGCGTTGTATATCATATCGCGGTGCTCAAGCTCAGGGGGGCTGGATTTAGACATATCCTAATCTAGATCTATATCTAAATGTCTGTCTCAAAAAAGCGTTTGGTTTATGTGGAATTCTCAAATACTAAAACTCAGACGAAGTCGCGGGTGGAAGCTAGTAATTACAAAATTTTGCGTTTTCTGTCAAATATACGACTTCTTTAATCTGATTTAACTGCAAACTTAACATCGCTAGACTCATCATGAAAAAAATAAGCTACTGGTAAACTATTGCCCGAAGTAAGACTTATAAGTTTTTCTTTTAAAAAACTTTTATTCCATAACTATAGCAATATTATTGTACGAGTCACGTACAGTAATATTGTATATCTGCAGAGCAAGCATAACCTAGTTTAATCACGTAGATGTATCTGAGAAATGCATCATAATACGTGATTGTATTAACTATATAAAAACATTTATTTTCTCAATAAATCAATGCTCCTCATGCATTCAACAATAACAGTTGTCTTCCTTCCTTCATCCTAATATCATTAGGTAGGGGGTCACCCCTACAGTTTGGTCCTTCGAGTTATCAAAATGTGAACCTTTCAACATATACGGTCCTCCGAGCTTGGAAAAGCGGGATCAATTCGCGACAGTGACTGTTCCTGTGTAACCTGGCCATGGATATCGACAACGCTAAGGTACTTATCATAATATATTATTTTTCATCAAGGAATATTTTTGACAGTGGCGAATCGATTCACCCGGCCTCCCACAAGCGGGTCTCACTGGCTGAATTGAGAAGGCGCATACACTGTGATGCAAGTAGATAAACGAAAGCTGCTTTATAGCAGCTTAGCATCTTATCACATACGATCATGGTTTTACACGAACGTCGAGAAATATCAGGAAGGAAGGGCACTCGATTACTCTGCGAAGACAAGACATGGAGCGCAAGTTAACGTAATAATTTACAACAACAGGAGCACCATTATCACCATTTGGTGCATTCGGGTCATTTAAGAAGCAGCATCTATATCAGTTTCAACACCGTCTTCATCGCTGGTGAAATCAAGCCGCAACAACTTCGTCAACTTGCACAGGAAGTAGCATCGCGGAACATAACAAGGTTTGAGAGTCCTAGCATTAGCAGAACGGCTAGGTTTATGAAATGACTCAATTATCATTTCTTGTTTTAAGTATCTTCTTAGGAGTAGAGTATTATTAAGATGAGCAAGCATATATCATATCATTGATTAAATTTAGTATTTAAGTATCAATTAAAACAATGTGGAGACAGCAAAATGCTCATCATGCATTCAACAAGATCAGTTGTCTTCTTTCCCTCATCCTAATATTATTAGGTAGGGGGTCACCCCTACAGTTTGGTCCTTCGAGTTATCAAAATGTGAACCTCTCAACATATACGGTCCTCCGAGCTTGGAAAAACGGGATCAATTCGCGACAGTGATTGTTCCTGTGTAACCTGGCCATGGATATCGACAACACAAAGGTACCTATTATAATATATTATTTTTATCAAGCAATATTTTTGACAGTAGCGAATCGATTCACCCGGCCTTCCACAAGCGGGTCTCACCGGCTGAATTGAGAAGGCGCATACACTGTGATGCATAAAGATAAAAGAAAGCTGTTTTATAGCAGCTTAGCATCCTTATCACGTACAAACATGGTTTTACACTAACGTCGAGAAATATCAGGAAGGAAAGGCACTCGATGAATCTGCGAAGACACGATATGGAGCGCAAGTCAACGCAATACATTACAGAAGGTGTAGTAAGTCAGCAGGAACAACATTATCATCATTCGGTGCGTTTGGGTCATTTAAGAAGCAGCATCCATATCAGTATCAACACCGTCTACATCGCTGGTGAAATCAAGCCGCAACAACTTCGTCAACTTGCACAGGAAGTAGCATCGCGGAACATAACAAGGTTTGAGAGTCCTAGCATTAGCAAAACGGCTAGGTTTATGAAATGACTCAATTATCATTTCTTGTTTTAAGTATCTTCTTAGGAGTAGAGTATTATTAAGATGAGCAAGCATATATCATATCATTGATTAAATTTAGTATTTAAGTATCAATTAAAACAATGTGGAGACAACCACTGATATCGTTTATATCATTGAGGAGACATCCTTTATTTTTATAATATCATTTTTTTATATTTTTATCAATTGTAACTTGTAGCAAACAATCTACATTACAAATCAATAAATTTAGCATTTAAGTATCAATCATAACATTGTGGAGACATCCACTGATATCATTTTGTAGCATTAAGGAGACTTGCTATAATTATCATATCAATCAATTCAATTTTTTATCAATCGTAACTTGTAGCAGACATTCTACGTTACAAATCAGTTAATTTAGCTTTACTAAGTAACAATTATACATTGTGGACATATCCACTCATATCATTTTTGCTGGCTCTATCATACGAGTCAACTATCATTTCTTGTTTTAAGTATCATTTTAGAGAGAGAGAATGTTATTGTGTTACATAAATGTCATATTTATTAATTGAGCATTTTTTATCAATTTAAACATTGTGGTCACATCCACTGATCTAATTTTTATCAATCATTAAGATTAAGGAGCACCCTAGACTTAGATCATTTTGCAACAAGTAAGTAAGGTTCGGAAAATGTGGTCTAACTAAGTTTTTAGTATAAGTCATAACATTGCTATCTTATTATCAAGAATGCAACAGACATATAATGTTTCATAATAATGTCTATCAATTAATCAGCAAAAATATGCTGTTATTACTATGAAATAATTTTAAGTCAAGATTTATCAAACAAAAACCGAGTTGAGCAAACAGAGATTAATTTGTAAAAAAAAAATTTGAATTGGCGCGTAACCGCAACGATGCAACGCAATGACTGCAACACGGCCTTCTTTAAGCGTCCACTCCATATTTAAAAATGAGTATAATTCTAAAAAAATGGTTGCCTGTAAAGTCGGTTTTACGGGCGAAGATTTTACGTGACAACGTCTTTTTCTCGGTAGAATATTTATTGATATGAATATAATTAAATTGCACAATAGGAACAAGGAATTGAATGAAAATAAGAATTGCACAAATTTTAACTATAGAAATATATTTTGTTTACTAAAACATTGTACATGTAAACTTAAACTTAACACGAGAGACTCATCGTAACGTTACCGAGCGTTACACTTTTTCATAAGTGACTCCCAGCCGCAACCTAATTTAAGACGTTGTCACGTCAAAAATTGCATAATAAGTAGGAAGAATATGTGCAAGTAAAAATAACAGAGAAAGTGTGTCACATTCGTATGGGTAAAGTGCTAGATCATCAATCATGTGCTCGAGTCAATGTAACTATTATGAAATCAAATTTAATTATAGCTGTAATAACGACTGTTTAGATCTTAAGTTATAAGTTTTCTTTGAAGGCATAAATAGGTAAAAAGCTACTTTTTTAGTAATTGTGGTTGTAAACACTATTTGTAAAATAATTTTGTATCAAAATTGTATATCTTTGTGTTATTAAAATGTGAAAGGATGTTAAAGTCGAAATCAATGAGTTTATTATTTAAAATGTTTCTAAAACAAAGTGAATTGCATTTAAGTTAAATCAAAATATATTTTATAATTTCATACATAATTTTACTCCTAAAGATTATTTAGGTAAATGATAAAATGGAATAATTGTAGGTTATTAATTCAGTAAACACTATCATGAGGAATAGAAAAGGGAGCACCTTCGAGCCAGCACAGGCTTATGTATCATGCAAATAAATGGCTTTTACGACACATAATTTTGGTTTGTATACACATACCAAATCTTATCAGAATCAAATCAAGTTGAATAAATACCTATTTGTCAAATTTGGAGTTCTTCATAAGGTAGATCAATTAAATGTATAGTTTGTTTAGATATTTTGACATTTTGTAATCATGCACTTTGATGTGAATATGTATAAGATTTCT